TTGAAGTACTCATGAGGCCTAAGCACCCTGCCCTTCCCCAGGCTCTCTACTCAAAGTCCCCCAGTCTGTCCTGGGGCAGACCCACAAAGCGTTCACACTGGCCTGGTCCCTGTGACTGGCCCTAGCTAGAGTCAGAGGTGCTGTCCAGCACTAGCACATAGTAGGCCCACGGCAGACTCAAAGCTCCTAGTCCTTCCGCAACCTAATTTCTTGCTATCTCAATTAACATACAAGACAGATTGTCCTGTAGGATTATTATTGTTTGAATGGTAGTGTTTAGGTCTATTTAAAGAATAGGAACATGGAAATTTCTAAGAAGAAATTAAACAAACAAAAATCCTCCAGCCTGGGAAACTGTGGGAGCAGTTTTTGCATCTCTGTGTGGCAAAGCTGGTCCATTTCTGTCTCTACCGAGGGGAGGTACAGGAAAACAGGTTTAAGTCACAGTAGGGAAAACTTCAGATTCAAGCCACAAAGCTATGCGTGTTCCATGTGCATCTGTGGAATTTGAGGACAGGTTGGGAAACAGATGTTCACAAAGCTGTTTGCTTGAGCCACTGGGGAGAACGGAGGAGCCAGCTTTCCTGGTGGTCCTGGGGCTGGAACAAATACGTGAGGTCTCCTGAGTCCGTGGTACGACACAGGCACAGGTGCAAACAGGCCAGAGACAGAACGGTTCTCCCCTGAAGGATCAGCCTGTCCTGTGAGAGGCTATTAGGGACAAACTGAAATCTAGCATGCTCTTGTATAGACCCCTATAAAATTAACCAGACTTGGGGTGCGGACAAATCAAAAAAGTAAGCCCACCAAAGGGGCACTTGGAGAACACATCGTGGAGTCTCAATGATTGCTGGAAGGACTACAGCCCAACTCCTCAAGGTCAGAGTTTGCTTTTGATTTATTTATTCTATTTGAAAGTCAGAATTATACAGAGAGATTTTCCATCTGCTGGCTTATTCTCCAAATAGCCGCAATTGCCAGAACTGGGCCAATCTGAAGCCAAAAGCCAGGAGCTTCTTTCAGGTCTTCCATGTGAGTGCAGGGGCCAATATCTTGAACCATCCTCTGCTGCTTTCCATCACCAGGGAGTTGGATTGGAAGTGGAGCAGCCAGAACACAAACTGGTACCCACATGGGATGCTAGTGCTGCAGGTAGAAGCTTAGCATGCTACACCACCACACAGGTCCCCAGACTTTGTCTACCACGATGCACTGATCTCTGAGCTAACAAACCTAGACAGTTCCCACATGTGCCGCCCTGGATAGTGAGCAGGCATGGCCATTTGCAGGCACTCCCCTTTTAAGTCCTCACTTCCAGAATAATGTGTGGACTCCAGTTAGCAGAGCTGATAGAGGACTAATATAGTGGGGTGAACATCCCCAAGTCCATGTGAATCAAGGTTCTCTTCTAGGGCACAGCACGCATCACAGCACCACAATGACAGACATCTAAACCTGAGCCAGGAGCGAGCGAGAGCTCCAGAGCTGTGCGGATGAAACGATCACACAGAGTAAAATCACCTTAAGATCCTCTCTCCAGGGCTTCCTCTAGACCACAGGTGCGTATCACTCCACCTGTAATAAACTTGCACGTGGCTCCGACCCCCCAGAGGACCCTGAGTGGCTGCCGGCCCTGGTTGCCGTGTTCCATGCTGTGATGCAGCCATCAGTCAGGAGCACGTGGCTGGCATAATGCACTCCGAGGCCTGCTGGCTTGCTTTCCAAGTCTATTTCTTCAGCAGTCTATCTTTAGAAAATCCAGCTAGACCAAATTCCGAATTTTTTTTTCCTTAAAAAACAACTCACTACAATGAAACCTAACCAAAGAATTGCAGTTTTTTTTTTTTAATCCATGTCTTTAAGACAAATGGAAAAGCTCCAAAATTCCCTGCTGATGTTAATATTTAATTCAATCAAGAGCAGCAGGGAGACTCCTTGTGGAGAGCCGTGCAGCGAGCGAGAAGACAGACAGGGCTACTTGGTTTTCCCCTGCCCCTTTGGTATTTATTTATTTAGTCAGTTAATTGAAAGACAAAGTTATAAACAGAGAAGGAGACAGAAATCTTCTGGTTTACTCCCCAGTCACAAGAACTAGGACTGGGGAGCCTGGAACTCCATCCACGTTTCCCACATGAGCGGCAGGGGCCCAAGCACTTGGGTCAGCCTCTGCTGCCTCTCAGGCATATCAGCAGGGAGCAGGACTGGCTCTCAGATGGGATGCGGGTGTCACAGGCAGCTGCTTAAGTCGCCGTGCCATGCTGTTGGCCCCAGAAAGGCCTTTTTCTGTAGTGACACTCTGTTGTGCCATGGGTCAGGAAAAGACTCCTGACAGTGACAGCGACAGCCTCAGGCTGTGCTGCCTACAGCTCCATAAACTGAAGAGCAATTGATAAGAAGCATCCAGAGGCACTGAGCACACAGCACAGTCCTCGGACACATGCCCACTGCTACACATCTCTGTAATTCCCCTCAAGGGACCAACACAGCATCCTGAGACAGCCCCAGGCACACAGAAGGGACCCAGGCAGCCTGCGCGGTCAGATGCCTGTGGGGAAGGGAGGAGGGTGTCTCCTCCAAACTGCTTCAGGCTATGTTAGAGGAGAAGTATTTTTTTCCCCTAAAATCTCAATGTTTACATCTAAATAGGTTATAGAAGATACTGACTTTCAAGTTCAAAGGCTTAGAACTGCCCAAGGATTTCCTGAGGCCCTTTTCCACAGGGCAGGTCTATGGCACCTGTGTCAGAAGGCCACACTGTCCTGGTGCCTGGTTCTGGCTCTGGCCTTGACCCTTGGGCCGGCACTGAGCAGCTGCCTTCTTCAGGGAGGGTCCACTCCACCTTGAACTGATATGCTGGAGCACCACCCTCAGGGATCAGGGGGGCAAGATGAGGGCTCTGTGGCTGGAGCAGGTTGCCACGGTGATAGCATCATGCAGGACACACACGTCACAGGTCTGGGGACTCTTCAGAAAGGTCTAGCCCAGGAAGGGCCAGGAAGTGAGCATAGAAACACAAATCCATCCAGGAGACTCCTGGACAGTGCAGGCCAGAACAGCAGAGCCCTGGGACTGGGCAGAAGAAAAACTAAAATCCCAAGGAAAGAAGGACCCCTGAGAAGACACAACATACATCAAGGCCGGCAGCAGTCACCCCTCCTGGGCTGGGCCTGCCGCAGGGGTCAGAATGCAGAGGGCACCAGGCAGGGAGGAAATTCTGCAAGATGCTTGGTGCCAGCCAGCCGGGGTGGTCCCTTTCTGGCCACTCCATGTTGATTCCAATGGGCCCATTGAGCTGCTCAGGGCTGGTCACTAGCCACTCAGGAGCTTTGGGCTTTGAGCCCAGTCCTGTCCTTTCTGGTGGGACCTGGGGGTGAGTGTCCCCTTTCGGAACCTGTGTGTTGTCATTGGCAGAATGAGGAGCACATGGACCCTGCTAGCAAGAGAAAATGGGCAAGCCTGTGAGAAAGCCTTTGGCCCTGTTAGTAGTTGCTCAACAATGATTTATGCAACCTCTTCTGGCTGTTTTATGACTGAGGTGTGTGTCTATGACTGGCATCCTTATTAGAAAGGGAAGAACGTTGAAAACTAGTTCCAAAGTCATCTGTTTTTCTTTTGGAGAGCCCCTTTCTTCCCACTGTTTCTGCCCAGACAACCTGGCGCTGGGCAGGGCATACCTCAGCATCGCCCGGTCACCTCTTTTTCCCTCCCCTACCTTCAGGAGCGTGAGCAAGCCAGAGAGCTGTGCCGTAGGAAAGTGGGTGATTCTTGCCTGCCCCATACCTGGGATCCGGGCTTGGCTTGCCCTTCACTCAAGCAGTAAAGAGAAGACCCAGGATTAGGCTATAGCTCGGTTTGGGCAACAAGATGGAGCCCCATTTCTGGGCAGAAGGGTTTGAGGATGCCAGGTCACTTCTATGCAGATGCCACCATGGTCTCCCCAACCCCACAGAGATCTGGTGGTGTTGATGCAGACCCAAGAACATAGGCTATGCTATGAACACAGAGGCATCCCTGCATTCCCACTCCCTCCCCAGGATGCCAGGGCCACCCCCAGGAGGAGGGGAATGGGAAATAGAGGGAATCAGGTATCCTGCTCATGCAATATGGATGCAGTAATGGAATACTGAGCTTCACCCCCTGCCGATCCTGCTCCTGGTCCCTCCTGGTGCCGGGAAACTAAAGGCTCGGCTTCAGGGACATCACCGAAGGGCAGTGAGGACCCCTGCCCCCTTCCCTCAGCCCCCCTGACTGCAAGGCCCTTCACCCGGGGCACAAGACCACATATCAAGCCAAAGGAAGAGGTAGGATCTGTGGACCACCTGTGTGATTCTAGGATTGGGGAGAGAAGGGGATTCCAGAGGGGGCAGGGACACCTGGAAGGGTAAGATCAAGACCAGAGACAGACAGGGGACTGAGGAGAATCCTGGGGCGGGAGAGGTGGGAGCAAGACAAGGTAAGCTTGGAACACAGGGACCACCCCAGAGCCCAGCATCTCCTATCTCCTGCCAGCTTCTGCGCTCCCGGTGCCTTCTGATCTCTCCCTCCCTCGGTTCTGACAGCTGTCTTTCTGGTGCTTCTTTCCAACCAGCTGCGGGCTGGGAGCAGGGATAGGGAGGGTGCTCTCAGGTGCTGCAGGCTCAGTGCTGCTGGCTCGGAGCAGCAGGACAAGGGGTTGACATCAGGACCAGAAGCACAAGACCCCAGGCCCTTCAGCTGCTAGTCCCTTCCCAGTACCTGCCTATCTTCCCTGCATGCTGGGTACCCCCACCTGCTCCCGCTTTGAAGGGCTCCAAGAGGGCGGGACCTCCCTCTGCCCTAATTCCTTGCATGCCCCCCAGGTCGGGAAGTTAAGCCCTCAATGTATATTAGGACAGGAAGTAAGGGACTGGAATCCCCGGCTCCCTTTCTCTAATGTGTTTCCCCCGTGTTCGGGCTTTTGTGTGTGTGTTTTCTTCCATGCACCATCTCCCTCTACTTCATCTTGGCGGCCACCCTCACAGAGCCGGGAGGAGCGTGTTCTCCGCCATGAAGCTCGGCAAGCACCGACCCCACAAGGAGGAGCCCCAAAGATCAGGTAGGACACGTGCACCAGCTCTGCCTGGCTCCGCCCTTTAAGGGAGAGGGGGAGGCACATTTCACCACGTGATCACCATGGAGCCTCTCCGAGGCAGATCCCAAGCCGACCTTCCTAAGATTGGGCAGCTAGTGCCACCTGAGCAGGCCTGGCTTCTCAGCCAGCCAATGGAAGGGCAGGCTCCGCCCAGAGAGCCTTGGTCTTTTAAGAAGGCGCATACCTGGGGCTGGTTGTGGTGGGAAAGATGTGGGTAGCGGGGTGGACTGGGGGCCTGTTGAGGAGGCGTCGCCTGCCCATGGTGCTCCGCATGCTGGTTTCTTAATTAGAGCAAGAGCAAAAATGAAGCTAGTTGGTCCACGTCTCTGTTTCAGGGTCTCTCATTTTCCCGGTACTCCTCAGTAGGCTGCGACCAGGCTCCAGGGACAGCCCACTTGGCCCTCCCTAACCCCTCACTGGGCAGCCAGCTGGGGAAGGGGCACAGCAGCTATGCCCAAGTGGGAGTCCAGAGGAAGATGGAGTGGATGGGGCGCTCAGCATCCCCGCTCCCCGTCAGCTTGGCCCCTGTTCTGCAGGGCCCTTAGATGAAGAGAGGACAGCGACTGGCCGATGTCCACACCAGCCAGCCTGCTAAGGCAGCTTCTTGAAATGCTTGTTTCTTCTTCTCCTTTGAATTCACACTGGCAGGGGGTTAAGTCCTGAATCCCATGAACTAGTTTTCATGGGTTCCTTATTTTCCAAGCCATAACATCCCCATCAGTATTTGGGGTTGGGTGTGTGATGTGACTGACAGGTGGTACCCCCTTGTAGATAATACCAAGTGCAGACTTGCTGACTCAGCAAAGCATATCATGGACATCTTAGCCTAAGGCAAGGACAGTCAAAATTACAATCAGAAAAAATGGAAAAGCAAGACTGGATATGATGTCAGTGAAAACCAAAGTTAGGTAGAAAACTGCCAAAGCCCAGACCTTGGCAGGCTAAGGAGATGCTACCAACAATACCTTGCATTTGATTCTCCACTTTCTAGACACCAAAGTACAGGGGAAACCGAGTCACTGGCCCACCATCAGGACTGCCCCCTACCATACACACACACACACCTGCTCTTGTGCCTCTGCAGACGAACCAGCAGTGCTGGAGATGGAGGACCTCGACCACCTGGCCATGCAGCTGGGAGATGGGCTGGACCCCGACTCCATGTCTCTCGCCTCTGTAACAGCAGTTACCACCAATGTCTCCAACAAGCGGTGAGCAGACAGGAGCCCATGTCCGTAACTGCCTCCCCCATCACATAGGACCAGCTTGCTGGGATTGAAATTGATAGAAGGGATGAGAGTCAGAGCCCAAATGCAGCTTTTCTCAGCCTTTCTCCTTTCCCTCTAATGTATCTCCCTTCTGCCTGTCTCCCCACAAAGGCACTGTTGAGTGCAGGTCCACTCCCAGGCCACTGTTGCTTTAGTCTATCTGTTGCTTTAGTGCATCCCCTCTGTTGGGCTCTAAGGGCAGCCAGTACCACTGTGCCCAGTGTCTTTGAATGTCTGAAGATTATGATCACAGCCATGTGCCACTGCCTATACCCCAGAGGCAGCCGCCTGATGCCCAGCTGACAGCCTCTTCTGCTCAGGTCAAAACCAGACATTAAGATGGAGCCGAGTGCGGGGCGACCCATGGACTACCAGGTAGGTGGACAATGGGGTCGGGGAGGGGAAGTCCTTGCCAGCTGGGCACCTAGGACCCCATGGAGGCCTAGACTTAGGGAGTCGCAGAGAACCATGCCTGAACAGAAATTCCCAAATGAAGCTTGCTGCTGCTGTGGGGGCAGTCCTGGATGTGTCAAAGTGAACAGGTGCAAATCCAGAGGGGTTGAGAACTGTGCTGTGCCGGCATGTCGTGTCCGGTACTAGACGGCATAAAGCAAGAGGGACCTGAAAAAACCATTAAGAGGCCTGGGAAATCCACACAAAACCAGATTAATAGTTTAAAATTGGAGCCTGTGGAGAAGTGTGGTTTTTAAAATTATTATTTTGTGTTCATTGTCGTGCTACAAGTGGGATCACTAGATGGTTAGACCTCGGGTGATCTTTCTTCTCTCTGCTTTTCTATATTTTCTGCAATTCACGCTTAGCTTTTGTTCATGTGTTTCTGCGACTGCAGAGTAAGAGGTGAGAGGAAGGAGTTTGCAGCTGTACGGTTGTGAACCTGGCCACGGAGCAAGGAGGACAGGGTGGGAGAGACAGGCATGGCTGGAGGCTTCTAGGCCAAGGTCGCGCTGGGCTCAGCTTTGCAGGGCCAGACTCTGGATCTGGACCCTTCTTCGAGAGTGGCCAGAGGCCTGGGGGGATAGATTGACATCAGCCCAACTCATAACAGACTGACGTACAAGTGAAAAGTTTGTAGTTATCTGTAAACTGGTAGCAGAGGAGATGGCGTCTCTTGAGAGACGCTGGGACCATCCAGTGCTCCAGGCCCTATGCTAGGGGTGTTCTGCCTGGTCCCAGAGTCAGAGGGTAAAGCTCTCTGTGTGTGCAAGGCTTGACCCAGTGTTTTTCTTTTTTTAAATTGCGTTTCTCCTTCACAGAGCGCCAGGCTGGGGTGGGAGGTGGGAAGTGGCATCCCCTGTCCCCAACACCATGCCTCGGGTGACCATTCTTGGACATGATCAGTAGCCCCTGCAGGGTCCCCCCTAAACCAGCACTTCTCAGGCCCCATTCACTCAGGTGATTCAGTGAAGGACTGCACCAGGGGGACTGGAGGGTGCGGGACCATCCTAAAGATTGACTCTCACCGGAAGGAGGCCTGGAGAAGACAGCCAAGCTGTCATCAACCACTTCTTTTTAGCATGGACGTGACTTGGAAGGCTCAAAGGTGGCCAGCCAGTTGCCCAGCTGATGAGCTCTCAGCTGGTTTCTTCCTGTTCCCTCCTCCTGGCACCCCAGACTCCAGCTGTGCACCTGCAGGCCTCTCTGGTTTTCCCTTCCCTCATAGCTCTCCCCTCCCACCCTCCCTACCCCCGGCTCCAGTAGGAGCCCACAGCCTCACTTCCTCCCTGCTCCCTCAGCCTCCAGGGAACAGCGTAAAGGCAAAGGCTAGGGCGGGGGGGCCCCAGCCCCCAGCCCCCACTGGTGTTCCTGAAGCTAGATCGGGTTCCTCAGAAGCAGGTCACAGGGTACAGTTCCTCTCAGGCTCTCCCCAGGACGGAGGTATAGGTTTCCCATTCATTGTTCCCACATCCTGAAACTCCCTGGGGACTACGTCCCTCCTCTTGGCAGCACAGAGAGGTAGCTGGTCAGTTGGCTCCAGTCAGGGCTCAGTTAGCCTCCTCATCTTCCACCCTGGAAAAATTGAGTCCCCGTGCTGAAGGACGCATAGGATGGCCAGTCCCCTCCCACCCCACCTCCCAGCTGGGGAATTGTGAGGAATGACCCAATGATTTTTTAAAGAATTTTTTAAAATTGGAAAGTCAGATATACAGAGAGACAGAGAGGAAAATTTTCCATCCGCTGGTTTACTCCCAAGCAGTGGCAATGGCTGGAGCTGCGCCAATCCAAAGCCAGGAGCCAGAAGCCTCTTACAAGTCTCCCACTCAGGTTACAGGACCCCAAGCTGTTCTCTACTGCTTTCCCAGGCCACGAGCAGGAAGCTAGATGGGAAGTGGGGCTGCCAGAATTAGAACCGGTGCCCATATGGGGTCCTTGTGCGTGTAAGACCTGATCCAGTGTTTCTTTATTGCATTTCCCCTTTACAGAGTGCCAGGCTGGGGTGGGAGGCGACAGGAGCAGCATCCCCTGTGCCCAACACCATGCCTAAGGCGACCATTCTCGGGCATGCTCAGTAGCCCCTGCAGGGTCTCCCCTAAACCAGCAAAGAGCACCCTTGGGAGTCCATCTCCCTGTCTTGGCATCTTTCAAACCTCTGTCCTCCTCCATACACCTCCTGCCTTTAGTGTCAGAGCATCTAATGACTGTCGCCATTTGGGGCTCCTTTCCTTGGCAGATGTGGAAACTTAGGAACCTGGCAAAAAAAAAAAAAAATGGAGGGAGCCACCAAGCCATCACACTAAGTCTCCAAAACCAGCTCCTGGCACTGGGAGGACTCCTCTTTGGTGCCTGTGCCCACCAGGACTGTGTCTGTCTGACTCCCAGCCTAGGGTTGTCCAAGTCTTTCCTGTTGAGCATTTGTTGTGGGGGGAAAAAAACAATGGAATTTTGTAAAACCCTTAGCAGCCAAAGATTCACGGAGGTTCAAACTCTGTAAACTTCTGTACAAAGAGTGTTCTGGATGGACTTGCAAGTTCTGTCTACTGTCTTCCCAGCAAAGGCTTCAGAGCCAAGTTCATCAACCCCGGTTCTTCTTTTACTGCTTGAAGAAGTGGGCGTTTCTGAACTTCTCTGGGGTATCAGATCCCAGGCTTTCCCGTCACTCCTGTTGGCACCACAATTCCAAGTAGAAACAGCAGCCTTCACAGTCTGACAATCGCTTCATGCTTAAATGTGCCATTTCCTATTTCTCTGCCTTCCTGACAACAATCCTGCTGGCGTCTTCTTCCCTTCTTCCTTCTGGTGTGCGGCTTTTTCTCGGCACGCAGAATATTTCCAAGACTTTGATGAGCACAGTGGAAGATAGCTTTAGCAGCTATTTTCTTACTGATTGGGAAGCAGCCCCGTGGTAAAGGTTGAGACAAGACCGGGAAAGGCTTTTGTGTTAAAACACAAGTTCAAGAGGCCAAATGCAACAGTCTAGACTACTGTGCACCGGCTGCTGAGACAGCAGCCACAGAACTGAAGCAGGGAGCTCCACGGAGCAAGGCTTCTCTAACAATTGCTCAGGTTTTGTAGAGCTTTCTACTGCTTCCTAGGCATTGGCGTACTTAAGCCTTGCACCACCTGTTGGGTAGCTGATGTCTGGGGAGGCTCATGGAGGTTGTGTGGTTGTCTGTATTCAGCATCTGGTAGCATTTTGGGTCTGAGGCCAAAGCCAAGTCCATTCTGTTTTACCATGAGCAGACTTCCAAATCCCAAGTGAGAACTGATGGTTAAATGGCAGGAAAAGAAAAATTATATACTTCTCTAAATAGATAAATGAGAGAGAGAGAGAGAGGAAGGAAAAGAGAGGCTGGTGTTGTGGAATAGTTGTTGAAACCACCACCTTCATTACCACCAATCCACATGGCCACTGGTTCAAGTCCTGGCTGCTCCATTGTCTGCTAGTGTACCTAGGAAAACAGTAGAGGATGGCCCAAGTATCTGGGCCTCTTACACCTGCATGGGAGACCAGATGAAGCTCTGGGCTCCTGCCTTTGGACCCAGCTTCACCTGGCCATTTGGGATGGCCAACTGAGGAGTGAATCTGTGGATGAAGATTTCTGTCTCTCCTTCTATTTGTTTTTTTTAAATAAACTTACCTTTTAATTTTTCTTTTTTTTTAATCTTTCCATTTTTCACACATTTTTAATAAAAGTTTTAACAATTTATTTATTTATTTTTACTGGAAAGTCAGACTTACAGAGAGAGGAGAGATATAGAGAAAAATCTTCCATTTGTTGATTCACTCCCCAAGTGGCCACAGTGACCAAAATTGAGCCGATCCAAAGCCAGGAGCCAGGAGCTTCTTCCAGGTTTCCCATGCGGGTACAGGGTCCCAAAGCCTTAGGCCATCCTCTGCTGCTTTCCCAGGTCACAACCAGGAAACTGGAAGGAAAGTGGAGCAGTGGGGAAATGAACTGGTGCTCATGTGAGATCCCAGTACAGGCAAGGAAAGGACTTTAGCCACTAGGCTACCGTACCAGTCCCCTCTCCCTCTGTTTATAACTCTGCCTTTCAAATGATAAATAAAGCTTAGAGATAGAGAGAGAAAAGAAGACTGCTCACCTGAGCTTCTCGTTAAAACAGAGAGATTTGAGGGAGTGAGAGTCTCTGGTAATCTTTTTACTTGACATCTGCAGCCAGGAACCATTTACAATAAGCTGCAAAAAAGGAAGGAGTTTGCATCAATCTGCCAGTGCCTGGCCCCAGAAAGGAGCTCAATAAAGATTTGTTGAATGAACGGAACAACCGAAACAGGCTCCGAGGGCAGAGGCAGGAACCCAGGCCACGTGTAGGACACAGAAGAATGCACACAGGAATCACCAGGCCATCCCAAAGATATTGAACAAGAGGAGAGAGGGCGGGAGTGCAGAACAGGGGACTCAGTTCCAGAAATACAAATTACTCTCAAAAGCCTGCAGGCTTCAGGATTTCAAATGAGAAATCTCGGAGCAGGAAATTCAATGCAAGTCCTTGGAGACTGAAAGCTTAATTGCTGAGCTCATGCCATGGGTCTGGCAGCACCATGGAAGCAGGAGGAGAACTCAGCACTTGGCATCATCGCCTAGAGACTCTACAAGTGCCATCCCCAGATGCAAGATGGGCTGGGTCTGCAGCATGGCCTGAGCACCCATCCCTCCAGTTCCACTCAGAGCTGACCCTGGGGGCTATTCAGCCTGTGTCCCTTTAGGAACCAAGAATGGAGGCTTTGAAAGAGAAGTCGAGCCCAGGATCACACAGCAAATTCACAGCAGTGATTGGCATGGAGCCCAGGCTCATAACTCCTGACCCCATGCCAGCTCCCCAACCCCCCGATACCCTTCAGCCCCACCTGCCCAGCTCTGGCTCCTGGCCCCACCCAGCTTTCCACCTGGCCTCTTCCCACCTGCAGGTCAGTATCACAGTGATCGAGGCTCGGCAGCTGGTGGGCTTGAACATGGACCCCGTGGTGTGCGTGGAGGTGGGCGACGACAAAAAGTACACATCCATGAAGGAGTCCACGAACTGCCCCTACTACAATGAGGTCAGTGGCCCCAGGGCCTTTGCGGTGATGGGGGTAGGGACTAAGAGGTGGCACTCTCCAGACGAGTTCGGTCTGAGCGCCAGTGAGGCCAGGAGCAGCAGCCAGGATTTGAAGGACACAGAAGGCCACCAATAGGGATGGCTTTGCCCCAACCTGTAATAGCCGCCAGCACACTACACACACTGCCAGATCTTTTGATGCCAATCTAGATCCCAGCCTGACCCTGGACTAGCCAGGGGACATGTCCTGGAAGAACACAGCCCTGGCACCCCCAGTGCTTCCAGCTGTAAACCTCACACTCTCACATGGCCCAGTCCCAGCTGCCTGCCTGGGGCAGTGTGGCATTGGCACTGTCAACAAACAGTTTCCCAAGGCCTCTCCCAAGTCACTCTCCCAAGGCCTGGGGCACCCGGCCTCTTCTGGCTCTCTCAGTGGTGTCAGACACTGTAATCCCTACACACAGGAAGCCCTGAGGCTCTCTAAGCACCGAGTTGGGAGCTGTTGTGCATTACCAGCTGCCGAGTCTCCACCACAGGCTGTCTAGGCATTGGCCTTGACTTTGGGGTGCCCAAGAGAAAACAATTGGAACCTACTCCTGTCCTTTAGGGCAGACCGAAGCCACACAGAAGGTGGCTGACCTCAGGGAACCAGTAGTTCCATCTCCCGAAGACCTCAATGTAAGATCATTTCCCACAACCTCAGAGAGCGGTGCGAAGGGAGTGGGGCCTATGCCGTCCGCCTCCAGCCCAATCTCTGGGCACCACACAGTCACAGTGTCCTGACTTTCAGACTCCATGTGGGAGCCTTGGGTGAGAGGGTGCCTGTGTACCTGTCAGATCAGCCAAAAAGTCCTTGGTCTCAGGGCCCTGGGTGCTCCAGCCAGCAGAGCCAGTAATGTGGACGCAACAAGGGTCTGGGGATGAGGCACTAATAGGAGACCAGTGATGGCGGAAGTCTCTCTCAAGCCTCTCTTTATTACTCCTTATATACTCTTTCCCCCAAGCCCTTTAACAGAACAACAGGATGCCAATGAGTCTGATTAGACCAGGTGCTTTCAGCTGCAAGCCCATTTCCTGAAGTGCTCAGCTTAACAAGTGCTAATCAACTCCTTAGCCCACAACACCTGGACAGCCCCTTCTCAGAGGGGACACCCAGTTAGTTTCTCCTGGCAGCCGCAGGCTGGCCCAAGTGAGGCATCTATGTCCCATGTCCTGTGAGGGCGTGGGACCAAGCATGTCCTCCCCTTGGGCAGGTCAGGGAGCGTCCATCCCTGTACCTGCTGGGAGAAAATCTGTACATACCTCTGACTTCTGCCCAGGGCCCAGCTGTACCCTCTTCCCTATGAGCACACAAGGTCCTCAGGGTGGAATGTCACTGGCCAGCCCCAGGCAGAGCTGGGACATCAGGCTCCTGATCTGACAGGATACATCCCTAGCTTAGACAGGGCTTTGTTCTCCCACAGCCAAGGCCAAGCTCCCTGCAACTGGCTGTGGGGCTCATCTGGCAACCAACCCACAAGCCTTAGGCTTCATTCAAACTGCTTATGCATGCCAAGGTACAGAGCTGCTCCCGGCTCCAGAATTCCTCCTGCCCACTCCTCCTCACCCTGCAAGGCCCAACTCCAGTGTCCCCGCCCCTTCCAGGTCAAGGCTGTCCCTGACTTGTGGCTGAGCCTTCATGCCTGCATCCCCTCTGGCCTCCTGCATCACCTTGGCCCAGCTCAGAGCCTGATGCAGACCTGACTTGGAGGGTCTGCATGTGGCTGAGTAGACTGTCTCCCAGGCAAAGAAATCAGCATCTGCTGAGCACCTGCTGTGTACCAGGCCATCGCACGTGGAGCAGCCCGAGGGGTGGGAGGAGGATTGAGAGCTTGGAGACAATGGCAACACAGTCTGTGCCCCATAGCTCAGCTCCTGGCTCCAGCCTGAAGGGCAGCTTCTAAGCCCCATGTGCAGCCCCCAAGCCCAGCTATCCTGCTCCTCTCTGGACCATCTTACATTTGTGCCTGGTCCCAGTTTCCTCCTTTTTCATAAACCCCAGTAGCTCTGATTTCATTTCTATTGGTTTCTCCTGACCCACGGTTTCTCAGACCCAGCACAGTGGCTGCTATGAATTAGAGAATTCTCTATTGGTGTGTCCTGGACATGATAGGACATGGTCAGCATCCCTAGCTTCACCCACTGGAGGCCAGTAGCAACTAACATTCTTCCTCAGCTGTAGCCAATGGAAATGTTTCCAGACATGGCCTAATGTTCCCCATGGGGTGACAGTCATCCCCACTGGAGACTCCACACTCAACTGCCTTGCTGTGGTCACCTCCTGCCCCTGCCACGGCTTGCTTGCTCTGTTCTTCTCTTCCTATGCCCTGGTCCTATCCAATGCAAGTACCTCTTCTGGCTGACCTCCAAAATGCACTAAGACACCAGAGGGAGCAGTTAGCAGGACATAGCAAAAGAGATGCTCCATCGGGTTGCCACCTGCATGCATCTGGCCCCTCTGGCAGGCATTGGGGAGGCCTGTCCTTCCTCCCACCTAAGATCAGTGCTACCCTTTGCCTCGGATCCTCTCCATGTGCATCCCAAAGAATCCAGTATCATCACACTGTTCACCAACAGCCTTGCTCTATCTTTGCTTTCTCCCGGCCCCTCACCGGACTGCAAAGGATCTTATTCCAGCACATACTACCTGAACACAACCAGGAAACCCCACAGATGCCCAGGACAGGAACTGGAAGTCTGGCATCTGTCCGTCAGTGGATGGCGGCCTCCTTCACTCCCACAACCCTCTCTGGGGACCAGCTCCTTTCCCTTCTTGCACAGACAGACGTGGGAGTTGTCCTCCCCTCCCCTTACTTGCTCCTGTCACTTTTCAATCTGCAGAAGCTTCTCCTCCACAGTGTCACTGAAAGCTGGCTCCTCGGGGCTCCTGAGCACCTCACCCACAGCTGCCCAGCCCCCTGTCCTCTTGTCTGCCCCATGCCACTCCCCCAAACCTCTTCCTGACCCCTTCCTTGGCCCACCACCACAGAAAATCTGCTGTCTTGGAGCCCTGTCTGTGGCCTGGATTCCCTCACTCTCCTTCAGAGCCTCCCTCCACCCCTAAGGCTTCCATGTTCCTCCCCCTTAGCCTCTCCCTGTCACCAGAACTACAGATTTGACTATAACTGTAGCACTTGCACCTGTTACCCAGCTCCCAGTGGTCACCCTTTGCACTGAGCTCACCGCTTACACCCTGGGCGGCATGCTTGGACTGGGCTCATCTTGTTCTGACCTCAGAGCTCCCATTGAATCCCTAACACTCTCCCCCAGAATGGTCCAGTGGGGCAGCCCAGGATCACAGTCTCTACGTCACAGAGGGGTAAACTGAGGCTCAGGGAGGGATGCCAGACCTACCAGGTATAGCCCAATCCCTGGCACTTTGACCCCTAGTGCCCAAATAGGAGCCTTCCATAGCTCGGGACCTGTCATGTCTGGACATTGAGCTCATCAGTCTCACTGCCCACAGGTCCACAAGGCGGTAGGCCCTCTACTCACTACCCACACCCCTTCCCCCAGGGCCTGAGACACCCAGGCCAGGGGCAAAGAAGTTCCCAGTTAAGAGCCCATTGAATGCCTTCGCAACACACACCAAGTTTCATCTGCTGTAAGACCTGCCTTGTACATTTCATGTCACTGAGGCTGGGCCTCGGGGCACGTCTTCTATTAGAGGTTGTAGTTTCATGGCACCATCAAACCATAGGGCAGCTTGTAGTCCATGGCATCTTAGGTGTCAATGGCATATGCTGCAATTTCTCATCTGGGCCTCGAGAAGGGATTCTGTCCTTGTCCCCGTTTTGCAGCTGGACAGGGGCAGAACTGATACTAGACCCCAGGTCTCCCTGGCCGCCTGGCCCTGGCCTGTGGATGTAGACTTTCCACCTGCTTTTCCACAGCCGTCTGCATTGGCCCCGCCCAGTGGTCAGGCCCTGCCTCCCTCCCAGGGGCAATCAGAATCAACCCATTGCCTGCAGCCTACCTATTTGACCATCGGGACTTTAGGAAATCTTCAGGGGAAACAGCCCATGGTAAACAGCCAGGGTGTAGACAGGCACTGTCCAGGGCTGCCACTATTGCCCACCAATGATGGCAGCCTGGTTCCTTTCCCCTCTCCAGTATTTCGTCTTCGACTTCCATGTCTCTCCCGATGTCATGTTTGACAAGATCATCAGGATCTCGGTGAGTGTGAGCACAACCCCAGCTGGCGTGGCCACCCAGTGAAGCAGCACCCTTGTGCAAACTTGCAGTCCCCCTGGCTAAGCCCATGATGAAAAGGCAGTCTCTGTCATGGACAGGCCTGCTGGACAATGGGGCACCCAGGCTGGATTTGGGCCTCTTAAGCAGGATGCCTCTGTGGAGTGCACAGCTGGCTGTGCATAGCATCAGTCAAAGGAAAAAGAAAAACAGGTGTGAGCATCAGGAACAGTGATGAACCCAACAAACACACCCCCCCCACACACACACACCCTGCAAATGCCCTCCTGTGTCACCACAAAGCTCAGGCCCCCAGAAAGACTGGAATGGGGCCACCCCCACCAGACCTGACTGGGGATTCTGCTGGAAGGTGATTCACTCCAAGAACCTGCTACGCAGCGGCACCCTGGTGGGCTCCTTCAAAATGGACGTGGGGACTGTGTACTCCCAGCCTGGTGAGTAGCTGTGCACAGGCCGGGCAGCCCCGGTGTCCTGGGCTTAGGGCATGAGGCTTGCCTTTTCCCTGTGCTCAGCCTGACAGGGACCACTGCCACAGCCTGGACGGTGTATTCATAGCCATGCAGCCTGCACAAACAGTATGGCAAGCACCCCTCCCAGATCCTGATTTCCTGCCATGTGCAGCTTGGGGGGTGGTCACAGTGGCCGGTGAATCCCCCAGGGTGAGGTGCTGGGTGTAGTGCCCACTTCTCACCACCCCAGAACACCAGTTCCATCACAAGTGGGCCGTCCTGTCGGACCCCGATGACATCTCTGCTGGGCTGAAGGGCTATGTGAAGTGTGACGTCGCCGTGGTGGGCAAGGGGGACAACATCAAGACACCCCACAAGGCCAACGAGACGGATGAGGAGGACATTGAGGGGTGAGGACCCAACTCAGCCCACGCTCCCCTGGAGACCTGACCCCAAAGCAAGCTCCCAGGGGTGGACTTGGCCACAAATGCATGGCCACATACTACTCTGGCCCTGGCTCTCACCCACACAGCCCATTCTTCCGGCAGGGACTATGCAGGGTCGGGCCAGGGTTGGTGCAAGGTGGTTAAGGAATGATGGTCATTTAGACCCCTGATTGTGGGAAATTTGGCCGGAAGAGGGGGTGCTGGCAGACCAGAGCCCAGGGCCTGCAGGTCCCATCAGGATATATCCCAGAGAGCAAAGAGATTTCATCCTATGTGCCATTTCCAGACAGACTTTGGAAATAATCTGGAACCTTCTCTAGACTCAGTGGGAAAGGTGCCGGTATCTAGTGAGTCTCGCGCTCTGTGGGCGAGGGAAGGGAGGGCAGCTGCCTGTGAGGTTTTTATCTGGGAGGCAAAAGCCCCACACACAATGGGAAGAGGTTGATGATGACAAACACCTCATATAAACCTTTCAGAGCTTGATAGTGCTTGCGGGATGGGATGGGGATTATCATTACAGTGCAACAGAGACAAGCAAAGCTCAGGAAGAAGGGGAAGTTTGCCCAGGCAGGATCCCCTGAGGAAGCAGGTGTCTTTCCTGGTGCCTAGCCCCTCTCAGCTATTGCTCACAAGACCGTCAGGGCCCAGGGGCATGGCAGTGCTAGGGGTGGGGGATGGGACAGGGAGCCTGGACCTGGTTCCTGTGTCAACAGGAACTTGCTGCTGCCTGAGGGCGTGCCCGCAGAACGGCAGTGGGCCCGGTTCTACGTGAAAATATACCGCGCAGAGGGGCTGCCCCGCATGAACACAAGCCTCATGGCCAACGTCAAGAAGGCATTCATTGGTGAAAACAAGGACCTCGTTGACCCCTACGTGCAGGTCTTCTTCGCTGGTCAGAAGGTACTGGGTAACAGGCATCCGAGGGACAGGTGATGGACAGGGGTCTGGGAGCAGACATGAGGCACAAGCACAGGCTTCCACTGGGTGGAGCTGGGAGGGGAAGACTGGGTTGAGCCTCCTGTCCCTGTGAACTCAGTTTAAGGAATCCTCTGCCTCAAGGCATTCTCAGACCAAGGACTGGCCTGGAGGGGAGGGGCGGGTAGAGTCTGGGTGGCTAAGGGTTGGGAGGAAGTGCAGGAGGCAACTCCATGAACACACATACACACACCACACACATATCCTGGCCCTCACTCCCTCCCACCAGGGCAAGACGTCAGTGCAGAAGAGCAGCTATGAGCCACTGTGGAACGAGCAAGTGGTCTTCACAGATCTGTTCCCCCCACTCTGCAAACGCATAAAGGTGCAGATCCGAGACTCAGACAAGGTCAACGATGTGGCCATCGGCACCCACTTCATTGACCTGCGCAAGATTTCCAATGATGGAGACAAAGGTGAGCCCCTGAGAACTAATGCCATCCCGGCCTCCCAAAGGCTCTGTCTCACCACTGCCACCATGCCACCCTCAGCGCCACCCCTAGCCTCCCAAGGGCTCTGTTAGCAGCCCCCTCCTCAGGGCAAAGGGGGGGTTGTAGCTCAGGCCCACTGGGAGCTGCCAGAGCCTGGCTGCCCATTTGGCAGGTGCCCTCTGTGCCACCTGGCCATCTCAACAGTGGAAATACTCCCCCTTAGATAATATCAGAACCTCAGCATGAAGTCCAGACTGTTCCGTGCGCCTGTACATGGATGCCGTATAGATATATCTACTTCAGATCGTTCATGGAAGTGCATCTTAGAAAAACAAAAACAGCCAGCCATGGATGCCACTTTTCTACATAAGTAGACTTATCGTTCAATTGCATTTCCCATAAACTTGCTGAAATACCCAAATAATGACCATTTCTACAGCAGCCCCTCCACATGGTAGCAGTGGGGACCAAGCGCCTCAGGGATAGTGGGTGAGACAGCAACCTCCGCTGTCCTCAGGGCTGGCTGTGCCCATCGTAGGCAGAAGACACAAAATGCCACAGGCTGTCTGATTGCATGTATATGGAGCATCCAGGACAGTTGGCAGACTCCTGCCTTCCAGGAAGCAGGGGAAGCCAGCCACTCACTCAAGGGCACAGTGTTTCTTTGCATGGGAGCCAAGAGTGGAAATGTTCTGGAATTAGATGACAGTTGCACAACCTAGTAGATATATTGAAAACTACTAATGTGTATTTTTAAATGGGGAAGATTTTATGCTCAGATACATGTTTTTAAATGTGATAAATATTTCTTAAAAAGGTAGAATGAAACAACACCTAGGGCAGAAGGGTAGAAGTATGCCCACACTACACACAAGCCCCAGTAAATCCTAAGCATGGGGGTGTGAATGCTGACCAGGAACTGGGGGGGTTCTCTCTGAAGAAGCCCACCCCCAGGCAGAGAAAGGAGGGGTACATATTGCAAGCAGGGGGAACATACAATGGGACATGTGTCCCCCAAGATGTCCTCCAAGACCCCAGGCCATGCTCAGGAGTCCGAGGAGGGCTGGCCTCCATCCTGCAAGTGGGGTGTCAGCAGGAAGTAGGGGGTCTGCTTTTACCTCCCACCATGCCCTACTCAGGCTTGGCAGAACCCAAGTGCTGTGTACACACCCAAGGGGGTACCCTCCCAGGACACACAGCAGAAAGCCAGCCCTCAGCCCTGTGAGCAGGGGTGGAAGCCAGCAGCTACCACCCCCTGCAAGGATGCCCTCGCCCCAGGGGAGCCCCAAGCTTGATATGGGCCCCTCCACCCTGTCCTGGTCACTACAGGTTTCCTGCCCACACTGGGCCCGGCCTGGGTGAACATGTATGGCTCCACTCGCAACTACACACTGCTGGATGAACACCAGGACCTGAACGAGGGCCTGGGCGAGGGTGTGTCCTTCCGTGCCCGCCTCATGCTGGGCCTGGCCGTGGAGATCCTGGACACCTCCAACCCTGAGCTCACCAGCTCCACGGAGGTGCAGGTGGAGCAGGCCACGCCTATCTCCGAGGTGAGTCCCCCAACCCTCCAGATGGCAGCCTCCAGGCTTTTCCTGTTACTGTCCTGTCTCCCCAAGAAAGCCGGACTCTGGGACCTGGCCAACCTCCCTGCAGAGGCAGTGATCCCCTGCTCCACCCCTCAGTGGGACCTGGGTACCTGTCCACCACCTGCCTGTGTCCTGGCCACAGGTCCACCATAGCCACCAGTTGCACCCACCCCTCTGTTCAGCCACAGCTGCCTCTGTGGGTACAGAGTCCGAGCCCCCACCCTGGGTCCAGTGACAGCCTGTGTAGCTCACAGGCTGCTGTCAGCATCCCCCACCCCACAGAGGGCTGTGAGACCTGCAGTTCCCCTGAAGTTTAAGGACGGTTTGAAGTTTAAGGACGGTTTGCCTCCCCTACAGAGCTGCACAGGGAAAATGGAAGAATTCTTTCTATTTGGAGCCTTCCTAGAAGCCTCAATGATTGATCGGAAAAATGGAGACAAACCAATCACCTTTGAGGTGACCATAGGTGAGTGGGAAGGTCTTCTCACAGCCTGTTCTCACACCACCTTTGTGGGTACATGGTGGGCAGGGGCACACCACATTCTATGGAGAAAGAAGAGTAAGAGGGAAGGAGGGCAGGCCCTTGGGGCTGGAGAAAGGACCGTGGGAACATCCTGGGTGGGCCTGACTGCCCTGACTCCTGGCTTCCCCGCACCTTGCCCCAAGGCAGCCCCTGGATTGCAGGGCAGGTGGAGCCCCCACGGCGAGGCCCTTCCACCCTAGAATACCTATTCCGCTTCCAGGCAACTACGGGAATGAAGTCGATGGCCTGTCACGGCCCCAGCGGCCCCGGCCCCGGAAAGAGACTGGGGACGAGGAGGAAGTGGACTTGATCCAGAACTCGAGCGACGACGAGGCGGACAACGGCGGGGACCTGGCTTCTGTCTCCTCCACTCCACCCATGCGGCCCCAGATCACAGACAGGTAGGACTGGCCTCCTGCCCTCCTGCGACCTGGCCCTCCCACCTCCCCAGGCCTCAAGCTCTCACTCCTCTTCTTAGAAACTATTTCCACCTGCCCTACCTGGAATGCAAGCCGTGCATCTACATCAAGAGCTGGTGGCCAGACCAGCGTCGCCGCCTGTACAACACCAATATCATGGACCACATAGCTGACAAGCTGGTCAGGGCCGGCTGGGGGCAGGAGAGGAGTGGGGGTGGCAGGGGACGCAGGTGTGGCCTGTAGGGCACAGACCTGTGTGCCCAGGGCTGGCCATGGGAACTGTGGCGGCTGCAGAAATGACTTCAGGAGCACCTCTGCTCCGGCCTGGGCTTGGGGGAGGAGCCCGAGGTCCCATGGGCCCTCCAGTCCCGAGGGTCAGTGCATGCCCACCCTGGCCACAGGAAGAAGGACTGAATGATGTGCAGGAGATGATCAAGACGGAAAAGCCCTTCCCGGAGCGGCGGTTGCGGGGCGTGCTGGAGGAGCTGAGCTGCGGCTGCCAGTGAGCGGGTGTCAGAGTGGGGCCCAGCCGGCCAGTGCTGGGCGGGGGCGGGGGAGGGTCACAGGCTGAGCCCCCAACTTTACCCCCTCACCCCCCACCCCTCCAGCCGCTTCCTGTCCCTCGCTGACAAGGACCAGGGGCATGCGTCCCGCACCAAGCTCGACCGGGAGCGTCTCAAGTCGTGCATGCGGGAGCTGGTAAGGGTCTATAGGGGGACGGAAGGGTGCTGGGGGCAGGCTCTAGCCTGGAAAGGGAACACCAGCCCCTCGGAGGGCACAGCTCTCTCCCTCTTCCCCACCTTGCCATCCCCTCAGGAGAGCATGGGCCAGCAGGCAAGGACTCTGAGGGCACAGGTGAAGCGACACACGGTGCGGGACAAGCTGCGGCTATGCCAGAACTTTCTGCAGAAGCTACGCTTCCTGGCAGATGAGGTGTGGGGGCTTTCAGGGGGATCTAGGCTGTGTGGTAAGGGGTGCTGGGGACCCCCCATAAAAAAGGTCCCCTGCTGTGACGAGCTTGAAGATCGAGCTACACTGACACCCTTCCCACAGAGGCCTCCCAGCTTGTCCTCATGTATGCTGGCTTTGGGGTGGAAAAGTAGTGTAGTCGGTCCCAGCGAACCCCCTAACCGGCGCCCCCCAACATCCTGGCCGTAGCCCCAGCACAGCATCCCTGACGTGTTCGTCTGGATGATGAGTAACAACAAGCGCATCGCCTATGCCAGGGTGCCCTCCCAGGACCTGCTCTTCTCGCTGGTACAGGAGGAGATGGGCAAGGACTGCGCCAAGGTCAAGACGCTCTTCCTTAAGGTGCCAGCGCACAGGATCCCCGGGGGCTTGCGGGGCCCACCTGGGCATGGCAGGCCTGGGTGCCACTCTCAGTAGCAGATGCTCAGGGACAGGCTACCAAGGGAGGAGCCACTCTGACCCAGGCCCTCTGCAGCCCCTGCCATACCCAGGCCCTCCCCATCCCTAGCCCCCCACTTCCTGAGCCCTGGCAGCTGTCAGGCTCCCGGTAATTCTGTGTCCACCCCCAGCTGCCGGGGAAGAGGGGCTTCGGCTCAGCAGGCTGGACGGTGCAAGCCAAAGTGGAGCTTTACCTGTGGCTAGGCCTCAGCAAGCAGCGCAAGGACTTCCTGTGCGGCCTGCCCTGCGGCTTTGAGGAGGTCAGGGCAGCCCAGGGCCTGGGCCTGCACTCCTTCCCGCCTATCAGCCTGGTCTACACCAGTGAGTGAGGGATGCACTCCCCTCCTAGGCCTGTCATCCTGCGGGGGGAGCGGGGGCATTCAAGGGCTTCCACCCGCACCGCTGCCCAGCCTCAAGTCCGCTCCTTGCTCACACACACAGAGAAACAGGCCTTCCAGCTCCGAGCCCACATGTACCAGGCCCGCAGCCTCTTTGCTGCAGACAGCAGTGGACTCTCAGACCCCTTCGCCCGTGTCTTCTTCATCAACCAGAGTCAGTGCACGGAGGTGAGCACCTGGGGGTGTCGGACAGGCCTGGACGGTCAGCCAGCTTCTGAGAGGGCCTTAGTCACACTGGTATGGGCTCAGGCTGTGATGGCGGGGCCGTACTAGCTGGACTGGGCACCTGTTGGCAGGGGCTGGAGCAGACCTCACCTCGGCCTTGACCCTGAGATCCCTAGAGTTGTCTGAGAAGCTGACGCTCCTAGTCAGAGTTCCTATCCACCCACCCCGACCCCTGGAAGCTGTGGCATCCTTGCAAGGCTCTAGCCCCTCTCTCTCGGCACCCTGCACGACAGGTGCTAAACGAGACCCTGTGCCCGACCTGGGACCAGATGCTGGTGTTCGACAACCTGGAGCTGTATGGCGAGGCCCACGAGCTGCGGGACGACCCCCCCATCATTGTCATCGAAATCTACGACCAGGACACCATGGTAGGAGTGGGCCCTCTCCGTGCCACGCCATGCCATGCCCACCCCTCACTCCCTGTGCTCCACTTCTGCTGGGCAGTACCAGCTGCCCTACCCATGCTTCCCTGCTGCGTGCTTGCTGAGAAGTGGGAGTCTGGGCAGCCCACCAGCCCCTCTAGAGGCTTCCTGCCAGCTTGCTGCATCCTGACCCCGACACCAAGGCCCTCAAGGGATCTCAGGAGCCAGGCCAGGCCGTCGTTACCTCCTGGAGCTGGGCAGCACGTCTTGATGTTCCCAGCCCCCATCCACAATGCCTCCCCACTACCCATTAGCCTCCCCCCCACAGCTCTCCATTAGTGGTTCTGGAGTGGGGAGTCGAGGGTGACCCCTAAGAGTTGGGGAGCTCTGCCCAAGAGGTAGGAGGACTTCTCATCAGATCTCAAATCCTTTGTCTTCTGCTCACTGACTCCTGGCCTTGAACATGTCTTGAATGGCTTGGTCTTCCCATCCATGGAATGGGGTGGTCGCACTTGCCCCGTGCAATAACTCACGAGGCAACGGTGAGGCCCGAGGGAGGCGGCAGGTGCAAACTCACGCAGCAAGCACCAGACACCAGCGGGTGCTTACCATGTTAGGGCAAAGCCGACTTCATGGGCCGTACCTTCGCCAAGCCCCTGGTGAAGATGGCAGACGAGGCATACTGCCCACCCCGCTTCCCGCCCCAGCTGGAGTACTACCAGATCTACCGCGGCAATGCCACAGCTGGAGACCTACTGGCTGCCTTCGAGCTCCTGCAGGTGGGATGCCATGCCCAGAAGCCTCTCCTAGCGTTTCTCAGGCAGGGGGTTGTGGTCCCTTGGCCTGCTCCGTCTCCCCTGAGCTCAGACATGCAGATCATGGGAGAGAGTAATCACTGAGTGACCTGTGACTCCACTCCGCAGATTGGGCCAGCAGGGAAGGCCGACCTGCCCCCCATCAATGGCCCGGTGGACGCTGACCGAGGGCCTATCATGCCCGTACCTGTGGGCATCCGCCCCGTGCTGAGCAAGTACCGGGTGGAGGTGGGTGAGGGCCCCCTCCCTGTCCCCTCTCCTACCCCACATGGCCTCGCTGCAACTTCCAACCGCACATCCTCATTTCCGTTCACCTCCTCTGCATCCTGCACTGTTGGTACAAGACCCGGGGTCCAGGAGAGGAAGTAACTTGTGCAAAGTCACTGCCAGGAGCCAACAGTAGACCTAGGGCCTGCTCCCTAACCCACCCCACCCTGCCCCATCTGTGCTGAGTCACACTGCCATGCCAGGCTGTCCTTGGCCTCCTAGAGTGTCTCCGTGTTCATTCTCTGCACAGCTCAGGGACAGTTCCCCCAGCCCTGCCCCACCTCTGAGATCTGTTCTCTGTCCCATGGCCCTGAGCCACCTTGCTCTCCTCCTCCCCTACTCCACCTCTCCCAGGTGCTGTTCTGGGGCCTGCGGGACCTGAAGCGGGTGAACCTGGCACAAGTGGACCGGCCACGGGTGGACATCGAGTGTGCAGGGAAGGGGGTGCAATCGTCCCTGATCCACAACTACAAGAAGAACCCCAACTTTAGCACCCTAGTCAAGTGGTTTGAGGTGGTGCGTGCCAGCTGCCTTGGGGGGGGGCTGAGTGCAGCAGATAGACATGGGTACAGGGGAAGAGCTGGCTGTGACTTCTGTGGGTATCCCGGCCCTCTGCACTGAGGCCCAGACCCCCCATGGTTCCCCACTCCCCAGGATCTCCCCGAGAATGAGCTTCTGCACCCACCCCTGAACATCCGCGTGGTGGACTGCAGGGCCTTTGGCCGCTACACCCTGGTGGGCTCACATGCCGTCAGCTCCCTACGACGCTTCATCTACCGGCCTCCAGACCGCTCAGCCGCCAGCTGGAACACCACAGGTATGGCCAGGGTCACGGGCATGGCCACATGAAGCCCAGGCTGCCCTCACCCTCCCACGTAGGGCTCCAGTGCAGGGCCAGGGTTGGCTTGAGGGGTTGGCAGGGCTCAGGAAGATGAGCCCTGTTCTGTGCACAGAAGAAGGCTGCCCAGGACAGCCCCACTGTTTGGAAGTGTGAGGGCCAAGCCACGGACATATGGGCAGAGCTGGGCCCTGGCAGGGCCCTCCCATCCTCCTCTAGGCTATTCAGCCCCAGCACACCTCTTCCTCCCTCTGGCTCTTTCCCGTCCCAGACCCATCTTTCTCCCTCCAGAATATTCCAGTCAGTCCTGGGCCCCTGCTCCTCCCTCTCTCTGTCCACTTGTCTGTCTGTATCTCTGTCCAGCCTGGCTTTTCTGGAGGTGGGGGACTACTGTGCAATGGGGGACCCCTCCTTCCTGTCACTCCTCAGGGGAGATTGTGGTGAGCATGGAGCCAGAGGTACCTGTGAAGAAACTGGAGACCATGGTGAAACTGGACGCGGTAAGCCTGGGATCTGCACCCTGGCTGGGCCGAGGCAGCGGCAGCAGACAGACATGTGGTGTGAGCCGGGCCCTGGGCCCCCAGAGAGAAAGGCGTGCTAGTCACACACCTCCATGCTGATGCTGTCCCAGATCACACACACACACACACATCACTTGTATACAGGTGGCATGCATGTATGTGTGGCCATGTGTATGCATGAGGGACAGTCTGAAGGAGTGGCCTGCAGTAGTTGCACTGGAGTCAAGGGGTTCCCTGTGAATCCTGCAGAGGGGACAAGATGGTGTGGGTGGGAACACTGCTCTCCGCCTCCCACCCTCACCACTGCAGGCAGCTGCTGAGGTCTAAGCTTGCTTGGAAATGACCCCTTGACCATGAATCTCTGACCCCAGGGAGGTCCCAACCAACGGGCAGAGCAGGTGCTGGCCTCCCAAATCCCTGTTCCCCAGCCTCAGGTCACCATCAGCACAGGCTGGGTGGCACCGGCCCCCTCCTGGCAGGGCATTTTGGCTAGCATTCTTTCCCACTGTGTAATTGTGCATGTGTCAGCTTGGTCGTGATGGGCGTAGCCTGCGTGCCCGAGCAGGCCTCCCCTGCTCAGCCACAGCCACGCAGGCCAACCCTGCAGTGTCTTTTGTAGAAGCTTTCCAGTGATGTCACATGCAGCCAGGGCTGAGGCCAATCCCAGAAGCTGTGAGGGACAGCAGCAGCATAGCCTGGCACACAGCCTGGGCAGTGGGCCCATTACTCGAGACCCCACCCTCCTGTCCTGCACTCCCTGGGCTGGGTACAGCTGCCTCCTGACACCCATCTCGATGTTTCTCATTGGTAGACCTCTGATGCTGTTGTCAAGGTGGACGTGGTGAGTATGGGCACCACAGAGGGGCTCTGGGGTGAAGGGCCCTAAGCTGGCATCAGTGTCAGGCCAGAGAACCCAGACAGGGGTGCTGCAAGGCCCCTTGCTTTCCCCCCAAGCCTCCTGGTGGCCAAGGCTTTCCCTGAGCACAGGGTCAAGATGCAGGGAGGGGGGTCCTCAAAATTCTGAAGGATCACAATGAAGGTGTCCAGGGTTATACAGGGTCAGGATGGAGGAGGGGTCCCTGGGAATGTCATGGCTGTAGGCTGGGCCATGGAGTGGGGAAACCAGCGGGACTTTGCACCTGCCCCTCCCTCCCCAACACACATACACACACACACACACACACACAGGCCGAGGAGGAGAAGGACAAGAAGAAGAAGAAAAAAAAGGGCAACTCAGAAGAGCCAGAGGAGGAGGAGACGGACGAGAGCGTGCTGGACTGGTGGTCCAAGTACTTTGCCTCCATCGACACCATGAGGGAGGTGAGAAGGCCCTGGGCACAGGCTGGGAACCAGGAGAGGGAAGGCAACCCCAGCCCGGCCCCCAATCTAGCCCCCAGCCCTGGCCGCTCCCATCCCTGGCGGCCCCACAGCCCTCCACTTCCACTGGTATGAGCCCTTCATGGCCTTGGCCCCCCTCCTGGAGGGTCCAGCCCAGCACTCTGCTTTGCCCGGCCAGTGGCCCCATCTGCCTTCCCTGTGGGCTCTCCCTGTATCCTCTCCATTCATTTACAAGCATCACTGGTGCCTACATGGCGAGGCAGACACCATGCTAGGTCCTGTGGAACCTAAGTGATACGGCACCAAACCCAACCATTGGAGCCCCTGGACTTACTGGGCACAAGACACAGAAGCAGCTGACAGGTCTCGGGGAGGCAGGGAAGGCTGCGTGGAGGAGATTGAGAAAAAAGGAGCAGGGTGTGACTGCTGCTCGGCAGTGCTCACTGACCTTCCTCATATTGTTTCGTTACATCTTGGTCACCAATACTGGCTGCGTGCCTGTGGATTCTGCCCAATGAACCATATGGAAGCTTCCAGGGGAATGCATGTCCTTCCTCTTACTCTTTCTCTCTCCTCCATGCTGCTGCTTTCTCAGACACTCCCTCCCTGGCCAAGTGACCAGAGAGTCATGTGCCTGCAGTTGGGTTTCTTTGTTGTAGCCTGAACTGACCCTCCTGTCACCAAGGCACTCTCTAGAACCCATCCATGTTAGCCCAGAGCAAGCTGAGCAATCCCCACAGCCGGGCGGGACAGGAGACACAAGATCCTTTCTCTTCCAGCATCTCAGAAGGCAGGAGTCAGCCCGGCTGGTAGCTCAGTGGTGTCAGGGTCTCACAACCTGTTTATGTCCTAAGGAGGAGAGAAGGCTTGCCTCCCTGGGGCCATGCCCAGGCCTCTTCCACCTGCATTGGCCAGAATTTGTCCTGGCTGCAAAGGAGGCAGGGAAATATCATCTTTGTAAGCCAGCAATGTGCTCCACAATGTCCTAAGAATAGGAGAGCAAGTCATTAGGGACCACTGGCAGCGTCTTTTCCCTCCATCAACAGATGCCAGACCCTAGCGCCAACAGGCTGCTTGTTCTTGTTCTGCTCCTGTAATTTCAACACACTGCCACCAGGTGGCGGTGGCGACTTGGTTGAAACCTAGTTTGGGCTAGACTTTCCTATGATACACACATATGTGTCCCATGACGTGCACATAAAGTAAAGCTAAAGTAAAGCTCATTTTCTCTCGGGATTAGACTTTTGCACATTAAAACAATCATTACTGCCATTTGGAGGCACAGTGCATGTAGATGCTGCACGACTTAGAGAGTCAAAGGCTGCTACACCCGTGGTCATTGTGTACCTCATCAAGTGTACAAACCTGTGTTAGTCCCACACAGGCAAGTTTGAGATGCAGCAACAGGAGTCTCTGTTCCCAGCACACTTCATTCCAGTCTGGGTCAGAGACTGCAGTGGGGCATCAGCCGACCCCTCCCAGGCAGCCCACCTTCCTCTCATCCCTGTATCCCTGCAGCAACTGCGACAACAAGAGGCCTCAGGAATTGACATCGAGGAGAAGGAGGAAGCGGACAATGTAGAGGGTGAGCCCTGGGGCCTGGCTCTCTGCTGACCTGCCCCACCCCTGAGGGCCACAGTAGCCAGGGACAGACATCATTGAGAGGCCCCGGGCACCAGGGAACAGGCCATGGCCCCACCTATGCTAACCAAGCTGCAGCACAGCCATAGGTGAACCTTCAGAGCCACAGAATAGCCAAGCTGGACGGGACCTTGGTGTCCAGCCCTTGCAGCCCTTTCCAGGCCCCTGCTATGGAATCACGTTTGCAGGTGCTCTGGAAGGAAGCGAGGGTTCTGTGGTCAGATCAGTTCAGGAAATGTTACTCCAGGTTCCTGTGCCACAGGACTTCTCAGAGTCTTGGGTGTGCACCTGCTGGCATAATTCTCTAAAGGAAAGATGTGGCATAAAATATTTCCCTGGGGTGGGTGTTTGGCACTGCAGTCCCATTGAGCTGCATTAGACACCTGCCTCAGAGTACCTGGTTCAAGTTCTGGCTACTGCACTTTGGGTCCTACTTTCTGCACTGTGCGCCCCGGGAGGCAGCCAATGATGACTCAGTTGTGTGGGGCCCAGCCATCCAACAGGAGAGTTCTGGACTTGTGGCTTTGGCCTGGAGCATCTGGGGAGTGAGTCAGCAGGTGGCAGATCTCTTTTTTCTCTCTGCTTGTCTCCCTATCTCTACCCTTCACAATGAAAACAAATAAATGGGAGGAAAAGTATGTTCCTAACTTGCCTGGCCACATTGCGCTTTGCCCTCAAGCGTGCCAGCCCCTCCCCTCTGCCTGGCAATGCTGAGGGAGAATGCCCTTGTTGATGGCATGGATACTTTGGCATTGGACTGCGGAGGAAGGTGAGGGCGGGGCCCGCACAATGACACACCTGACCCTGCCTGCCAGAGGCACGCACGCTCCCAAATGTGTCATCCATGGCTTGCAAATGACTGCACTGAGGCCCAAGAAGTTAGAGTAGCCAACTACACCATGGGGGTGGGGAGGCAGAGTTGACCCAATGCTGACCAAGGCTTTCTCCTCTTCCACCCCTGCCAGGCCCCAAGGGGCCTGTGAAGGGCAAGGAGAAGGCGAGGGCTGCCAAGGAGGAGAAGAAGAAGAAAATGCAGACCCCCAGCATCAGCCAGGGGTCCGAGCCCCCCGAGAAGAAAAAACCCAAAATTGACGAGCTGAAGGTGGGGATGAGGGTGTGGGCACTGGGGGCCGGAGGCAGCAGGTGCCAGGTCCCTCCTGACCACCTGGCTGGCCCAGGTGTATCCCAAGGAGCTGGAGTCAGAGTTTGACAACTTCGAGGACTGGCTGCACACCTTCAACCTGCTGCGGGGCAAGACCGGGGACGACGAGGACGGCTCCACTGAGGACGAGCGTATTGTGGGCAGGTTCAAGGTCAAGCGAGGAGTGCAGCCCCCTGCCATTGCCCTGGACCTCCCTCCTCATGACCCCGGCAGAGCCCTGTGCCCCACTGGGGCCAGGGAACCTATACCCCGCTGAGCTGCTTATCTCATCACAGGGCTCCCTGTGTGTGTACAAGGTACCGCTCCCAGAGGATGCGTCCCGTGAAGCTGGCTACGACCCCACTTACGGCATGTTCCAGGGCATCCCCAGCAATGACCCCATCAACGTGCTGGTCCGCGTCTACGTGGTTCGGGTGCGATCTCCTACACACACCCAGCACCCCTCCCTGCAAGCCCCTGTGTCTCCCCTCCCACCCACCCCCCGCCCCACCGCCCAGGAAGGAGGGAAGCAACTGCCAACTGAGTGCCCCAGACAGGAGGGCCCTGGGATGTCACCCAGCCTGTCCTCAAGTCATTTTCCTGGCTTCTGCAACCCCATGCCCTTATGCCCCAGTCCTCCGCCAGCACAGCCCCTGCCCAGTCAGCATCCTCTCCACCACCACAGGCCACAGACCTGCACCCGGCTGACATCAACGGCAAAGCCGACCCCTACATCGCTATCCGGCTCGGCAAGACCGACATCCGAGACAAGGAGAACTACATCTCCAAGCAGCTCAACCCTGTCTTTGGGAAGTAAGGCCTCCAGGAGGGGCGGAGGAGGGGTGGCCTTGACTGTCCCTGTCCCAGCCCAGACGTCCCTATTGCCTTTCAACCTCCCTCCTCTGAAACCCTACCTGCCAGGTCCTTCGACATTGAGGCCTCCTTCCCCATGGAGTCCATGCTGACCGTGGCCGTGTACGACTGGGACCTTGTGGGCACTGATGACCTCATCGGGGAGACCAAGATTGACCTGGAGAACCGCTTCTACAGCAAGCACCGGGCCACCTGTGGCATTGCACACACCTACTCCACGTGCGTGGGCACTCTGGGGGTGGCAGGGTAGGGGGTGTGTCTGTTGCCAACCCCTCAAGCTGCTGGAGTTAGGCCTTAGGCCCAGCATCCATACATTGTACAGCCTGGTCAAGTCCCTCGTCTTTGATACTTGGAGTGGGCTGGTGGGGGATGCGGCACAACTGGACCTGGGGACACTGAACCAGATGTGGGAGGGGTCAGTGCTAGCAGCACTGATGTCCCAGGTGGGCCTGGAGCCCGGGGCAGTCCCTGTGGCTATCAGGGGGGCTGCAGCCAGTGTCAACAACTGGGCAGAACCAGCTGCCCCCACCATGGGGGGGACAGTCCTGCCCGACCTGTGTGCTCCCCTCCCCACAGACATGGCTACAACATCTGGCGGGACCCCCTGAAGCCCAGCCAAATTCTGAGCCGCCTCTGCAAAGAGGGCAAGGTGGACGGTCCTCACTTTGGGCCCCCCGGAAGGGTGAAGGTGGCCAACCGCGTCTTCACAGGGCCTTCAGAGATTGAGGACGAGAACGGTGAGGGGGCCTCCCGTGAGGGGGCTTTCTAGGCAGCAAGGGTCCTACCGCTCCCAGGCCTGGGCGTCCTTGGCCCAAACCTGCGCCTTGTGAGCCTCCACTCATGCCCCCCTGCCGCCCTGTGTGTTGCCTCTCTCTCCAACCCCTCCCCTTCTGCAGGGGAGCAGCCCAGGGAGTTAATCCACTTGCCCAAGGTCACATGGCTCGCCCATCCTGTGCCCATGTGACCTGCCCCTTCCAGGGTATCCGGGGGTACTCTGTGCTGAAAACTTGCACCCTTCTGCTCCCACAAGGCCTCCTTGGCCAGCTTCCCCCAGCACAGGAAGCCAAGGAGTCAGATCTCTCTGGGCCCCATGGGGCACACAAAACCTCAGCCAATCTGCTTCTCTTTCTATGCCTCAATTTCCCCAATAGTAACATGAAAGTGGGGTGGACAGGAGGATGGCTGTCTGGCCCTAGCACAAGTCTCCTGATTCTGGGGAGCCCCCGTCAGAGTGGGGAGCCTCTGACCCTGTGCGCCCACAGGTCAGAGGAAGCCCACGGATGAGCACGTGGCGCTGTCTGCCCTGCGGCATTGGGAGGACATCCCGCGAGTGGGTTGTCGCCTGGTGCCAGAGCATGTGGAAACGAGGCCGCTGCTGAACCCCGACAAGCCAGGCATTGAGCAGGTAACCCCTGCCTGGCCAGGGTCTGGGCCCTGGGCTGTTGAAAGTCAGTGCTTCCTGTGCTGGCTCCAAAGAGCCTGAAACGGGCCCTGGTGCTTTCCATTGAGTTCTAGAAAGCCTGTCAGGCCCCTCTCGCTGCCCCCTTGGGGCAACCAGACTCACAGTTGTCTTTGCTGGTGTGAGAAGCACAGCACTGGAGGGTGGGGCGGGAGGAAGGAGGCTGGGTTGTGTCCCCTAGAGTCATGATTGGCTGTCATAGGGATTCTGGGTAGCCAAGGACAGTGTGGGGGGGTCCATGGAGACCTGCTGTCCCCCCCTCTATAGGGCCGCCTAGAGCTGTGGGTGGACATGTTTCCCATGGACATGCCAGCCCCTGGGACACCTCTGGACATCTCTCCCCGGAAGCCCAAGAAGTGAGTGGCCCAGGGCCCCACCCTCTTGCCCACTCCCCACCCAGCCCAGATTTCGTGAAGGATGCTGCGCTGGCCTTTGCCTGAGACCAGTTCCATGGGCCCCAAGCTGTGACCGGCTGGCCTGCTGTGGGAGAAGTGGACTCACTCATCTTTGGAGTTGCAGGGCCTGCTCCCACAGGATCCCCTTAGCAAGGCAGGGGCGCTCCCTGTATTCCCCCTCACACAGATATGCCCCATGTCCATATGCACTCTCTCACACACACACACTCATGCACACACATGCTCCTACACATATACACATGCACACACCCCTCAGCTCCCGGGCCTCCCCTAGGCAGAGGGGTCTCAGGGCCCCATCCCCCCATACTGGCCCTTCATCCGCAAGTCCCTGCAGCTTGTCTGGGTCTCATCTCCCACCCATGGCCCCACCTGCTCAGCAGTCCCATGCCCCCTGCAGGTACGAGCTGCGGGTCATTGTGTGGAACACAGACGAGGTGGTCCTGGAGGACGACGACTTCTTCACGGGGGAGAAGTCCAGTGACATCTTTGTGCGAGGGTAGGTGAGCGGCTGCAGGCTGGGAGGGACTGTGCTCAGTGTGGCACAGCCCTGGGTCTGAAGCCATGATGCCCTGCAGGTGGCTGAAGGGCCAGCAGGAGGACAAGCAGGACACGGATGTGCACTACCACTCACTCACGGGTGAGGGCAACTTCAACTGGCGCTACCTGTTCCCCTTCGACTACCTGGCGGCCGAGGAGAAGATCGTCATCTCCAAGAAGGAGTCCATGTTCTCCTGGGATGAGACCGAGTACAAGATCCCCGCGCGGCTCACGCTGCAGATCTGGGACGCCGACCACTTCTCCGCCGATGACTTCCTGGGTGCAGAGGGGACCAGGGGGCGGGTCAGCTAGGGTGGGGCCAACAAGCCAAAGGTTCTGCCCCGAGGACCCACCTAGCCGTGGCCAGGGCATATATCCTCCGTGTCATCATAGGGTGGGAGTAGTTGGAGGGAGGAGATGACGGGGGTTCCAGGTCCACCAGGGAGGGAGGGGGCAGGCTGGAGCTCAGGCAGCGCCTCGGCTTGCTTCTCCAAAAGCATGATTTCCTCCTGGATTTGACCTCCAGCTATAAGCCTGTGAGGACAGCGAGTCTTAGCAAAGTGGGCACCTTGTCAGGCTGGGCAGGGCAGACCCCAGGAGAAGCATCCAACTGCCCCTTGAAGGGCCTGAACTAAGTGCAGGAGTGAGAGCCCAAGCAGCCAGCCTGGGACAGTGGGGCTGGGGAGCGGGGCAGGAAGGCCAAGGAAACCCAGAGCTAACACTGAAGTCATTGCAGGGGCCATTGAGCTGGACCTGAACCGGTTCCCACGTGGAGCCAAGACAGCCAAGCAGTGTACCATGGAGATGGCCACGGGGGAGGTGGACGTGCCCCTGGTATCCATCTTCAAGCAGAAGCGTGTCAAGGGCTGGTGGCCCCTCCTCGCCCGCAACGAGAATGACGAGTTTGAGCTTACGGTGGGCAGTGGGTGGGGCTAGGCTGCAGTGCCAGGGTGCCCCTCCCATACTTACCTTCCTGCACCTGACCCCGACTCCAGGCCCTGGAACCTGCTTTTCCTCTGCAGGGCAAGGTGGAGGCCGAGCTGCATTTATTGACAGCTGAGGAGGCGGAGAAGAACCCAGTGGGCCTGGCCCGTGGTGAACCTGACCCCCTGGAGAAACCCAAGTGAGTGCCCTGCCCACCTAGCCCCATTGGCTCTGGGGCACTGGGAAAGGAAGGAACAGCCAGAATTTCCATCTTCCTCCTCCTACTCCCAGCCCTTTCTGTGTCTCTTCCTGGCCACAGGCTCATTGGAGGGAACTACCTCCTGCCCCATCCCTCCCCTCTAAAGCAGAGGCCTTCAGGCACAGTGCCTCCCCAGGAAGGCCTCCATCTAGCCACAACAGAGGCTCTCCCTAGTTTTTGCCAAAGGCAGGCAGCTGCATCTGTGGCATTTGGGGCCCCAGCCAGCCCTGACAGCCTGGAAGGTACTGGAAACTCCACCGTGGAGCCAAAAGGGGCATCCCATAGCCATGATCTCCCCCTGCCATGGGGTGGCTACTCAGCCTCCATCCTTGCTACAGGCTTCCTCTGCTCTTCCCCCCTCTCCAGCCAGGCCAGTCCAGGCTGTAGCTGGCTCTTGAGACTCCTCGAGGATGCTACTATCATGGCACACAGGCCATTGGCTGCACCTCAGTTGCTCCCCCTGTAGCCGGCCTTGGTCCTCTGCTCCGTACCTGGCTCCCAGGGCTAGAAGATGCTTGCTTTCTGGGCCTCCAGAGTTTGCTACCTTCCCTCCTCTCTGCTATCTTGGGACCAATGGCTGGGCGGCACATGGGCACACACACACACACATATACACATGTGGGCACCCATCAACATATAGCTAAGCACACGCATCAGCACATGTGTATGGAAGCACATACACACGTTTCAAGATTGAATCACAGATTCCCAGAACTGGAAGTGACTATCTTACATTTTTACTTCCCCACCCAGAGAGGGGAAGCAGCCCAATCACAATCTCCCAGCAAATGGAAGCAGAGCTGGGCCTCCAGTGCCAGGTCCCAAGCCGTCAGCCCAGCACTCTTTGTACTCCACCACACCCTTGCCCAGCCACCTGCCTCACAGACTCTAACCCAGTTCCACCGGCAGAACCATGCTGAAAGAGAGGGAATGGGTTGGGCTGGGATAGAACCATGTTGAGACATGGAGAAGGAAAGGATTGGGCTGGAATCCACCAAGAGTCCTGACAAGACTCCACACAGCGGGAAACCTCCCAGTACACAGGGTTCCATTTGATTCCCACCTTTGGTAGCCACTGGGTGCTGGCACCCACATGTACCCTGAGCTTCACCCACACCAGCTCATGAACCTCATTAAGCCCAGCACTCACCTCACAGTTCCCCCTGCAGGAAATCCAGCCCAAGGAGTGGCCCATGTCCTCCAGGAGGGGGTGGGGCACACTAGGCATCTGACCTTGTATGGAGCCCATTATCTTTGTAACTCACATGACAAACAGGAAAGGCTGGCCAGCAGGAGCAGAGCCACACCCTGACAGTAACAGGAGTCTGTGCTGGCAGGGGATGTGACCACCAGAGTGCTGAGGACCTTAGCAGGCCTTGCTGGGGTCACAGGCTCATCAAAAAGGAAGAGGTTGAACAAGTGCACCCTTCCTGGGGAACATGGGCCACTGGACCTTATGCCATGCACTGCCACGAGCACCTGCTTTTTAATGACCCACAGTGCTGACTGCCTGTGCCTGTCCACCTGCGTTCACATGCAGCCATTCAGGCCCAGGGAGGGGAGAAAACATGAGAGCTCCTGCAGGGGAGCAGGGTTTTGTAAACAGCAAGTCAGGTGCTTGGAAACAGACTTGATTCTGGGCTCCACACACATACAGCTTTAAAGGTGTGGGAGGATGGTGGCATGTGTGTCCCAAGGCTGCGCGCTGCCTGATCAGCCCCTCCCGCCGCCCTGCAGCCGGCCTGACACGGCCTTCGTGTGGTTCCTCAACCCGCTCAAGTCCATTAAGTACCTCATCTGCACCCGCTACAAGTGGCTCATCGTCAAGATCGTGCTGGCACTGCTGGGGTTGCTGATGCTGGCGCTGTTCCTCTACAGCATGCCCGGCTACATGGTCAAGAAGCTGCTGGGGGCCTAAGGGCCCCATGCCCACTCCCTTTGCCCTTCTTGTGGCCTGAACTTCCCCTTCTGCCCTGGGGAGCCCCCCATTGAGGAGTGGGAGTGCGACCAAGTCACCCTTCCAACCCCAGTCAGCACCTGCTGTCCTAATGGTCCCTCCCATCCCTGCCCAGGGGGTGGGGAGCATGGGGATAGGGTGGGACCCCAGAGCAATGTCCTCCTGCTCCATCTTGCTCGGGCACCACCCTCCTATGGGCCCTGGACTGGTCCCACAAAAAGCCTCTCCAAATCCATCCTATCTTTCCAGAGTCTGGGATTAAAGCTTTAAAAAAATTCACCAAGGGTCCCAGGCTCAGGTATGGGGAGCAAAAGCATCAGAATCTTTGTCCCACAACCATGAGCCTGGCCCTGTCCCCAAGCGACGAGGAGGCTGCCCTGATGTCCCCACCCCAGCCCTGGGTTTCTCTTCCTAAGGCAGCCTTCCAGCAGGTGCACCATACAAACCCTATCCCTGGTCGGTTTCAGTCGCTTCCCAGAGCTCCTTCTGCCAAGGCAGGAACTCCCACCCCAAGTGCTGCCCTCGGCCTGCTCATGGGCTTCTGTGGCCTGTCCTTGCTGTCTTGAGTGTGATCTGTCTCATAATAAAAGAAACCAAACTCTGGCAAGGCAGCCTTGGTCTGACAGAGTGCAGGGTTGGCAGATCTGGTTTGGTAAACTCAGTACCAGCTGTTGGTGGCCTCTCCAGGCTGCCCAGAAGAGAATCCTCACTCTGAAGCCCAGGGGTCCCACTCGGTATCAACAGCATCCTTCAAGCCTAAGACCCCACAGAGGCTCTACAGCATCAGCTTCCAGTGCGGAAACCAAGCAAGACAGGAAGGGGTCCTTCAGCCCTGGCCTTGGACTCCATCTCAGATCATGGGCAACCTGAACCTGGGAACCAAGTGCACAATGACATGGGTGGGGCAGGGGACAATCCCACACTCCCGCCCTGCCCCATGTCACTGGACCAGCTTCTTGACACAGATTCAGCCACAACTTTAAAAAGACTTTAATCACAAAATCACAACTGCAGGGTAGGTGTAACACAAGCCTCATATGGCCCTGCTCTGATGGGCTGGTAAAGATAGCTCTGGACCATCCAGAGGGTGGGCCTGGGCATCATGCCCTGGGAGTAGGGGCAGGTGCCAGCCCCGGTGCCAGCCCTGATGTCTCAGCCTGTGCAGGTCGGCTACTACTTTGTGGGTACCCGGAACACCTGGGTCGGAGGGACCTGCAGCTCAGAGTTGATCTAGAAAAACAAGAGTGAAAAGTCAGCACTCCAGGGCCCTCCTGTGTGGCCAGCTGGCTCCCCACGTGCCACCTCTCCTGTCTCCTTCCCAAGCTAAGCACCAAACATGGGTGCCTGTCCCGTGCCTGCTCCAGTGGCATTCCCCATTCTCCCCTCAAGCCTGCCCCCTTCCCACCTCACCTGCCCAGCCAGCACACCTCAGACTGAGAGCCTGGGAGGTGGAATGGGAGAGGCCCAACTCAGGACCATCCCTAGGCCTCTGTGTGTCCTCTCTCTTGTCTGTGAAATGGAGAGTGAGGTAGACAACCTCTACCCCATGGAAGAAGGAGATTACACATGGCAGGTTCCATGAACCGCAAAGTTGTTTAGAGACCCGTGGTCCCAGAGGGGTGATGACACCAAAGCCATGAGCCCCCAGGGCACACAGTCATAGCCCCACTGCTCTGGGGTGGGGAGAGAGGGACTCCAGGCAACATCTGCTAGCCTGCTAGTCACACCCACTAGGTGCCCCGACTTGTTGAGCAGTAGCCCCTATCTCCTGCCCATCTGCACCTGTGCATTGAGGTATTGTCGCAACAGCTGCTGCAGCTCCGCATTCTGCTTCTCCAGAGACTGGTTTTCCAGCAGCAGCTTTGCCCTCTGGGTGAGGACGAGGCTTTGGGGAAGAAGAATAGGGTCAGGGGCCTATGGAATCATCCCTTGTCCCTTCACCCAGCCACCTGCTGAGCCAGGCCAGCAAGGGCAGGGCCAAAGGTTGCCCACCCTGCACCAACTGCCAAGGGGGGTTTTTCTCTCCCTGACTTCATCAGGCAGGTGGGTAGTCCATGTGGCTGCTGCCTGGAGCAGGATAGCCCCTCTGCTTGCCTGCCCCCACTGGGGACCTGCCACACACACTCACTGATATTTCTCCAGAGCCACGTAGAGCGCATCCCACAGGTTCTGCTTGGCAGCGGGAATGACAGTCGCCAACGCCTGCCAGTAAGCTGAATCTTCAGAGTCATCACGCATGTCCTTCAGCATCCTCCGTGGCAGCCGAGTGTCCCTGGAGGTCAACAGCACTGGTGCCACCATCACCACCACTCTCCTGCCACTCTCGCACCCCCATGTAGTGACAGTCACAGAGCTCAGTCACATACTCGTTGCTTTTCCACCTGTCGCTGTCCCATTCATCTGTCTGGGTCTCACAGATCATGGCAATGGCAGACTCTAGGAAAGTACACGCCCCCTGACTCCAGGTGCCACTGTCCCTTTTGTGGAAGCTCCTTTCTCCTGGTTAGTTTACCGCCCCAAACTTGGCAACTCATTACTTCGCGCATTTCCTTCACACATGGCAGGTTACCTGAGCCGCTTCCTCAGCAGCTCTCAAATGTTGTCATCTTCTCTGTGATGCCCTCAACTCAGGACATTGTCACCTCTCACCTGGACAAGTCTCCCGATGGCTCTCCCTAACTCAGCACCTTCTCTCTCTCTCTCTCTCTCTCTCTCTCTCTCTCACACACACACACACACACACACCTGCCAACAGGATTTTTCTAAAAGGTAACCTCTAGCCAGGGTCCCCGGCTGCTCCAAACCCCAGCCCAGCAGTAGAGATGGGGATGGCAGACGCAGGTGGCAAGCAAGGTGCTCTCACAACTGGCTAGTTCCCCACCAGATGACCCTGCCTCCCAGACCCGTGACTCGGTGGCCATCCTGCACGAGCCAGCCATGCCTCCCCTTGGGCCTTTACATGCTGGGAGACCCTTTGCCCTACCAACCCACCCGGCAGCACCCAGTTCCTGAGCTGTCTCCTTCCAGAACCCTTGCTGCTGCACCAGATGGAGACGGTCACTTGCCCAGGAATCATGCTACACCTGGTGCTGCACCTTGACCGCTGTCATGGCCAGGTGTCACGCCCAGGATGCCTGTACATGGCACACCCAGGAAATACTTGCTGAATGATGTGAAGAAAGTGCCAATCACCCCCACAGCCCATTTCTTTCTTATGTCCAATGGTCCTTCCAGTTCTACTCTTGGACACTCATTTCCTGGTCCCTCAGCTCTCTCACTCAGCAGTCCCTTGCCCTCTCACTGCCCATTGCCAGGCTCCCAGCCTGCCCAGCTCACCCGCTCCAGTATCACAGCCCACCTGGGCTTCCTCAGACCCATGACGAAGGCCTCCAGCACCTTGAGCACTTCATTGGGGTGGATGAGCTTGGGGGAAGGCGGGCTCTCCTTCTCTCTCTGCTCCCCTTCCACCAGGCTCTCCTCCCCCTCCAGCGCTGTCTGCTCAGCCTCTTCCCCCTTCTCCTTCTCTTCTTCTTCCTCCTCCTCGGCCAATGCCAGGTTCACATGCTCTGCCCCTGACAGCCAGCTCAGCTGCTCCAGCATTGACACCATGCTTGTACGGTCCTCATTCACTTGGTCCGGGAGGGTGATCTAGAGAAGGGAGCCCAGACACTGTGGTTAGGGACACACCAGCACATACAGCCACCGAGCATGGCGGGAAAGCAAAGCACAGGGTGAAACTTCCAGAAACTTTGCCAAAGCAGACGTTTACCCTTGGACATGAGTATGGAGACTAACACAGGGGAAGGAAGTGGGAGGCACACGGTGGGTGAGGGGCTTCTGAACAGTGCCAGGGTGCCCGTCCCACGTTGGGGTCCCAGGAGTGCTTTTCAGTGATTGTTCTCAAAGTTTTATAAATACCACTCAGATCGTAATACAAAATTAATTTTGTTGTCGATTCTCGATTTAGAAAAGACTGCTTCCTACTCCTGTCTTGAAGTTTGTCCAGTTTACTTTCGGGGATCAGGCAAATGTTCCTAAGTTGCTCTCATCCCATGTCCCTGGGCATCGAGACAGAAAACTACACACCCCACTTTGTGGCCTTGCAGCTCCTGCTACACCAGGCCTGCGCTGCACATGCAGCTCTGCACTCAACTCGGTTCCCCTGTCGATAAACGGAGGGGTCCTTCTTCCACACTAGTACATTAAGGATACCTTGGTTTTCACAGTCACCCAGCACCCCACTGTGCAGGTGCACGGCATGCCAGCTCCTTGACCACAGCTGTCTAGCTTGTTCTCGACCTTCTGCCATGTCAAACCACGCCACAGCGAGGAAGGTCATCCACACGTCAGCTAAGTGCACTGAGATGCAGCCACAGGAAAAGGGCCAAAGGGCAGGTGCAGGGGAGAGGGCATACGCTTCTGCAGTTAACGTGCTCGGCGGAGGTTACAAGTGACAGGCCCGTCAGGAACATCTCACTCTGCTTGTTTCTAGCACCTCAGTCATCTTCCTGATGTGGGGAGGTGAGGCAGGGAGTGAGTCACCCAGGGGAGCTGCAAGTTGTGACTAATTCTGCATTGTGGCATCAGTCCTTTCACCTGCCGGCTTTGATAGGCCCAACTTCCCGGGATACACCTGTGCCTCAACTAGGACCAGAAAGGGAGAGATGCTGTGATGACCGCAGAGATGTGAAATCCCATAAGGAGGTGCTACCTTCCAGGACAAACTTACAGTGGGGGAGGGACATGTCTATCCTTGGCCTTGGTCTTTCCTCTCTCCCCAGGGGCTACACCCTGGGCTGCTCCCGGCAGGTGCCACTCACCCAGGGCGGCCCCCACTCACATGGGAAATGTTCACTGTCCCTGTGAAGGAACCCCTTTTCTCACTGGTGCACTATATTAGGTCGCCACTTTGCACTTGTGTCTCTTGGTAGTGGAGGGGAGACAGGCCTGGGGTGAAGATTAAGACACAGAAGCTGGCAGACTGGCAGGCTGACAACCTGGCAGGTGGGGGAAAAAACGGAATGTGGGCAGCTTTGGTTTAAAATGCTTCTCTTCTGATAAGGGAACCCGATTACCTTTCTGTATTGCCTCTTTTAAGACGTGTTTATTCTTCCCTATCATGCACTGTAATGAATTCTTGGTCATTTTCATATTGATTTACAGGAGCTTTTTATATAGCAAGGAAACTAGCCCTGAACTGAGAGTCCAAAATACTCATTTCACCAGATGGCATTTGCCTCCTGAGTGTGCTCATCGGGACTGGGCTCTGCAGAACGTCTTCGGGTGTCACTGGTACATCTTTCTTGTTTTCCTTCATGGCTTTCGGTTTTGTTCACCTATCAGCTCCTCCTGGAGACACATCGGGATACTCACGCTGAGGCTAGCAATCCTGAGAACAAGTGTGTGAAATGCCAATTTTGCTTTTCAGATTAAAACTTAACATTCACATTGCCAGTACAGTAACTTCTTCTGAATGGCCGACGTGGCTTACAGTGGAGAAGGGAGCGGCAAATGGACCTGCTATGCAGGGGACATGGTGGGATCAGGTGTACAGGAAGTGACCTCACAGTGCCTTCTACTGACCTCCTGGGTGGGCCTCTGAACACCAAAGCATCTCACCTGCCCCTGCCCCCTGCTCTTTTCTTTGCGAACAGAGAAAGTCAGAACAACAACAGGAAAGTCGCATTTGCTATCCTTACCATGAGATGCCCCACTTCCCCCTACCCACACTTCTCCAGAAGGACCCTTCCAAGTCAGCCACACCCCCAAGGGCTCTCCCATTGACTGAGGATTCCTCACCTGGCTGGAGGACAGGTGCTCAGCCCGGTACTTGAGGAAGAAGTGCACCAGCTTGTACAGATCGTCTTCACTTTCGATTCCCAGGGCCTGCAGAAGAAATGGCATCTGGGGTTCTGAGGCCTTGGGCCCGGGATGCTAGAAGCAGCAGAAGTCTGGTGTGTCCCCATCAGTGACCTTAAAGCTGCCACAGCCCTCATCCCAGGTAGGGAGCAGGATGGGGAAGGGGGCCCACCACACTGACAATAAATGTGGGGAATGTGAGGAGGCTAAGGGAAGCAGCACTCATGCCTGAGTTTAGGGGTATAAGGAAGGAGCCCCATAATGAAAGCTGGGCACAAGGGAGAGCTGGCAGGTGGAACAGGATCATGGACAGGCCATCTCCCAATGACACGGCCAATGGCTGTGTGGCACAGAGCCCGGCCACTCCCTGGGAGACCCTTGTTGGCTCCCATGTTGAGACACATGTGGGGGTGATTCCCTGGGACCCCTTGCACTCACTGAAAAGATGGCGTCCAACCGCAGCAGGTAGCATTCCGTCGTCTCCAGAGGTAGTAATAGGCTCATCAGCTTGCTCTCAATGAGGAAACCCTGGGGAGGCATGGGAAAGCCAGACTTCCAGGAGGCAGTTGTACCTACACCTGTTTCTTGGCGCAGACTCTCAGGAAGGGAGGGGGGCCCTGTGCAGCCCATGCTGGAACAAGTCCAGACTGGCTCCACTTCAAGAAAGGCACCAACTTCTCTCACTCACCTGCCACTGGGCATGCACCTAGGCACCCCTTAGCAGTCCAAGTCTGAGCAAGTAACAGGTTCCCAGCCCCCCAGATGCTACAGTTCACAGCAGTGGGTAGCAAGCAGAGGAGACCACAGCTCAAAGGGATGTGGACACGCCATATCAGAGCACTGTGCATAGGAAGTGTAGGACTTGGGTACCTGTTCTCAACAAAGCGGGCTGCCCTGCACACTGGGAGGGGAGGCCCTGCCAGCTAGCAAGTGCTAGCCCTTGAACTAGACAAAGCTACACCCAATTGTGCCCAGGGAAAGTGCCAATCCTTGCTCCATCACTGCTACCCACTACAGAGCCATAACTCCAAATCAACACTGAGCATGTCCAGTAACAATCCGACTTCCGGCTGAGCCAGCCAAGGGACACTGTGGACATATGATATAGGAGTGCAAGCCTACCAAACTTCGGGCATCCTTAAACTGTACCCTTCGAGGAAGGACACAGGCAGGCTGGCCCCTTTAGAGGGTGGCACCCAATGCCACATCTCTTTCAAAATGGGCAAGATGTTAGCAGGACTGGGCCACAGTCCACTGGACCAGCTTGGCATGTTGCCCCCAGTGCTGCTGCTCAGGCCTGCTGCCCGGGGCATGGTCAGGGGAAGCACTGCCTACTGCTGACCCCAGGCCAGGCCTGGCCCAGCGTGGTCCCCAGAAGCAGCCCTGGCCCAGCCTCACCGACTCGTCACACAAGAGCATCAGGATCTTCCTGGTGGTCTTGGCTGAAATTTGCTTGGGCAGGTCCAGGTAGGACTCCATCTCTTCTGCTCCTTCCTCTTCTAGAGAAGGTCATGGAGAAGAAATGGAAAAAAGCAGAAGAAAGTGATTTCCGGGCCTTGTCGACTTTCAGAAAGGACTTTAAGGACTTTCGATCCTTAAAGAGGCTTCATGAAGATGCCGTGGGTGTTCTGGCACTGTCCTGGGACAGCCTGCTGCGTGAGGGAGAGAAGGCCCTAGGGTCAGAACTGAGAACGTTCACAGCCTTCCCTTAATGGGTGTGCACAAGAGCCAAATGGGAATGCAGGACAGGACAGGCTAGGCTGTAGCACCAATCAGTTTATGCGAGACATGGGGCTAGGGGCAGAACTAACCAGGCAGCTGCATCCACCGGTATGTGCACTGGCTGGTGCAGTGATAAACTGAATCAGACCCTACACCAGCTGGCACACGCAAGAGTCAAATCTGAGGTCACCCCAGGCAGAGTTTCTTGGGAGGTTCCCTAACTAGACCTCTGGACTCAAACCTTGGCCACAGGGAAAAATCGCAAGATATGTGGTCCAACCTTGGAATGCTTGCATCAGGACTGGGCCTCCTCAGTTTCTGATGCCTGTGCAGTGGACAGCATGCCCAGGCACACATGGGGGACATGACAACCAGTTCATCTAGGTCAGCAGAAGACACTGCCTCTTCAAAGGATAGAAAGCAGAACAGGTTGGATAACTCTCCTAGCCAAGCTCTGCAGTAAGTGGTCTGGGTCTGTCGACGCACTAAGGTAGACTTGGTCAGCCAACAGACCTTGGGAAGATTTTCTCAAACCTGGTGTCACAAAGTCAATGACCTCCCAGAAACATCAAATCACCCAAGTGACACCTTCTTCCCCACATCGGCATCCCTATGGTGTCATCAAATGATCATTCCCCATCCCCAGGTGCTGATGTAGTTTGACAGCAAGGAGCAGCTACTTCCTTTTTCCCCACTGTGGACACAGGAGGAAAAAAGTAAAAAGAACTGAAACATTTGTCTCACCCACCTTCCTCCATATCTGGCCCTCCCCACCCTATTTGGTGGTCCATATGGGTGTGCGCCCCTCTCAACTATATAAACAGTATTTTAAAAAAAAAGAAGGGGGGCCATGTTAGCTACTCAGTGATCTCCGAGCTCCCCCACTCTGTACTTGATGTTCTCGGAGGCCCCTCGCCCTCCCGGGCTCCATGGTAGGTAACCTGCACGCATCAGCACTTCCTCCAGTATCTGGGCCGCTGATTTGTGCTGCCGCTTCTGAGAGATCGGCCCCACATTCTTCAGGATGGGTAAATCAGGTGCTGTCCAGGGAAGCCCCAGGTGGTGGGTGTGGATGATCCTGTCGACGTCAAAGGCTCGGTTTATTAGATCCTTGGCCTCCTCTTCGTTCATCAGCCAGATCTCCTGAAACTTCTCATCATCAATGAGATCAAAATGCCTGAGGAAGAGTAGTCATGGTGTGTGACCAGCCAATGCCAGGCCTCGATTTGATCAGGGTGCCTTTAATTGGCAGCAAGGCAAATAACTGCCATGGTCGTTTCTAGGTCGTTTCTTGGCAGTCCCAGCGCTGCCAATCCCACCCCGACACATCTCAGAAGGCAGATGGCCTGGGAATAAAGGGACAAGGAAACACAGCCCACTGGCCTCTTTTGAGCCCTGGGTCAGTTCCAACATAGCTGACACATCGGGTCTAAGCACAGCGCTGACACCACCACCTCTCTCCACTCTATCCTAGGAGAGGGGCCCCGGGCCCCTGTACCTCATGGCTTTCTGCAGTTCCTTGAACTGCAGCACAAGCCGTCTGTAGTCCATCGTCAAGGCCTGGTTCTCCTCGTGAAACTGCTTCACCTGCTTGGCGTGCTTGGATCTCAGGTTATTAAGTATGTCGTGCAGACTGGGGGAGGAGGAGAAAGAGGGAGACTCCGTCTACAACTGAACACAGGTGCAATGGACATACCTCTCCCCCACCTTACTCAGCGCTGCTGCAGACCCAGGTATGGGTTTGTGCAAGGGCAGAAAACCTCTCATATATTCCAGAATATGGCTGCCACTGTGACCAAGGAAAGGGGGGACCCTGGCAGGCAGTGGGACTGTGCGGAACTAGGTGTGTCTGAGACAGTCCAAGAGCCCAGAGCCATGGGAGGTAATCTCTTCATCCATGGTGCCAAGGAGCTGTCCTTGACACATAGCATGTGCACATTCGGGGCCAACCCCAACCCCGCACATTCACTCTGACCCAACTAGTATATGGTCACAATCTGCACGCTTGTTTCATTTTTGAAACAAGGACGGGAAGGACACCCTGGAACTGCCTGCTCTCCCCTCCCACAACACCCAACCCTTCCCTAATGCCATCACTTAACTATTTATAACTATCTAGTTATACACCCAGATGCCACCAAACTGGGATCTCTGAAGTGAGAAACTGCAGCTTCACTAATTTTACAGGCTCAGTGTTGCACCTGACAGAGCAGTCCCTTCATAAACACTTTTCAAACAAACAAAATCAAACTGTATGGGGGAGCAGATGGCATCGAAGTGAACCAGTGGATGGGGCTCTCTGTCTCTGTTTCTCTCATATGTCTCAGCTCTCAATATATTAGTCATTAAAAAAAAATGCCTGGATCCCATATGGGCACCAGTTCTAATCCCAGCACCCTGCTTCCCATCCAGCTCCCTGCTTGTGACCTGGGAAAGCAGTCGAGGATGGCCCAAAGCCTTGGGAGCCTGCACCCATGTGGGAAACCCAAAAGAAGCTCCTGGATCCCAGCTTCAGATCAGCTCAGCTCTGGTGACTGTGGGCACCTGAGGAATGTACCAGCAGATAGAAGACCTTTCTCCCTGTCTCTCCTTCTCTCTCTCTGTAAGACTCTGCCTTTCAAGTTAAAAAGAAAAATTTTTAAATGCATACATACATACATACATACATAATTTTAAAAAAAACACCTCTACTGCATTTTCTTAGCTACAGCTAAGTTTTAAGAAGCTCTCCAGGGACAGGGGTAACAGTCAGTGCTGAAACAGTCACCAGTGCAGTTAGGAAGCGTTTATGTATCCTTCTGTCATAGAAGTCACTGCAGCGAAAATTAACTCCAAGAGCAAACAGAAGGTCTTGCCCAGGTTTCAGGAAGGGGAGTGGAAAGAAAAAAATAATACACAAGAGAAGGCTCAACGAAGAAATGAAGAGTTTCTAGTGACCAGCAGGGGCTTGAGCCGAGGAACAGCGAGGCTGGGAATGTGGGCAAGGCTTCCCTCTGAAGACCCACATGGGAGGTGACAGAGACATGCTCTAAGCTGAACCGTGATGCTGAGACTGAGGTGCAGTGCAGGTGCAGTCAAAACAGAAAGCACAGGGAGATGGCCAGGCCCGGGCCTTGGAAATAAACTGGTCTGGATCTTCAAGGATCATCAGGCCAGAAAGGGCCACCCACTAAAGGGTCCGATAATGGAATGAACCAGAAAGAAGAGCAAATGTTTTAGGGCCAGAAAAAACAAAGGAAAGCAGCTCAGTAGCTGAAACTGTTAGAATGAGGTCCATGGAACAGCCCCTGTGCTGGTGACACCCAAAAGTGCCCTGCTGTGGTATAACAGGTCCCTATGGATTGACCATGTCCCTGGCCCACATAAGAGCACTCAATAGCCCCTGATGAGCTCTTCTACCCTCCAGTTCCTTAAGGACATAGCTTCCCTCCGCTGTGGATGACACAGCCCTTGGCAGACAAGCAACCCTGCCGATGCTCTGACCTTGAACCTGCCGATCAGTGGAACCACCAGCAGAAAATCCCCATTCTGTACAAACTGCCCAGTCCCTGGTGTCCGGCTACAGCAACTCGCATGAAGTGAGACACAGGTCAGGTCACAGACATGATCAGGAGCTGGGCAGGGAGTGGGCAGCAAGGGCAGGAGACTGCTGTGGACTCAAGTGGAAAGAGAGACAGCTGATCGGGAGAAGCATCAGGGCCATTGCAGGAACACCGCAGGGCCATGCTGCTCCTCTAGCTGGCACACCCAGCAGAATGCTTCCAAAAACACTATCCCATGACCATTCCTTGTGCTGTCAGGAACTAAGAAGACAAGTCTTAAAGAAGAAAGGCAGCGGAGAAGGAAGGGAAGGGAAACAGCAGGCAATGAGTTATAGCTTGTGCACAAGGTCAGCCGGGAACCTTGCCCTGAGCACTCACTTTGGTGCCCACACATGCAGCAGCAGGAGACTCGAAGCCATGTCCACGTGTCCACCAGCAGAGACAGGCGCAGTCACTCACAGTATCTCCACACAGTGGGGTACAAAGTAGCTGTGGGGGAGGGGGTTCTAGAGAAGCCCACCACCTGTGATGCTGACATCCCATATAAGTACTGGTTTGAGTCCCAGCAGCTTCACTTCCAATCCAGCTCCCTGTTGATGCACCTTGCAAAGCAACAGGTCTCCCCATGTGGGAGATAGGGAAGAAACTCCAGGCTCCTAGCTTCAATCTGGCCCAGTTCTGGTTGTTGCAGTCATTTAGGGAGTGAATCCATGGATGGAAGACCTCTCTGTATGCGTCTTTCAAACAAATAGAATAAATCTTTAAGATTTATTTATTTTTCTTGGAAAGTCAGATTTACAGACAGGAGAGACAGAGAAGAAAGATCTTCAGTCTTCTGACTCACTCCCTAACTGGCCGCAACAGCTGAAACTGAGCCAAGCTGAAGCCAAGAGCCAGGAGCTTCTTTCAGGTCTCCCACACAGGTGCAGGGTCCCAAGGCTTTGGGCCATCCTCTACTGCTTTCACAGGCTGCAAGCAGGGAGCTGGATAGGAATGGGAGCAGCCGGGATACGAACTGGTGCCCACATATGATGCCAGCGAATGCAAGGCAGGACTTTAGCCACTAGGCTACCACATCAAATAAACCTTAAAATAAAAGCAGAAAGAAATAACGTGAAAGCTCTGTAAGCTTGGACCAGGAGTTCAGGATGTAGAACACGGAGCAGTGAGCACGGGCATTTGGGTAAGGGAAGGAGAAGAGTGAGGCTGTATGGTCGCACATGGGCAAAGACATCCCAGCGGGAACAAATGAATGAAGTTGATAGAGGCCAGAACAAGAGCAGAGGGGCGAGCAAGAAGGACTTTTCTTGTTGGATGCATTTTCTTTTCCAGAAACCCTCTGAATAGGGGTTGATTATCTTTGTAAAGGCTTCACGGAAGGGCCTGAGATGCTCACCGGTTGATCTTCCTTTTCTGCTGTGATTTAATCACCGTATTTTCCTCATCTCGCTTCTTCAGCACCTGGAAGTTGTACTCAAGCTTCTCGCGGTTGAGCTGGTAGATGGCTTTCATCTGCTGCAGCTGCTGCTCAAGAATCTGGATGGGAAGGAGGACAGCAGGCTGAAACCAGGCCAGAAGAACCCTAGAGATCCGCCCCAGCCCTGGACCAGAGAAATCCATCATAAGAGGCCAATCGAGGGCCAACCGGATTAAATACAATCAACTCCAAGCTGAAAACCTGTGGCAGTTCACGGAGCTGTCAAGTCTGAGGAGGAGGAACTTGGTGCCACCTCTGGCAGACGGGAACACACCCACTGAGACCGCCACACACAAGGCTGCTGCCCCAGAAACCGGCACTTTCCTGGTCTGATCCTCCAGGCTTGCGGGACCAGTAGGGAGCCACTTGGTTCAGAGGGGACCAGACATAAGTGGAGCCAAGGGCTGAGAAGCAAGCAGAGCTGTGTGAACTAAGACAGAGAGACTCCAGGGTGAGCAGGTGGTGGCCAGGGAAGACATCACCAGGAGACGCCACCAGCGAGTGGGAGTCATCTGCCGCCTGAGGGGACAGCATGCTGGAGAGAAGCAACATGAGACCTAGGGTGAAGGGGGCATTCTGACACCATACTCCACCATCCATCCGAATGTCTAGGGTTCGAGTCCCAGCTTCTTGCTGAGGCACATGCTGGGAGACAAGAGGTGATGACTTGAGTACCTGGGTTCCTGCCAACCATGTGCAAGACCCGGATGGATTCAGTGCTCCTGGCTTTGGCCTGGCCCAGCCCCTGTTGTTGTGGACACCTGGAGAGTGAACCAGAGGACAGAAAATCTCCCATGTGCTCTCTCTCTCTCCTCCCCCTGCACCATGAAAATGAAAATCGATTGAAAACAGAGGCAGGAAAGAGGGCACGTGAGAGCCACCAGCACCTCAGCAGGTACAGAGAAAGCAAGATGGGCCGGCTGTGAGAGACTACCCGGTGGTATCTCCTTGAGTTGGGGAAACATGGTTAGAGAAGCAGGGCTGGGAAATGACCCAGCAGGCACAGTGGCAGGGGTCACCATGACCGCTGCTGAGACAGAGCAAGGCTGCGGTAGGGCCATGGCAGCCCAGGTGGGAAGGTCAGAAAGAGAAAGCCATCACAGGTAGAGCCCCGATCCAACCGCACAGGCTTGTGCTTGCACGCTGCCTCCAGGTACCCCGACCAGGCCAGGAACACCTACAGTGCCCACAGCCATCATGACCCCACCTGGGGTCATGGAAGGTCCTGCTTAGGAGGTGAGGCAGCAGCAGGTGGCAGGAGAGTCACTCAAGCACTCAGTGTGGAATGTCATGACCGCCACGTGCTGAAGGAACTGGTTAAGCATATTCTACTAACTACTGCAGAGGAGGTTATCATTGTTGTTGTTATTATTTATTTGGAGGCATAGAGACAGAGCGAGAGCAAAGGAGAATGCCTACCTCTTGGTTCACTTTCCCAAAAGGCCAGCTCCACCTGGGATAGCAAAGCCAAGATCTAAGAGCTCAACCCAGGCCTCCCCCTTGGGCAGCAGGAGCTCCATTCCCAGAGCCATCACCCCTGCTCCCAGGGTCTGTTTTGGCAGGAAGCTGGAATCTGGAGCCAGAGCCAGCTATTGAACCCCAATATAGGATGTGGGTGTCTTAAGCACCAAGCAAAATGCCTGCCCCTATTGCGAGACCACCTTAGTCTCCCTTCTGAGACAAATATTGGAACATCTCCTGTAGAGCACAAGAGTGTAAGATCTGTTCCTCAACAGATGGCCCAGGAGTGGACACACCAGTCCCTCTGGGGACACCTTATTGCATCTCTTAATGTCTCTATTCACTTAGTCCATTTTACATATACTTTTTTGAGTTAGACACTCCACGCTGTAAATATTTGTTCTCATTGCAAAAGCAATATTCACTCACTGTTGAAAATTTGGAAAGTACAGCAAATGAAAAAGACAGTGAAGATACAGAGGAGGAGGGAGGGAAAATGACCCAGAGTGCCAAAGGCACCCTCAGTGAACATACTGGCACCTCACCCTCCTGACAGCTTCCAAGATGGAAAAAACTATGTCTGCGCTATTACAGCCTGCCTGCTCACTAGATAATGTGACAAGAAACGTCCATGTTAGTAAAGCTTTCTCAGCATCACTTAACATTGTTATATGTTCTACTACTTAACATGTATCATTTCCCTACAGGTGGATGTTTATGTTGTCTTGATCATTTTCACTGTTACAAAATAATGCTGGGATAAGTTATGTATCAAACTTCTTTAAGGGAGACTCTCAGACATGACATGACGAGGCCCAAGGTTTGCAGTGAGGCAGAGTGTGGATCATGCTCCCACGGGCTGTGGACACAAATCTTGGCTCCCCACACACCATGAGCATTGACATCGGGCAGGGCAGAGCCAAGAGCCCCCAGGAAGAGGGTGGCCCTTGGTTGGGGCTACTCTGGGTACAGCAGGGAGCTATGGGAAATTCCACTTGCCTCTGTCCACCCAAATTTAATGTTGACGTGCACCAAATCCTACATGGCCAATGGGAGAAACTGACGGCATAGCCTCATTTCAAGCACAATGACCTGGGTGGCCTGAGGTGGCCCCAGGATGAGTGGCTCTGGGCACTCCTTCTTGAGCTGTCCCTGAATGACATCTGAGAAAGGAGATGTCAGCTTCTTTGCTGTTTTGGAAAGCTGTGAAGATTTATACCCTCAAATCTGCGAATGGCACCAGCCCTGCTGCCACTAACAGGCCCAGCTCTGGTCCCTACCAAATGGGCAAGACCCAGAGCACACACCAAACACACATGGGCTGGACACAAGGGAGGTCACTGTGCCATGAGATGGCTACAGCCCAAAAAAGGGCTGGGGGGTGACACAAGTGGCTCCTGCAGTCTTGGTGGGGAGCCAAGACCCAGATATCCAACACCTGCTCAGATAACTTGCAGGGCGCTCTCCCCCTTATGGCATCTCACTAAGCCCTTTCACTGACAGTACCTCCCAGATTCCTACGCTGTGGGACAGTTTTTATAACATTGCGAGAGCATGCCCTACCACATGACCTCTCATGAGCTTCAATCTTAAAGGCAGATGATTCCATCCTAATAATAATGACAGTGTACATGGATTATGTATATTTTTGCCTACAAACCTGAATATCCTAAAAGGTAAAAAGCATCAATGACATCATGATCTTTGTTAGCACTGATGAAACATTTCAAGTATTCCACCTACATAAACACAGTTAACAAAACACTGAGCTAAAGGAAATGAGTTATGTCTTTTTCTTTGTGATATGAAAGATCTTAAATCATGCTAGATTAGGAGCGGTGTGGGCTGGGCACCCCCAGACCTGGTCACAGCCTGTGGCTCCTTCAAGTACACAGCCTGCAGTGAGCAGCAGCCCAAACCATGACCTCCAAACTGCTACTCTCAGCTTCGGCTCAGGCTCCTTTTAGTAGCATTGATGTTACTATTAACCACCTCGTGTTGCAGTTTCCATCCAGAATCATCCCTGATTGTTGGACATGGGATTTAGTTGTATATATATATATATAAAGTAGAATGGCTTTTACTCAACACCTGTGTTCACCAGTCAAGGATCCAAAGATGTGATTTTGCAAATAGGTTACCAGGACTTGGATCCAACACGGTGTCCAGCGTTTGTGAACAATGCACAGAGACTGCAACTAAACCTGCTGCAGACATCCCGCAGGGCTCATGGACCCACACGCTGCCCACCCTGGCCCCTTTTTCTCCAGGGCCAAGCCAACCCAAACTCCTCTGTTGCTGAGGGCCAGCTCCTGCTCGCAGGCCCATGGAAAGAGGTTCCCCAAGAAAGGGTTAGAACAGCCTTTCTCCAAATCCCCGGCTCACCCCGCTTGCCTGCTTCCAGGGGCCCTCATGGGCCTTTCTGCCATCAATCTCAGCCCTAGGAAAGGCACACAGGACACCCTCTAGAACCAGGTACAACCCAGCCAGCTCCTGTCCAGCACACAGCACAGCTTGCCTGTCCTTGCTTTTACACATGCTTTCTGACACAACCATGACAGCCTGTGCTCTTACTCAATGGGGAACAAGCCCCTGGCAGCAGGGCTCTAACTGTGTTTACCTCTGAACTTTGCCCAACATAAGATAACAAAAAATAACATTGAAATCTTTTCTGATTCACATGCTGGGATTGAAGCTAACAATGTCTGAAGGTGAAAGGGACCATCACACCACGATCCCTGAGGTGCAAGGCCCCAGGTCAAGATGAATCACCTTGCCCAATGGCCTCTAGCAGTTTTATCCGGGGGTGGCAGAAGAGGGTAGGGAAAATCCCTTTCCAATGTCTTAGGTTCCTGAGCGTCCCTCTGCGCCAGTTACTGTCACCTTGACCTTCAGCCTAAATCACATGTGAGACTTTGTCCACTGTGGTGGTTTGTGACAGGTCTGAGGTTGAGCTGGGTAGAGCACACTTTAGGCTGAGTTATGTCAGATTTCTACCATCTTCCTGGTAGAATCAGTGCCACTGGATGCACATGTCGAGTGAGTGGAGCTGTGACTAGCAGGAGGCATTAAAATATCCAGTGTGTGCAGGGTGGGCAGTCTCAGAACTATGCATCCCCCACCCCCCAGTGAAAGGGCAATGAGTACTGCTCTGGCCAAACCTAAGACAGGAAAGAACGGTGATATAAAGAGCTACACCCTGTTTCCCAGCCTGAAAGGCTCCATGTGCTGCCTCCCATATCCACACACTCTAGTGTCAGCCCATCTGGGCAGGGACATCCAGGAGGGTGAAGGGGTCTCAGGCTCCCTGGCTAAACCTCACCTCCCATCTCACTCACCACCACCCCAACTCTCCATGTCCTAGAATTTCTGGCTTCATTCAAGTATCTGAACATTGGTTTAAGAACAAGAGGTAACATACAGCTCCCTGTTTCGAGGCCAAGAGTATGTCATTTTTCCACATTGATTGCTATATACATTCAGAAAGCTGCTTTCAGGAAAACCCTAACAGGTATAGCCCACCCCTATCAGAGACGTGGCATGGTTCTTCATCTTAACTCCAACTCTGTGACATTAAATGGGAAAACCTGAGCACATTCTCCAGACTGGTAAATGCACTTAGAGCCTAATGGGGTCTTTAATCCAACATTATGGCAGGAAGCTCCAGAGTAGGTGGGAACTCAAACATTTGTCTACATTGACCCTGAAATGAATCTGTGAGTGTGGCTACTGAGATGTAATTGTACTACATCTGGATGTCATTAGAGATGCATTTCTCCAAGATGATGCTGAAACAGATCCTTGGCTTGAGAGAAATCTTGAAAACCAGAACATCTCACTTCCTCCCACTGTAGGACACACCCCCATGGCCTGGCTGCCCCCACACACACATCTTCTACATGGGAGACAGCCACAAGCACTCAGCTTCATGACATCTGTTGGATGGGACACCCTCTTCCATACTCGTTAGGTCTAACCATTAGAAGCTTCAGTCCTACCAGGGCCTCAGGACTCCTGGGGCATCCTGGCAGCCCAGCTCCAGTGGCTTCCTAAAACAAGCTCTTCTTCAAGAAGCTGAGTTACAGCAAGTCCGATGGTAAACAGCTATTGCACATTTAATCTCTAGAACATCCTGGGCAGGCGATAATGCTGAAGCACCCACAGGTACTCCCCCGGGCCCTATGCAAGAGCGACGGCCGCACCTGAACATCCTGCTCCAGCTTGACTTTAATCATGTTGTACTCCTCGCAGTCCCAGATGCTCTGCTTGTTCAGCTGCTTCTCGTAGTCCTCCACCCTCTTCAGGCGATTGACGAGATACTCCAGCTGCAGACACAGGAAGATAGGGGAGTGGGGTGAGGGACCATCCCTGCTCCAGCTCCGCTCTTCAGGTGGCCCTGATGCACCTGCTGGCACAGGAGGTTTGACGGTTTCAAATCTTCTTCCCCTCCTTGCCCCAGAGGCATTCTAATGGCTTCTGGAAGCCCTAAGCACAGATTTGAACTCTCAGATCACGGCTCATATTGCTTTAATGGGATTCTCTCTGTAGAAATGCCAAGAATACTCCCTTGAAAAATGAACACAATCAGATGTGCAGATGCCTAAAAAAAATCCACCGGATCTTGGCAAAGCCACGTCTCTTTGTTCTGTGCGTCTCTGACATTAAGTGATAACTCCACACCCTTCAAAAAAATATGTCTCGGATGTTTGGCCTAGTGGTTAAAATGCCACCTGCATGCCTGCATCTCATATCAGAGTACCTGGGTTGGAGTTCAGGCTATTCTTGATTCCAAGTGCCTTCTAACAAGCATCGTGGGGAGCAGCAGGTGATGGCTCAAGTTCTTGAGTCCCTGCCACTCGTGTAGGATGTCCAGAATGAGTGCTCAGCTCCCAGCTTTGCCTTGACTGTCACAGGCATTTGGGATGGGACAAGGGGGATGAATCAATGGATGGCAGATCTGTGTGTCTGTGTACATTTCAAATAAAACTAAATAATTTTTTATAAAGGCAGATTTACAGAGAGATATCTTTCATCAGCTGGTCCACTCCCCAAATGGCTGCAATGGCCAAAGCTGGGCCTATCTAAAGCCAGAAGTCAGGAGCTTCTTCTGAGTCTCCCAAATGGGTGCAGGGGCCCAAGGACCTGGGTTACCCTCTGCTGCTTTTCCTGGTAATCAGCAGGGAGATCAATCAGAAGTGGAGCAGCCAGAACATGAACCGGCATCTATATAGGATGCTGGTGCTTACAGGTGACGGATTAGCCTGTTGAGCCATGACACAGGTCCCATAAATATTTTTTAGATGTGTTTTAAAACACTTTTGTGAACCACAAATATCCATGGCTGAGGCAAATCTCCTAGGAGACAGTGACAAGACCGTGGAACCTCTGGAAGGCTACAAAGGTAGTTCCCAATACCTCAAAAGAGATCTCTCCACAAGGCTGATCATAGGTGAAGTGTGGCAATATGACTCTGCCATGGCAATCCCACCCAAGGCACAAAAAAGGCTGACAAATGTGGTCATAGTCAATACCAGCCAAGATTCCACGGATCTGCCCAGGCACCCTCCCACAGCCTCACCTCCTTGGCATTGTGTGCCTGCAGCGCTCGCTCCCACTTCTTCTTATTACTGGCCAGTAGCTCCTGCCGCTCCACCTCAAATGCTTTCTACAACCAACAAGGAACAAGGCTCTGTGGGGCTGCCTGGTGTAGGCGGTTCCTGGTAGTATAAAAGGACTTTCATGTTTGCCAACCCCATATACAAAGTCGATCTCAAGTGTGAACTTGCCACATTTCATACAACCAAATGCTTGCAGGAAGAGCTGCATAGAAAAATCAAGTGTTAGAAAGACTAGACCTTGCAGACACGGCAAGAGGAAACCTGCCCACAAGTCAACTGTCAGCCAGAGGTAGGCAGCAGCTGGAGGGAGGCCAGAGCCCTGGTTGGCATGCAACCCGACCTTGACTAGGGTTGGTGCACTGCCACGGCCAAGTTCCCAGGAAGCAAAGGGCAACATGGAGCTTGCAGAGGTCTGGGCATGCAGAAATGAGTCTGAAATGACCTCAAGGGAGGGAGGGAGGTCCCCACCTTCCTGGCTCTCTTTCGTCTTGCAAAGACCTAAACCTCAACATGGCATTTAACTTCACGGTATCAATTTTCAAATGCTATTTGGCATTGTCCACTCTATCTGTTCCTCTCTGACTGCCATCCAGAAATAACTGATTCAAGTGTACCCAAGCCTGCGGGGTACAGCCTCCCTAGCTCCCCCACCATCCCCTTCCCTCACTTGTTCTCTTTCAAAGCACTTACTACCACCTGTTCAGATAGCTACTGGGTAATGTAGCTGCTTCTTGCCTAGCTATAACACAGATCCCACCAAGGCCCTCACTGTTTTCATGGCTGTGCACCTGTCCCATGCAACAGAATTTGGCACACAGCAAACCCTTGAAGCTTATTTGTTGACTAATGAAATGAGTGAGTAGATAAATTAGTAAGCAGGCATATCAGATCACGAGGACCTACCTAGCCCCTCTCCCCAGAGGTCTCCCGGGTACAGAGAGCAGGCCCCTTTTCCCAGCCGTCACCTCAATGTGATGCAGCTCCTGCCGGAAGCTCTTCATTACGCTCTTCACTTGTTCTTCCATCCTATCCAGCAGCAGGCAGATGTCATCAGACTGTTTCTTCAAGTCCTTCACATACTGATCATCTTTTATTTTCAGCTCCTTTAAAAGGAACATGTAGAAGGCAGATGGCTCATCAGTTGAGACAGAAGTGACAGGTGCCAAGCACAGTGTCCCCTGGCTCCTGCTCATCTGGGGCTGTAAGCACCAGAGATTAAAACTGTGCAAAGAACAAGTGATTTCAGAAGGGCCTGGGGATGCCCGAGGAGAAGCAGATGGGTGGAGAAGCAGGATTTGGCTCAGGGCACAGTCAGAACAGGATCAAGCTCTTGGACTATCCTTTGTTGTAAATCTCCCTGCCAGCTCCCAGAAAGCCTAGTGTGTCCCAGCCGAGGAGTCAGTGTCCCAGGTTCCAAGTCCCAATCCCTAAGAACATAAGACCTGAGGCGACATTTATCACTAAAGGGCATCTAGTAGGTGGAAATCATTCCAAAATCACTACAAAATCACTTCTTGTGATCAAAACCTTACCACTGGAAAAGTCATGCCAATTGGAAATGAAAAAGAAAAATCACCTCTGTTCCTAGGTGACATAGAAAACCTGAAGGTCCAACCCACAAAAAAAAAAAAAAAAATGCTACTAGTACTGATACATTCAGCAAAGCTGTAGGACACAAACTCAACACTCAAAAGCCAGTTCCACTCCTATTCACAAATGATGGACAACCCAAGGAGAAATTAAGAAAATAACTCCACTTACTGTCACATCAAAGGTGATGAAACAGTAGGGAGTAACTTCACCAAGAAAGCAGAAGACCTGTACATTGAAAAACCTCACACACACACACACACACACACACACACACACACACATCCTGTGTGTGTGCAACCCCCAGTGCTGGGGACTGTCCTTTCTCCCCACCGTGGACTACAGTCAAAGGCAATCCATCACAAGTCCCAATGTCATTTTCTGCAGAAATAAAGACATACTAATGTCACATCAGGATGGAATCTCAAGGGACCCTGAAGAGCCACACTGATCTTGACAAAGAACACAATGGAGGCCTCACATTCCCTGGCTTTCACACACCCCACTGAGCCGAGGTCCTGCAGAAGGGCTGACACTGACACGAAGGTAGATCCAGAGACCAAGGGAGTGGAACAGAGGGGGCCCAGAAACAAACCCCCTACAGAAGTGATATAATGCTGTTTTTTTTGACAAGGCTACACCTGAAAAAGGCGCAGTCTCTCTAACAAAGGTTGTGAGAAAACTACATAGTCACGTGTAAAAGAATGATTTTTTTTGTTTTTTACTTTTTTAATTGTATTTTTGACAATTTTTACATAGTTAATTAGGGCAGAAACATTCAAGGGCTACAGGAAAATGGGTAAGACTATTATTCCATATTGTTTCCTTCACATATCTGAGGTAAAGGGGGATTTTAAGGAAGAAGCCCCACCCAGTCTCCCACCCACCCCAGGTCCCGGATGTGGGGCATGCTCCAAGGGTCTTGCTCAAGTGGTTTTGATAGTTCAACAGTTATAAATTGCTGCCAATCTCACCACTCCAAGCACGATAAGGTCATTGAAGAATCCACTGATTAACAGTCCATCATAGAGTCTCTGTTTGCTCAGCTTTTCACTGCCAACATATAGCTGAGGTGGTTGATTGACTTGTTCTGTCCTCTGTCTTTTCATGATTAGGGTTCTGAGCCCAGCAGTTCGAATGGGGGCATCCCCAAAGAAATTTTGTCTAAGGTGTTCCCAGACCAGATTCTTGTATGTACTAGCAAGTACAGGGCCCAGCACAGTCCATTGCCCCAATGAGCTGGTGGTTGCAGTTGCTGGGCTAGTCCTGTCTCCAGCTCTGTCCTCCACTGGATCCAATGGGTATTGCAGTCCAGCCTGGCTTCGCCCAGCACATACTTGATCCTCACATAAACCAGTAGGAACTGCAGCCTAGTCGGAGCAACCCACATAATCCCCACCAGGCCTGCCCCCTACCCTGGTTTGCCAGTATGTGTAGCATACTAGTCCAGTCTGTTCAACATCCCATTCGGCTCTCATACATGTCAATGGGTATTAAAGCCTAGTTCCATCTAACCAGCTCAACTATCAAGCCCTCACAGATGCTGTCGGGTGCCTCTCTGTCTAGCCACCCCAGCCCCTGTCCTAGTTTTCATGCCCTCCCGTAGGAGTGGTAACCCAAGAGGGAGGAGCCCACTATTTCCCTCCCAGGCCTCTGCCACTCCCGGATTATGCACTCTCCAGGTGGTTCTGTGGTTTAACTTGATGGAATTAGCCCCCAGTGCCAGCTTCTGCCAGCTGATGCTGCGGCTAAGCCCAAACTATCCTCCTAACTGTGGTTTGCACCAGTAGGAACAATCAGCCCAGCCTGACTTTTCCCTGATCTAGTCCACATGAGGCCCACAGGTGTTTAGCCCTGCCTAGTCTGGTCTGCCCTCATCCCAGCTCACACTCTCCAGTGGGAGTAGCTGTCCAGCAAGGGAATCCCCCTATATTCCCCCTGCCGGCTCCGCCCCCTCCCTTCCTGGTTCTCATGTGTGCTCTTGGGCGCTGTGGTCACATCTGGTACAGGTAACTTCACCTTGGCATTCTGTAATGTGCACTGGTTTTTGTCACGACCAAACCTGGCTCGACCCACACTGTGCTGGTGCTTGGATTCGCCAGTGGGTGACATGAACTCGTCCAGCCTGGTCTTCCCCCAACCCATGCCAAATGTATGCCAATGGGAAACTTTCCATGGCCTGTTCTGGGCTGTTTGCTTTCATGCTTCTTGTGCTTACCTGCCGGGTCTGTGTCCTGCCTGAGGAGTTGCCCAGGCTCCTCCATCAGAACCTCTCCCAATGCCAGATTTTGCGCATACCAGGGGGTCCATGAGCCAGCCCTACTCAGTTCACCTCCTGTCCTAGCAGGAACAGTGGCTTTTCCTGACTGGCCTTCAACCCAAACTGGTTCTTGCCGTTGGATGTTTCAGCCCAGCCATGGCTCGTCCGTAACCACGTACGGCTCACACACGGCTCAATAGGGGTTGAGACCTAGCCTAGTCCATCGCACATCTACCCTGGTCCTCCAGGACACCAGAAGGTGTTAGAGTCTGGCCCGGCTAGGTGTGTCCAGTCCCAGTCCACACTTGTGCCAAGGGAGACTACAACCGTTTCCTATTCAGAACACAGCCCCTATTCCAGCCCACACGCCCCTTATTGGAAAGCTCAACCCAGCTAGGGTGTCCCCTTAGCTCCCCAACCAGGCCTGTTCCCAGCCATAGATCATGCACATGCCAGTGGTTGCTCTGATTCAGCTTGGCACAGCCCCTCACCTGTCCCGACCCCTGCCTTAGACACTGTGGTTTTGCGTCCCTGACTCACGCAGACCAGTAGGTGCAAGATCCTAGCTCAGAATGCCCTGTGCTCCATCCTGGTTTCTATTTTTATTTGTGGGCTAAGGTTTGCTCAGTCCTGCCCGGTACACCTTGTTCTATTACCTATTCACACATTAGCCAACTGTTGGAGCTACTTTGTGCAGCTTGTCCGAACCCCAGGTCTGGACCACATGTTCACCAGCAGGAGCTATGACTCACCAGGGGAGTTTCCCAAGTTCCACCACTTGATCCACTCCCATACCCAGTTCTGATACATATGATTGGGTTTTAGGCCAGTGCCCAGCGTAGTCTGCCTTCCATTTGGCCTTTTATGAGCTGGTGAACGTTTCAGCCCAGTCCACCCCATACCCTATTCAGGATGCACATTCAGGTGCTGCTGCCTTGACCAGTCCAAACTATTGTCGGTTCCTTAACCTGTGATTGATGGCAGGCTCCTTGGTCACACCTAACTTAGTCCATCACCACCCCAACTCTTGAACTAACATGTAGGGCTAGAATTTCCACAGGGTTTGGCCCACACATCCCGCACAGAATCTACCTCCGGATATGGTTCTCTGGCGTGCTTGTTAATGTTGTGGCTCTGTCTAATGTGACCCACCATCATGTCAGGTAATAGGATATGATCCTGTTAGACAAGCCCCAAGTCTTAGGTTTTGCATGGACTAGTGTTCGGTGGTTACCATTGTTCAGTGATTACAAATTCTTCAAGGGAAAAGTTACTCTGTCGTTTGGAATCTATAGGATTGATTCACTTCCCAGAAGCACAGTGGATTCAACGTGGTGCTACATAAGCAGCGATTTAAAGAAATAAAACCCCAGAGCTCATGGCCAGGTGGCCAGCGTGCCATTTGGTGCCAGGCTCCGCCTGCTGACCCAGGGACAGCTCACCATGTGCACGCAGTGGCTGGAGTCAGGGATCCAAGCATGGAGACGCCCTGGCCTAAGACCCACCAGCTGCCAGAAGGCTGCCAGAGGTTTCAGCCCCCAGGCCCAAGGTCACGCCCCCTCCAATCCCATCCCCTGCCCACTGATGGCAGTGGGTGGGCCCTGTGCCTGCCCGGGCCCCCGTGACTGTCCCCCTCGGTGTTCTCACCCTGAGGGGAGAAGCCCCCAGAGCCCAGGCAGGCCCAGGGACAGCTTACCATGTGCACATGGTAGCTGGAGTCAGGCGCAAAAGAATGACTAAACTTTGATATCACATAGAAAATGAATTACGAATGAACTAAAAACCCAAATGTAATGCCTAAAACTGTTAAACTCCTAAAAGAAGAGCTTCCAGACATTGGATTTGACAATAAATTCCCTTATAATAATACTAAAACTGTTAAACTTCTAAAAGAAGAGGTTCAGGACATTGGATTTGACAGTCATTTCCCTCATAATAATACCAAAAGCACAGGCAACGAAATTAAAATAAAAATTGATCAATGAGACTGCACCAAACTGAGAAACTTCTGTACATCCAAAGAAGCAATAAAGATAGTAAGAAAGGCAACAAGGGGAAAGGGTGAGTGTACATCTGGTAGAATGCTAGTATCTAGAATACATAAAGAATTTCTGTAACTCAGGGCCTGGCGCAGTGGCCTAGTAGCTAAAGTCCTCACCTTAAACGTGCCGGGATCCCATATGGGTGCCAGTTCTAATCCCGCAGCTCCACTTCCCATCTAGCTCCCTGCTTGCAGCCTCAGAAAGCAGTTGAGGATGGCCTAAAGCCTTGGGACCCTGCACCCGCATGAGACCCAGAAGAGCTCCTGGCTCTTGGCTTTGGATTGGCTCAGCACTGGCCACTGTGGTCACATGAGGAGTGAACCAACGGATGGAAGATCTTCCTCTCTGTCTCTCCTCCTCTCTGTACATCTGCCTTTCCAATAAAAATAATATAATTCTTTTAAAAAAATTTCTGTAACTCAACAATAATAACAAAAATGATCCAACCTAAAAACATGCAAAGAATTTAAACACATTTCTCTAAAAATGATACAAAAATGGCCAATAAGCACATAAGATGCAAAACATCCCTAATTATCAGGAAAATGCAAATCAGAATCACTATGAGATAGCACCTCACCCCCATTAAAACAACACCTACCAGCAAAACAACAGATGTAGTAAGTGTTGGCAGGGCGCCCCGAACTTGGAACACTGATGCGCTGTCTTTGGGACTACTGCTATAGCTACTGCAGGAAAATGGTATAGCATTACCAATGACCCAGCAACCCCCAAAGTGGGATTCTGATGTGAAATGTGCATTGCCGTATTCAGGGCAGTGTCTTTTGAGGTAGGTCTGCCCTCACAGATGATGAACCAATAAAATGTGGCACATACACACAGGATGGAATATTCCGCAGCCTTAAATAAGGTGACCTGCCACGCACTCCAGCTTAGGTGAACCTCAAAGAGGTGATGCCACATCACGAAGGACAAATGTGAGTCCTGCAAAGTTACTTTGGAAAGCATCTGAAATCCCAGGAGCAGGGAGGGGAGAGGGAATTGAAGAGCTGCAGGGCTACAAGATGAAGAGGGTACTCTAATCTTATGCCATTTTTTTAAACCATAATAAAGAAAAAAAAATAAGGACTTGAGCCTGAGTGTTGCATTTTTGGTAATTTCTCCTTTCTGTAAAAGTGAAGAAGTGGAGCGCCCCCAGGCAGCCCAGGCTTGCCTGCTGTAACTCGCTGATGAGCTTGTTCTTATCTTCGATCAGCCCCGCACAGTGCACCTGCTGAGTGTTGAGCACTTCCCACAGGTCCTGGGGAATTCTCTTCTGCTTGCCCTCCTCCCACTTGGACATAATCTCATCGAATTTGTCCTGGCTGGTCTTTACTTCATTCTCCAGCTTCTCGATTCTGCAAATACAAATAGAACAGCCAGGCCAGCCCAGCTCCAGGTGAGTGGGCAACTTCTCTAGAGTCCACAAGACAGGGCAAAGTGCAGGCAGCGGCCTCAACACACCTGCCCCAACCAAACAACTCACGGAAGAATCTTCTGTTAGCTTCATAACTGTAAGAATGCCAAGGGACACTTCACAGGCTTACACACATCACACACACACACACACTCACACTCACACACCAAGGGTCAACCAGTCTCATTCTGATGGTGACACATGAGAGCCACAGGCTCTTGGTCCTTGGAGTTCAAAAGCTGTGCTCAAGTCCTGACCTTGCTGCTGACTGTCAATCACAGACGAGTTGCTGGCCCTCTTCGAGCCTCCCTCCTCTCCTCTGTAATATTGGGGAGGAAGCAACGAATGCATGGAGGGTGAGACAAGATGGAAGGAATAGTGAGATGCGAGCCCTTCCTGAGAACAATCAATAGACACAGACCAGAGACTTCGCTGCAATCTGTCACACAAGAGTGAAGCCCCTGAGGGGCAGGAGGCACACACATCCTGTGCTGTTCTCCATCCTCCCACTTCTGTCCCCTACCCTGCCTGTTACATTACAGCAGGTAGTACACACCATTCTAGTGAACTCTTCTTTTCAAGAAATGTGAAACCACTATTGTCTTCCTTTTTTTTTTCTTCTCTCTCTCTCTTTTTTTTTTCTCTAATTTATTTGAAAAGTAGAGACACAGACAGAGATTTTTCATGTACTGGTTCATTTCCCAAATCACTGCAATGTTCAAGAGCGGGCTGGGCCAGGCCAAGACCAGGAGCCATGAATTCTACCTGAGTTTTCCACCTGGATGTAGGGGCCAAAGCACTTGGATCATCTTCCACAACTTTCCCAGGCACATTAGCAGGGAGTTAGTTTGCAAGCAGAACAGTTGGAACTTGAACCAGCACTCCCAAGGGACGCTGGCATTGCAGCTGGTGGTTTAAACCACTGTGCCACAATATCAGCTCCAGGCTGTGTTTGTAAAACACACTGAATTTGCAATTCTTCTCCTTAAGTTCTTCTACTTTCCCTCAGTGTCTGTAGGATGAAATCTGACCTTAGTAGGATGTTTGGGGTCTTTCACAAGTCCACCCTGCTAAGCATCAGCTATTTCAGTTCCTAATGCAACCCAGATAGGCAGCAGGTAGTTTTGAAATTAAAGTCACTGATGACAGATGGCTAGAGTTGGCTTCCTCCGACCCTCTCTCCTTCTAGGCACATGCTGCTACCATGGTTTCTAATGCTGCAATGTCTGTGGCTCTGGCCACTCTCACCAATTTAAAGCCAGGACTGTCCAAAACCAACTCAGCCTCACCTCTCTTCTTCCTCAGCTCCCAAACCCACCCTACACACACACACACACACACACACACACACCCTTTCCTCTCATCCAGAAGCAAGAACATCATGGGATGTCAAGATTCTACTCAAGTGTTGCCTCCATCTAAAACACCCTCTCTTCAACTCTGCAAACTCCTGTTCATCTCTTGTAGCTCAACCCCAAATGGGAAATTTGCTATAATCCTAGCAAAGAGAATTCAAGGCTTCCTCATGCATGTTTCCACAATTCTTGACACATGCCTTTATGTTTTTAAGATTTATCTACTTACTTATTTGAAAGATAGAATATACAGAGAAAACAAGATCTTCCATCTGAAGCAAGGAGCCAGGAACATTATCCTGGTCTCCAATATGGCAAGGACCCAAGCACTTACCTGTCCTCTGCTGCCATTCTAGGTACATTAGTAGACCATTATATTGGAAATAGAGCATCCAGGATCCAATATGGAATGCCAGCATTACACGTGGCAGCATAATTGACTGTGCCACAGTGCCAGCCTCCTCCCTTTATTTTACCATGAATTATGGCTGAATGTTCCTGTATCTATCACAGAGGCTGCATTTCCTTCCTGTTGTTGCTATACAGTTTGGCACATATCAGCAACATAATGCTGCAGGAATGGAAGAAGGGATGCAAAAAAAGGATATGAGGAAGAAGGAGGATTTCTCAGGGATAAGAAGGGGATTCGACTAAGTTGAATAAAGTCACTTCTAAGACTGGAGAGGACCCTGAGGCCCACAGAGATGACCTTCATGCCCACCAGGCTGCAACCTGTGGTTCCTTACCTCTGACGCTTTATCTCTTCCTCTTCCACCCTCCTGTGGATCTCTCTGTTGTCTACAGCCACCTGGACATTTGTCACCAGCTCAGTGCCACACAATAGCAGCTTGGCCAATTTCTGAAAGCAAATAGGTAAGAACTGTAAATGTTCTAATGCCTTGCCAAGAATCTAAAAAGTCAGACACATTTTTTAACAACTCTGTAGCTCCAGTGTCCCAGCAAACAGAACTCAATAGCTACCTTAAGATTTGTAATGGCAGCATCTACTGGGCATTGTCGTTTGTAATGTCACTGCTGACAAATCAAACAGCAGCCAGCCATCCTCCACATACTGCAGCCCACTCTCCTTAGCAGTGATCGGCCAACCACAAACCAGGCATGTGCTGCCAGAATATCTCAGTACCTTCCCTGACAAATGTCCACGTGACTGACATGACTGGAGTCCTCTATAGAAATCTGTTAGGGACATGAGGCCAATCAAGGTGGTGGATCTACAATGCTCATGTCTCCTTGTTCCCACACTGCTTGGAAACAAAACCCCCGAATTCAAGCTAGGCATGGTACATTGCCCAGCATCTCTTACAACTAGAATAAGGACTGATCAGTACATGTGAGCAGAGATGTGCACTCCCAAGTGGTGCCTTTAAGGGAAGAGGCGTCTCCTCCACTGTCCTGGCTCTTCCTTTCTCATGGGGTGCCATGTGGGCCTGAGGAACGATGTGATGAGCAAATGAAGGAATTTCTTCCAATTTCCCACGTGGGTGACAGGCAAGCACTTAGGCCATCCTCATTTTTCCCAGGTGTATTAGCAGGGAGCTGAATGGAAAGTAGAACAGCTGCGTATTTAACACACACACTATGGGATGTGACGGTGCAAGTGTGTGGCTGAACCCGTTATGCCATAACACAGCCCTACATGGGATCTGGTACCCGTAGCACAGTGAGCTCAGGGTTCTGACCCCCAGCTGACTCTCTGCTTCTCAGAAAAGAAGCAGGTAGGAGGAAAGGAGGGAAGAAAGAAAAGGAGGAAAGCCAAGACAATCTGGAGGACGGAATTGAAGTCCTGTTATAAAGCTACAGTAACTGAACTAATGTGGAACTGGAACAAAGGCAGTCAGAATGAATAATGAACAGACCAGAGAACCCAGAAACAAACTCACACATGCAATCATCTGATTTACAACAAAAACACACTTCAATGCAGGGAGTGAAGACTCAGCTTTATGAGAAACACAGCGAGGGTTGCTTAAAACTCTACATGGAGGGGCCAGTCTTGTGGCATAGTACCCATATGGGTAGGGTTTGTTTGCTCCATTTCTAATAGAACTCCACACTAATGGCCTAAGAAAAATAGCAGAAGATGGCCCAAGTTCTTGGGCCTCTGCAGCCATGTGGGAGATCTGAATGAAGCTGCAGGCTCCTGGCTTCAGCCAGGCCCAACCCAGCTATTGAGGCCATCTGGGGAGTGAAACAGCAGATGGAAGAGCTCTTTCTCTCTGTTTTTCTCCTCTCTCCAAATCTTTCAAATAAATAATCTTAAAAAAAACTTTATGCAGATAAAAACAGTCATTGAGTAAAAAACTTAACCTAACACCACGCACAAAAATCAATCAGCATAACAGACCCAATGTTAATGGCAGAATAAATCTTCTGGAAGGAAATATAGGTGAACACCTTCATAAACTTTAAATAGACGAAGATTTCACAGAAGACAATTCTTTAAATGACTGACAAAGCACAGAATCCAGGGCAAGGATTAGTCTGATAAGGTCTAGGGTAGAACCAGCAGTGGCTCCAGAGGGATGCAGCATTTTTTGTTGTTGTTGTTGTTATAGATTTCTCCATGAGGTCAATGTTCTTCATTACTCAGGCTCTGGGTAAGAAGAATCTTGAAAATTTGCTTTAAACAACACTATTTATTTAGTTTTATTCTCAGCAAAGAGAGCTCAGAATGAACTGAATATCAGTATGAGGGGACTTCAGAAAGCTTATGGAAAATGGGAAATAAAAGATACTGATCTAGATGCAAAAACTGTTGCAGTCCATGCAAACATGCATCTTCAAAAAGCAGATAGAAAAGGCAGATTAATATGAAAAATACTATGCATGAATTCCAATAATTTGGGTGCCAAAATAAGCTTCTTTGTTAAGTCCTTTTTCTACAAACGTTCAGAAACAACCTCAGGCTTTCAAGACTCTAAGATTCTTTAATCAAACACAGAAATGTTCTGAGATTACTGGCCACTAGATGAAGCTAGCCGAGTACAAAGAAGTGACATGAATCATCTACTACGCAGCAGACCTGAGAATCTGCACCAGTCCAATATTCTCTCCACCAGAATCAAACGGCTTACTACTGACACAACATCATGCAAGCACTCCACATTCTTAGGTTCTAGCAAAATACTTCAGCAGCCAGAATCCTTTATCCCACTCAAGACATTTATTTCTGCAGAAATAAGTGTATATAATATTTATTTATATATATGTATATATATGTATATATACATATACATATACATATATACACATACATACATATATACACATACATAAATATACATATACATATACATGTACATACATATATATACACATACATAAATATATATATATTTATATATATAATATATATATTTTTATATATGTATATATACATATACATATACATATATACACATACATACATATATACACATACATAAATATACATATATATGTATATATACATATATGTGTGTATATATATACATATATATGTATATATGTATATACATATATATATATTAGAATTACAGAGAGAGAAAGAAAGAAAGATCTTCCACCTGCTGGTTCCTTCCCCAAATGGCCACAACAGCTGGGCTAGGCCAGGAGCCAGGAACTCTCCCATGTGGGTTCAGGGTTCCAAGGACTTGGGCTTTCCCCTGCTGCTTTCCCATGCCATTAGCCGGAAGCTGGATTGGAAGTGGAGCAGCCAGGATACAAACCAGGACCCACATGAAATGCCAGTGTTGCATCATCTATGCCATAGTACCAGCCCCTATTTTTGCAGACTTTTATAAAGATTCTGTGCTTCATTTGAAAACCAGAGTTACAGAGAAGGAGGAAAAGATAGATCCACTGGTCCTCGCCCCAAATTGCTACAACAGCCAGAACTGGGCAAGAATGACACGAGGAGTCTTGGAACTCTCTCTGGGTTTCCCACATGGGTGGCAGGGACACAAGGTCTTGGACCTTCCACTGCTTTCCCAGGTGCACTAACAAGGAGCTAGTTCAGAAGTGGAGTAGCTGAGACTTGAACTGGCATTCATATGGGATGCCAGTGTCACAGTTTGCAGTTTAACTGCTGTGCCATGATACCAGTCCCATTACCCCTCTCTTGCTCTCCCTCTCTCATTCATTTTTTGAAAGCCCATTTTATTGCTGTGAGACTTGTCTCAAGTCCTAGTTCTTCTACACAACCTTTTCTCCCAGTCTAGCTTGATGTAACTCAGTGTAGTCTCCTAGTGCCTGCCTCTCATTTAGCATGGATTAAATGCCACACTCTGCCAGTGCTGGCTGGCTGGCTGGAACTGTGGTTTATCCTTCCTGCATACTTGGGTTCCAAGTCTTTCACTTAATATCCTGAGAGCCCTGTCATTGTCATACAAGAGTGATCAGCAATTGTGTTTGGGCTGGTTACTGGGCGCAAGCTCTGCAGCACCCTGTGCAGCGGTGACACTCTCCCTAGGGACACACACACACCACAACAGTCATCCAAGGCAGAAAAGAATCTAAAATGAAACAACTGGTACATCTGCAGGGACTTAGACCAGGTTAAGGGACTTGAGGAGCTGCAAGCGGGAGTGACAGAATGGGGATGTCTTCCCAGGGTCAAGAGAGGACAGAGGAGGGAGTGGGGACCTGTCCATTCCAAATGACCCGACACTTGGTCTAGATGATCTAATGCCTGGAGCAGAGGGTGAACAAAGGCCCCTCGGGGTGGGGGAACTCATGAATCAGTTCAACCACAGCAGAAGACATGAATTAGGTGACCATTGGGAGAACTGATTAGAATGGTAAGATGGTAACACAGACTAGCACAGGTCTTGAATGGCAAGCTAGAGTCTCTGGGTTTTATCCTACAAAGAGTGAACCACCATTAAAGTGCACTACCAGGAGCCTGGCACAATGGCTCAATAGTTAAATCCCTCACCTTACAATCACTGGCATCTCATATTGGCACCAGTTCATGTCCTGGCTGTTCCATTTCTGATCCAGCTCCTTAACTGTACCATGGAAAGCAGTACAGGCTGGCCCAAAGCCTTGGAAGCCTGCACTCAGATGGGAAACCTGAAAGAAGCTCCTGGCTCCTGGCTTAGGATCGGCTTAGTTCCAACCATCGTGGTCATTTGGACAGTGAGTCAGAGGATGGAAGATCTTGTCTCCCCTCTATAAATCTTATCTGCCTTTCCAATAAAATTAATCTTTTTAAAAAAGAAAATATAACTATAAGAAACAATAATGTCAGCTTCACTAGGCTCAGTGTCCAACCCAGGCGTGCCTGGGTACAGAGAAAAGGAGGGCTCCATGTGAGAGCCATGATATCACACCCAGCTCCCTGGTCCATTATTAGGGACAAGGCCCACAGGTTAGCAGTTCATACCAGTCTGCTTTCTTCTTTCTGTTTGTAGCTCTTGCTCTGCTCCTCCTCGCTCTCCTTCTTGCCATCTATGTATTCGCCAAGTGCTTCCCTGCAATGGAGAAGAAACAGAGTGCCACAGTTACGCTGCCCAGGACTGCAATGCTACAGGCAGAGGGTTCAGGGGTTCCAGAGCTCCTCAGGACACACACCAACATACACCTGTGGGGAGCCATGCAGTTGGGTCGGATGGCATGGGTGTGTGATGAGCACCGCTTCTCGGTTAGCAACCCTGAGAGGAGTTTCTGGCTGCATGGCAAAGCCCAGGAGAATGTCTCTGGTCACCTCATTGCTGCCTCACCCATTGTACGGACACTCAGTCACCTCTCTGATGTTTCATAGAATTCTCCTGAGGGTGGTGTTGTTGTTTTTCTAATGTGAAGTGATTCCTGTAACTGGTATAACACCTCAAATTGATCAATCATGTTATGATAAAAACATCTTTAGCGACGTAAGGCAATGACACACAGCATACATACATACATACATACAATAGTACAATTGAGCCCACAATGTCTCCAAACTAGGTGGGGGGGTGGGGAATTGGGGCTGGGATAAGGGAAATATCAGGAGCCTATGGAACTGTATCATAAAATGATAATAATAATAATATGTAAAAAAAAAAAACTCAAGGAATAGGGCCTGGCACAGTATCCTAAAGGCCTAGCCTTACACATGCCTAGATCTCATATGGGCACTGGTTCGTACCCCAGAAACCCATAAACTAAATAAAACTCCTTAAAATCAATGCTATACAGAGCAGAGAAAGAGAGAGAAATACCAAAGAGAATATGTGGCAAGAACAGGAGATTTATAACAGAAATCCAAATGGCAGACAGACATTGTGAAATACCAACAGCTTCACACATGTCTTGTGCGATATCATTATTCTTCTCTCATTCTAGGAGAGATGTTAAAGGTGGCTAATATCAGACACGGCATGAGGGAACTTCATGAACAGCAGACCCCTGCTCATACCCCTCTCTCCTCATGATTCCTGTATACGTCAGGGAGAGGATCCCAGCACCGCCAGAGAAAACTAAGCCATCCTGGAACACGAGCTCCTCTTATCTCACTCCTTCTGACTTCTAACTTCCATCTCCACCCCCGCTGATCAAAGTCCAGCTCAGCCCTGCACAATATGACACCGCTTTTCAGATAACGTTACCAGCCCCCACTCAAGCTTTTTTTTTTTTTAAAGATGTATGTATTTAATTGAAATGCAGAGGGACAGAGAGGGGGGGGGAAAGGACAGGGATATCCTCAAACCACTGCTTTACTCAGATATGCCAGGAACCAAATCTGGGTCTCCGCATATGGCTGGGTGACAGGTACCCAGACACTTGGGCTAACTTCTGCTACCTTTCCAGGTGCATGAGTAGGGATCTAGGTTGGAATCAAAACCACTGGGATCAAATAGGACCTCCAATATACAATGCTGGTGTTGCAAGCCTCTTAACCCACTGTCTCAGAAGGCCAGCCCGTGTGTGTGTGTGTGTAATTATTATTATTTTATGATACAGTTCCATAGGCTCTGGGACTGAACCCCCCCAAGTACCTTCCCCATCTACTGATTTCTCCCCTAGTATTACAATGAGTAGTCCTTCATGAACAGTCACAAGTCCATCAATCCAATACTAAAGTGTTTTCCGACATTGTAGGTATGGACAATGTCAGAAAGTCAGTGTCCAACTGTCAGGATATATTCAACAGTTTCACCTGGATTCCACCTTCAGTCTGGATGCAGGGATGCATACTGCACTATGTATATTTATTATTTTTTTTTTTATCTGAAAGATAGTTACAGAGAGAAGGAGAGACAGAAGTCTTCCACCCGCTGGTTCACATTCCTCAAATGACCATAACAGATCAATCCAAAGCCAGGAGCCAGGAGCTTCTTCCATGTCTCCCACGTGGGTGCAGCGTCCCATGGCATTAGGCCATCTTCTGCTACTTTCCCAGGCCACAGTTCACATATGCTGGGTTTCCTTGGAAGCTGGCTTTCAGATCTTTTCTCCATCTTAGCCCTAGCCCCAACTGTAATTTAACTCATTCTCATGATTTTAAATCAGCTATAATGCTGCACACCCTCTGCCCAGGGTGTCTGAGATTCAAACCCACAGTCGATTACCTAACATCTCAATGTTAACATCTTACAAAATCCAACTTGGCTTCCCAGGTGCTAAGCCCAAGTCTTGTTTTCCACCTCCTCCTCACTACCCCACCCACCACTGCCTTCACAAGTGCTGGCAGCCATTTCCCATCCAGCTCCCTGCCTGTGGCCTGGGAAAGCAGCAGAGGATGCCCCAAAAGGCTTGAGGCCGTGCACCCAAGTAGGAGACCCAGAAGAAATTCCTGGCTTTGGATCAGCTCAGCTCCAGTCATTGTGACCACTGGGGAATGAACCAGTGGACAGATCTTTCTCTTTTTCTTTATAAATCTGCCTGATAGATAGATAGATAGATAGATAGATAGATAGATAGATAGATAGATAGATATAGATAGAATCTTAAAAAAAAAAAAAAAACAGAAAAAAAAGGCTGGCCTTGTGATACAGTGGGTAAGTGGCTTGCAGCACCAGCATCCCAAATTGTTTGAGTCCCAATTGTTCTAATTCTGACCCTGTCTTTTCAATAAAAAAAAAATAAATAAATAAACACTTTTTTAAGTGCTTGACACTACAGAATGCACAGCACCAAGGGGGAAATCCTAGGGTCTCTTGTTGGAATGAGACCAGTGGCTACAGCAAATGAAGCCCTGCTGTGGGAAGCTGACTGGCACATGGGGACCAGGCGTAACACAGAATCTACACCTTCTGCTCACGTTTGAAAACTGATCTTAAAAAAAAAATCTTAGCTGGTCTAAGAGCAAGGAGACCAATTTGTACTTCATGTGTAAAAAACAAACAAAAACGTCCACAGGGCTCTGTCAGCACCTAGCCCTTGGTTTTCAGACTGCCTATGGCTGCCTTAATGGCAAAGAGCTGGGCAGCTGGGACAAAAACCAGAAGGTCTGCAAAGCCTGAAATATCTCCCATCGGTTGCCAACCCTGCCTCACATGGGGACAGCATCACCACAGCTAGGCAGCCAGGCAGCACAAGCAAGAGACAGCAAAGGAGGAGGAGGGTGTTTAACTCCACGGAGACTCAGCCCCTGTCCCATCACTGGCATTTTCCAAGGTCCAGTGGGATGCCCCAACAAGTTAAACAGGCTGGCTTACTGGTCCTGGCACTCTCTAACCCCAGAAGACCCCCTCCAGCCTGCCAGACTGTGGATCTTACAGGGTAACACACTCCACATGAAGGAACGCTGCTCCAGCTCACATGAAAAGCTGTCAGTTCTGAGTGGTGCTAGAGCATGAAAAGAAACTGCGAAAAGCCAGGTCAATACTGGACTGCAGGATCAGAGGCAGCAAGCAGAGAAGATGCCCCATGGCATTCATGGCAGGCTCTAGAGTCACAGCATAAGGCATGTCATCGGCAGCAGACAGCGCTTTTGAAAACAGATCTCAGCAAGCTCTCCTGAGGCCTGGCAGAAAGCAAAGGGGACCCAGTGTGCAGCCATCCAAAAGCAGAAATCATGGGCTGTGCAGCCATCCAAAAGCAGAAATCATGGGCTGGATATATACCGGCTCCACTCAGACCCCCACGTCGCAGCCTGCTGTTGTACCTACACCCCTGCCTGTGGCATGAGTGGGATTCCCTCCCGAGTGAAGGAGAAAGGGCCCAAGTTTAATTGTGGGTTATCAGAGTTGTTCAGACTGAAGATAAACAGCCGCTTTGTGACAGGCACACCCAGGGCTGGCCTGAGAGCCTTGCAGGCTTGTGGCATCTTCAGCCAGGGAGTCTGACACCACAGACTCTCCAGGTGGCACAGGGTGCACAAGTGGGCCCACGCCTGCAAATCATGTCACCCAGCCTACCATCTAAGTCAAACCAGCCTGGTGGTCCTGGAGCGGCCAGCAGAAGCTGCGGCCTGAAGGCAGTGCCCAGGGGACCAGGGAGCCAGCCTCCCCAACATAGGCACTGCACCAACCTAGAAACTTAAGAGTGGCTGTGTCAGCAGTGTGTGGAGTCTGGCATAGCCCCCCTTAGCTTACTTCCTGAAGACCCACTGGGCGCTGTGTGGTTCCTGTCTCCACAACGCTGACGTCCCCAAAGTCTTTGGCTCCCACAGAGCCACAGGTCACCTGCTGACGTGGAACCTCTCACTTGCCACTAACCACCAGCAGACCGGAAGAGCAGTCACCATCCTACTGGGCAAGAGGGAACTCAGGGGTGCCTTGAGGTACCCCTCCCCTCAATAAATCCTACTAGTAGCTGTGAAGGAACACGCCAGAGGCAAGGTTTAACAGAAGCCTCAGCCGAGGTCCACGACACACGCACCTGTGGAAGAAGGAAAACCAGGACCCTGAGCGCTGACCCCAGGCCTTTGCGTATAGACTACGACGCCTGCGCCAAGGGGCAAACGCCTCTGACTTTACAACGACGCTCTGCTTGACACTCCTGAGAAGAAATGTTTCCCAACTCTTCACAAAATAAGTCCCGCCCACACTCCCGGGCAACTGGCGGCGGTTCCCCCAATTCTGCACAAGGCTTTTCCGGCTCCGCCCCCGAAGCCCTCGGCTCCAAGCACAAAGCCCGCCCAGATGCCCCCTCACCGCCGCCGCGCTTCCAGGCGCGCCGCGATGCGGAGACGCCGAGCCTGGATCCGCTCCTGCGGGTTATCAGAATATACGGAGGGCCCAAGAATCGGTGCGGAGGCATGTTCGTCCGGATTCTGCTCCAGGACCCCAAGGGACGCTGCTGGATTCATGGCAGGGGCTTCACGCCCCCCAGGCAGCCCGGCTGGACCACCACCAGGTTGCTAGAAACAAACCGTTGCTAAGTGAAAGCAGTCACCTGACCCGCAGCGCGAGTGGCTGCGTGCGCAGCCCTTCTGAACCCACCCATGACTCTCCTGAACCGGGCACTTCTCATCTCACACTAGGGCTCTGTTCCTCTTCTGCAGCTCGTACCGGTAAGGTTCTGATCCCCACCTAGGCCTGTCCTTATCAGCGGAAACTGCAGCCTCATCTTCATTCTCGACCTGAGCCACTCTGTGACTTTGTGGCTGACTGACCCTTATTAGCTCATTCATTCTTCCCACACCAGATGAACAGTCCTAAATTTCATACTTGTGAGACGTAATTCAGTGCCTCTTATGTCACGTGCTGGACTAGCCTTTCAGATACAGGAACTGTGCCTTCCACATGGAGAATCCAGAGTAACCACTAAAGGACCTTGCCTGTGTCATTTACAAGCTGCTTGGAAGCTCTGCTAGAGGCTACGTGGCCCTGTTTTCCCTAATGCTGACCATTAGCAGGTTTAGATCTGGTAACCATGGCCCCCTGCCATCACAAAGAGGAAACGAGGGGCAGGGGGAAGGAGAGCAGGGTGCGGAGCTCAAGTGGGAGATGCAGAGACATCATGCATGGCTGTTGACAATGTTCACACCAAGAATTAAGATCTTCCCTTGCAAACTGGGCACTGAGAGAATCCTGTCCCATCCGCTCATGGAAGCCTATGGAAAGGCAACTGGGTAGGCGAGGGATGAGAAAATGTGCATACCGGGCCTAGTGCTGCCCTGTCACCTTGGGCAAGTCACAACTTGTTGAGGATTATTTGAGGTTCAGCGTTGTCCTGTCCGCTCCACTGACAGGTCCCTGGGAAGTCCTCTAGCAACACCTGTCCAGTGTCAAAAGGAGGTTTTTGAAATTCACTTTTCCAAGTTTGTTTCCAAGCTTCAGGGCCCTCAGCCAAGTCTCCGTCCTTTGGTTGTAACAGTAGGGGCCATGGAACAGGAAAGGTGTGTCTAACCACAAGTTCCTCCTGGTCCTGGTTGGTACCATCCCTATGGAGAGACACAAGTACCTGTGTGTGCATGTCTGTGGCCAAGAAGGGAGATCATGAGAAAGGCATATTGACCTGTTACATAGCTAAGAGAACAAAGGGACCATCAGAATCCACTTAGAATGACCCATGAGACACTGACCCCAAAGTTGTTTCCAGTACCACTGCAGACACCTGTCATGGTTATCATGAGCACTGCTCAGGCTGCCCCGTGGCCTGGTGGGTGAGAGTGGAGAGACGTGTGTTGGGAACACCTGTGACTGTGCTTACCCTGTGCTCTTGCATTCTGAAAGAAGCCATGGGAACAGAGGCCAGCCGCCAGCCAGCAGCCAGCAGGCTGATACTTCTAAAACTGAGAACACCTCTGGAATGTTTTTGCTTTGAAATAACCAATGGCTCTGAAGCAAGTACTGTAATTTTTCCATTACACTTTTCTCCCCTTAGGACTTACCAAGGATGCACAAAGAAAGACAATCTGAGAACAGTTAAAAGGATTTAAAAATTATTTATTTTTATTACAATAAATATTTATCAATAAAAGAATTAAACAATTTAAAATTAAAATCTATAGCATTACTTTTGGGGTTTCACAATAGAAAGAAACAAATCCAGCTGTAAGGACAAGACTTCCAAAACCTGGTGACAAGAAACAGTCCGGTCTTGACTATCTGGACTGGCGGTGGTGAACAGTAATACAGATAATGCAAATGTAACATGGCAGTGCACACCAGCTGATCTGAGCAACATTCCAGCTAAGTAGCTGGAGCAGGCAAGACGTTGAGTTGCTCGGAGAGCGAAAAGTTCTCCCCACCAGCTGCCCCCAGAGCTACCCTGCAGTGCAGACCCAGTGAAGGCAGCCATCATTTGGCTCACATACATGCTTGGTTAAAAGAAAGAGTCTGTCTCAAGGACCGAGATGAAGAAGAAGATGGACTGGCTCCAGATCCACCAAAGGCTTGTGTTACGATTAAGTCAACAAGAAACAGCTGGAAGGGCTTACTGTTTTGCTGATAAGAGTAGATGGCATGTATACATGAATATATCATACATATGAAGTGTCTATATACACTTAGCACACACAACCAGATTAAATAAATGCTACATTATTCAGAACACAGCAAATCCTAGTCATCTTCCTCTCTGATAAAGTCTGCTCTGTAGCAAATATACTCCACTCACTCTGGTAGAGCTGTTTTTGGGTACCTGAGAAGGAATGGAATTGTCCTCGTGTTTCAGAACACTACAGAAGGCCAGCCACAACAGGACCAAGCTAAACACATCAATAATGGATTTGGCCAAGATTCTGTCGGCCTATTCTTAGTTCACAGGGCATTACACTTACGAAGTATCGATTTCCTTTTCTACAGCTGGCTACATAGTTAATCTAGTACATTAGGTAAAAGCAGCACGGGCTTGGGAGAAAGGCAGGCAGCAAAAAGGTCCCCCTTGGCAATTACTCATTGCCTTCCCCTATACCCAAAGGAAACACTATGTTTAAAAAAAGGAGGGGGGGGAGGGTGGGAGGGAGTCAGGCAGCACGACAGCCTAATGGCTAAATCCTTGCCTTGCATCCACTGGGACCCCACATAGGTGCCAATTCATGTCTCAGCTGCTCCACTTCTGATCCAGCTCCCCGCTAGTGGCCTGGGAAAGCAGGAGACCATGGCCCAAGGCCTTGGGACTCTGCACCTGTGTGGGAGACCCAGAAGTTTCTGGCTCCTGGCTTAGGATCAGCTCAGCTCTCTGGCCATTGTGGCCAGTTGGGGAGTGAACCAGTGGACAGATCTTTCTCTCTGTATCTCCTTCTCTTTGTATATCTGTCTTTCCAATAAAAAAAAATAATAAAAATAAATCCTTTTTTTTAAGAAAATTGAAATTTGGAGTTCAACAGTGATACTGCTTTCTTGGCACATGTCAAAATGAATTAATCATTAAACTTAGCTAGGTCTCTTGTCTCTTGAGTGGCTTTTCTAACCAAGCTAGCTATACAAACAAAATAACCTACAAAAAGTGTTAGTATTGTGAGCTGTTCCAATTAGTAATTAAACTCAAAATCCAATACTGAGTAACAGTAATACAAGCACTTATAACAGTTTTCACAGATTTTGCAAAATTAACCTCCTCTATCACAAGCTTACTAACAACTAAACATGTTTCAGTTCAAGAACTTAACTCTTTTCAAAATAAATTAAAGAGCTGCAATGGTGGGGGAATGAGAGTAAGGTGAAGGGGGAGATTCTCCCATTTGTTGATACCCACTCCCCACCAAGTGGCCACAATGGCCAGAGCTAAACTAGAACAGAGCCAGGAGCTTCCTCTGGGTCTCCTATGTGGATGGCAGGGGCCCAGCCAGCTGGGCCATCCTTGTTGCCTTTCTCAGGCCACAAGCAGGGAGCTGGGTCAGATAGGCCCAGCTGGGACACAAATGGCGCCAATATGAGATGCCAGCATCATTGGTAGCAGTTTTCCCCATTATGCCACAATAATCATCCCAAGAATGATTAAGATCGTAACATGTGCTTGTTAAGAACAACAAAATCCATGGGCAGGTGTTTAGTACTGTAGTCGACACTGGTTAGAACACTACAATTCCACACCGAAACACTGTGTTCTGTCAAATGAATTGTCCTAGGCACAAACCCTTATCCAAATATTCCACAATAGCCCATGTGGCATTTTCCAATTCTGAGAATTTGGCCCTCCAACCAAAAGCAACACAACTCCCTTGCTAAGGCTACCTAGGACACAATTACAATGGCAAAATTTCACTCATTATCCTAAAAGTTAACTTACATAAAAAGAAAAAGTCCAGCTACCTCACTACCTATTCCATATTTATTAAAGAGCAAAGCATATTACTGACATGCAAGTTTTAAAATGTTATATTTATCTTGTACTATAAAAACCAGTGGAAATGAGTTACTGAAGCAATCCAGTTCCCATGGTTCCATGCAAGGAAGAAGCAGACATCACCACTTTCTCCAGAAAAGTTAAAGCAACTATGGTTGCTTGTATACCCTAAAGTAAGTGCTTGCCAATGTCAGTCGCTCATACCGCTATCAAAGATGAAAACAGAAAAATACAAATCACGTGGGTTACATAGTCAGTAAAACTAGTGATTTACCTATGCATCCTAAAATGCGGAGAGCATGATGACGTTTCAGTGGCTAATTTAACACCATCTTACTATCAAAGCTGCCATTTTCAAGATGTATGTCAAAGTGTTTCAAATGTAGTATACTTGTTAAAATTATTCATCCACAGAGTACTCAATAAAGAGCATGCTGCCTTACAGACACTTCATGGAATAAAGAAAAGTCTGGTCTGACTTCACAATCTTCACTAGAGAGCTTAATCAAGCCCAGAATTAAGGTCAAGATAAGGCCACTCCAAACAAAGGCAGCAATACAACCAAAGATTTCTGTATCAGCTTTTGGCTTGTTGCAAATCTCCAGCCCTCATGTTTACCCTGTTTCCTCTGGCACGTTCCTAGTCCTTGACTAGTCCTGAGATCCAAGGTGACCAGCAAGTGTTGGACAAGCAAGAACAAGAATTAACAAAGCAGGGCTCATGTGGGCTGTCTGTGCCCCACGCCCTGGCTAGCTAAGAGCAAGAATGACAAACAGGCTTCTAGCTCAAATACAAAAAAGAAAAGTAGATGATATATTGTTTTGGATTATTTGTTATCCACAGATCACAGAATCAAAGACTGCCCAGGGATACAAGGTACATTCCAAATGCTTTTTGAGTGAGAATAAAATGCTTTTTGAGTGGGAATGAAAACTGAACACTTAGAGCAGGCTCAGTAGCCTAGCAGCTAAAGTCCTCACCTTGAAAGCACCAGGATCCCAAATGGGCACTGGTTCTAGTCCCAGCAGCCCCACTTCCCATCCAGCTCCCTGCTTGTGGCCTGGGAAAGCAGTTGAGGATAGCCCAAAGCCTGGGGACCCTGCACCTATATGGGAGACCCAGAAGAGGCTCTGGGCTCCTGGCTTTGGATCGGCTCAGCTCCAGCCGTTGTAGCCACTTAGGGAGTGAATCAAGGGATGGAACATCTTCCTCTCTGTCTCTCCTCCTCCCTGTATATGACTTTTCAACAAAAATAAAATAAATCTTAAAAAAAAAAAGGAACACTTAGAAAACTTTCGAATCGACAGGGCATGACTAAGGTGGTCTCTTCTTCCTTGGAAGTGAACACTATACCCACTTCTTCCTCTCTTTATCCCACCAGTGCCCAGGATCTGGTCACAATCAGCACTTCCGGTATGTCCTCAGAATGTGGGTAGCTCTAGACATATACTGCTCTCCTCTGTTCCTCTTACTAAAATGCATGACACACAAGTATTAATCATAGGCCACAGCCAATGACTGACCATTTTAAAACTAGAATTAAAAGTATCTTAATTGATCCCAGTGCAGTAGTCTAGTGGCTAAAGTCTTCGCCTTGCATGTGCCAGGATCCCATACGAGTGCTGGTTCTTGTCTCAGCTGTTCCACTTACCAACTGGCTCCCTGCTTCTGGCCTGGAAATGCAGTTGAGGATAAGCCAAAGCCTTGGGACCCTACATCCATGTGGGAGACCCAGAAGAATCTCCTGGTTCTTGGCTTCAGAGCGTCTTAACTCTGGCTGTTGCGGTCATTTGGGGAATGAACCAGCAGAGAGGAGATCTTCCTCTCTCTCCTTCTCTCTGTAAAATAAAACTTTCCAATAAAATAAATACATCTTTTAAAAGTATCTTAATTGTACTGAAATGGAAAAATATATATTTTTAAATTTGGGTGTTAGTAACTCTATTACACTTGAGATTAAAACCCATAAGCTTTACTACCTATTTATGGAAAAAGAACATTTGAAATTGCACTAAGCTTATGAATATGATTAAAGGGTTACAAAAGACAGCCTTAGCATACTCTATCCAAGTGTTGTTTTTCCATGCCAAACTCTCTAGCCCCTCAAATACAAGGGAATTAATTCTGACAAGCCTAAAAGGATGTTTTTCACACCCAAACTTGAACTGTCTTACTGATTCATGTAGTCATGGTCAGCAGCAGCACAAAGCAAACCTATGGCCTGGCTAAGGCACTCTATTTTGAAAGTACAGAGAAATATGTGTGTGTGTCCCTCACCACCAGAAGAAAGTTCAGTGCATGCGGGGAGTAGAGGGGCCAGGCTGTGAACCTGCCCAGGAAAGTGCACCTAAGCCTTGAGTTACCTTTCATGCTTTGGAACAGTACATTGGCAGGACAGAACTGCACAGAGCGACTGATCACAAACCCCCAGGTTAGCTGCAGTATGACTACATCAAGGGCTTCCAGATGCACTTTCCAGACAGAGCAAAACAAGAGGCTTGAGAGTACACCGCAGACCCACCTGCTCAGCCTCACGTCCCCCTGTCCACACCGTTCCACCAAGAACATCAATGAACTGACCATGGCATCATCCTTTACTGCCATCGGGAAATATCACAAAATACAGGCACAAAGCAATTTTCAGAAACAGGTAAATACAACAAAAAGGACATAAATACAGTTGAAACAGAAGATACCCAAAATTACAGGACCCTAATGCCAGAAGCAAAGGGTATTTTTTTCACTACACTACAAAGTGGAGAAGGCCCTGTAGTCCAAGTATGTCATCTTACAAACATTTTTCAATTCTCTTTTTATCTCTGTACTCAGGGTCAACAAAACAATAAAGGGTTATAGTTTGGAGATCTTATTTATCTCACCAAAACTTAATACATTATCCAGATCAATTTTATAGATGACACAGATGAGGTATTATAAAAAATAGCAGTTCCCTTCCTCTACATGTAGCAATTTATTAAAAAAAGAAAAAAACATGAAATCACTATCCACATTTTCTCCATTGATTTCTCATCTATTTCAGTGTTCATTATCATCTCAAAGAAGATCAACAAATATAGCTCAGCCTTTACAATTTTTTTTAAATGAGTATGGAACTATGAACTAGCTCCCTGGCTCATTTTTAATAACCTGGATAACAATGATTAGACATTTAAAAATTTTTAAATGAAATATCAGTTAATTTTTTTTTTACAAAGCAGCAGACTAGAATCACAAATATGCTATAATTAAATTTTCAAATGATGACATCCATAGATAAATAATGGTTATAAATCTAATTACATATCAACACAGTGGTGCCTATTTTATCCAAGTGCAACCTGTCCACAAAAACAAATGGGTTTAAGATACACTTTTCATTCAAGCACAAACTTGATTCAATAGAAAATAAAAGAACAGCAAGTAAATTTCACCACCACCAAACTAAAAGACATTGTCAAAAGGCAATTGAAGAAATAGAAAAAGAGAAGTGAGTTATAAAACCACATGTAAGTTAAAGGGATGTTAACGTTGTCAGTAGACCTCAAGCACCGCTGGCGAGTCCCGGGAAGGGAGAGGCACTCAATAAGGCATTTAACATCACAGGCCTTCTGCAAATGGCCAAGTGGGAAAGTTGTGGAAAATAAACTGTTTTATCTTCTAAGAAACAAAAACAGAACAACATCAACAAAACAAACAAACACACACAAAAGAACACCACAGTGCCCTGTCTGCAAAACAGAGAGAGAAGGAAAGAGGAAGCAAGGACAGAGAATCAACTGAATTGAAAATTTCATTTTGGTCCTAGTGAGGTTCACGAGACTCCCATCTCCAACTGAAGTTGCTCTTACAGTGTACTTTATTTGCATGCCTCACAGGTAATACTCCTCAGACCTGGACGGCCACGTGCTTTTTTACAGTTCTAGCTCACAGGCACCAAATCTCATCAGTCTACAGCTGAGGGGGATAAAAATGTCACGTGTAAACAATGATTTATGCCCAAGATGAGCTATTACTATAATTCATTCTCCATCAAGTCCCCCCCCAAAAATGAAACCATTCATCAAGATTTATTCCATAAACAAAGAAAGCAAGAATACTTGATAATCTCCTTAGCAAGTGAGGAAAAAAAAATGCATTTCCATGGGAAAGAGAAACCAGCATTTGGCAACTGTGCGCTGCTCCGTACTCATTGGCATCTCTTGCTGACAGTAATTCCTTTCATTTCTGTGCCCTGCAGTAGCAGACTTGGGCTATTAATCAAAGGCCTGTTACCAAGTACTAAATCTGAAAACTCATCATAGTTTCCTCAACGTTACTAGTGTTCATAAACCAAGCTGGGGCTTTTACAAACTAAAACCAAGCATCTTTAACTTTCTAGGAACCAAAACATTATGGACTCATGACGCTAAAATCAGTAGGAACATTCTGCTGGCCTAACATTCATTACATTTAACCAAAATAGCACAAGGTTTTATAAAATAAAATAAAATAAAATAAGCTGGTCGTCAGTCCACAATTCTACAAGTTCAGATCATGTTTCATTCCTGCGGTCCAGATACCAAACACACTGAGATCCCCCGCCTATCAAGCACGTCGGTTTAGTTCAATGGTGATGGATGAAATATTTACAAGCATCTATTTACAGTACTTCCTCCTGTAGGTTACACAACAATGTTCTTTGCTTCCATTCCTAGTCAATCTGAGTTTGGTTTCCTCAAGGAGAAAGGGTAAATCTGAAAATGACTGCTCAGCTGCTTCACCTGTGGAAAAGCAGAACAGGAGACAGTGACAATATATTCCTTTTAAAAATGCTTGCATTTATTTATTTGTTATTTAAGAGGTAGAGAGAGAGAACAAAGATGCCCTTACCAGCCAGGATTGAGCCAGGTCTTTCACAGGGGTACTAGCAACCCAATTACTTGAGCCATGCCAGCTGCCTCGCAGGGTCTGCATTAACAGGAAGGTGGAATTGGCAGGGGAGCCAGAGCTCAAACAGAGGCACCCCGACAGACGGTTGATCTACTAAGCCAAACACCGCTATTATTCATTTCAAAGTGCACAGAGCAGGTGGACATCATAATAAGGCATGTTCAGCTGCCACTTGGGATGCCTACATCCCATATTAACCTGCCAGTTCAAGTCTCAGCAACTGAGCTGCCAATTCAGCTTTCTCCTAATGCATCCTGGGAAGCAGCAGAGGATGGCTCAAGTGCTGGGGCTCCTGCCACTCAGGTGGTCAGTCTAGATGGATACTGAGTGCCTCGCTTCAGCCTGGCCTAGCTTCAGTTGTAGCCATTTGGGGAGTGAACCAGCAGACTGATGATCTCTCTTTCACCCATCAAACTCTGTCACTCTGCCTTTCAAGTAAGCGAATAATTAAAAAAAAAAAAAGGAAACATACAGAGGGCCCAGTGTGGTAGCCTAGTAGCTAAATCATTGCCTTGTGTGTGCTGGGATCCCATACGGGCACCAGTTTGTGACCCTACTGTTCCACTTCCCTTCCATTCCCTGCTTGTGGCCTAGGAAAGCAGTAACGGATGGCTCAAGGCCTTGGGACCCTGCATCCATGTGGGAGACCCAGGCTCCTAGCTTCAGATCGGCTTAAGTGCCTGCCATCGCAGCCACATAGGAGTGAACCAGTGGAAGAAACATCTTTCTCTCTGTATCTCCTTCACTCTGTATATCTGATTTCTCAATAAAAATAAATCTTTAAAGCACACAGAATTCCTTGCAAGATAATGATTTGCTGACAAGGCCTGCCTGTCTTGCACCCCAACAAAGTTTTTTTCTAAATTAAGATTTCTAAAGAGAGTTAAATAGCTGAACAGGAGAACTGGAACCATACTAGGAATTAGGACTTGAACCTGGACCTGTCCAATTCCAAAATCTAGTCATTCCAGGTCCATCTAGATGAAACAAATGACTTAAGATATCTAACAGAGTAAATGATTTCAACTACACTTAGATTCAATCTGATCTTATCAAAACATTTCCTGGTAATCATTTCTAATCCTGATGAAACAGTAGATTTACAAGGATTCACCAGAATATTGAGGGCTGCAAAATACTTCCCAAATCCATATTCTATATTTCCCTTTACTTGTGATGTTTGCTGATGAGGTGTGGTGGGCTCAAGAATAATACAGATGTTATAAAACCTCAGTGAAAGTGACGGCCTTCCTATAGTCTGAAATCCGTTTCCCATATTACACTGCTCATGGAATTAACAAGGAATGCAAAGGATACAAAACATCTTTTGTTTCTTTCCAAACTATGTTAATGAACAACAACAACAAAAAAAAAGATTCAAAGCTTCAGCAACTGAAGCAAAGAGATAACCACAAATGAGATTAACTGCTTCCCACACTCATGCAACTTTAGCATAACAGTGTCTAATGTTTTTCACCAAAAGAGCTTACAAATAAATTCACTTAAAACAAGAATTTCTCATACTAAGCATCATGATTCAAAATAATTTTTAGCTATTACACTATCCAATTACAGAAATTACCTCCTGGACAGTATCCAACCCCTTCCAGGAACCACAGTGGACAGCTCTTTTGAAATTTTCTAATGTCTCCCTTCCACTTTTTTTAAGAACCAAATGGCACCAATTTCCCCCAAAGTACTCACCACTCGTACTCCATAATGGATGTGGGCCAGAGTGAAGGCAGTCGTTAATGTATACAGGAGAATGCTCTCGATGTGAGAGGCTACTCCTAAGTTTACTGCCATGACCACCAAGAAGAGCGGCATCAGCAACCAGTTCAAAGTTGGGCAACGGGTACTGCTCATTTGACAAACAATCAGCTGACACTTGAAGTTAGTTAAAAGAAGGAAAGAAATGCTTAATTAGCAGTGCACTTCCAAAATTAATTACTCCAACATTTGAAAGGCAGTCAAGCACTTGAGCCAACACTTTCATATCATCGAAGTTTAGAAGCTCTCAAGTGCAACCGTGGGGGTGACTGCGCCTCCACCCCACACCCAAACTCATGAACCCTGAGTGTATCTCAGAAGAGGCCGGAAGACAATCCACTGAAGCTGTTAAATAAGGCATTCTTAATGATAAACAGGAATAACATTTTCCAAAACGGCTTCCCGCAGCTACACACAAGTAAATTTCTCTGCAGGAATGATGAGGAAGTTCCATCTGAAATTTAGTCATGTTGGTGCAGGCAGCAAGGCCGCCAGCAGGGACGGACTGAGGACTTCCACACCACCCACATCTCACCCCACCCTGTGCATGCAGCTACCAGGGAGGTACCAGCTAGAAATATCCAACATGGATGCAGGCTGGGTGCCTATACTAATGAAATCATGAGTGACACTCCCCTTTCCATCATGTATCTGACACCATTACCCTTATAAGAGTCATAAAAAGGGGGCAGGGAAATGGACAATACTCAAGTCCCACCCAACTCTGCCTTCTTTGAACGTACCATCAGGCCCTCCCTCAGATACCAGTCTCACAAGGACAACCCCAAACTTTGTTGCATCATTCTCCTTGGAAGTTGCCCACACTCCCTTCTAGGTGTGTACTTTCCCTTAAATAAATCTTGCTTTCCTGCTATCCTTTTATCCTTGTCTCCTCTTTGAAGACTTCCTCCTGGAGACAGGAACCAGGATCTAGCCCAGCCAGAGACCTCCCCAACAACTCAAATAAATAACACCTCAAAATCTATTTCCAGTATCTTCCTCCAACTGCTTGATTCTTTCAGTAATACCCTTTATATAGTTTTTTTTTTTTTTTTACCCAATGTTCTCAATTTTAAAAGTAGCTGAGTTTTAAAAGCTGAGTTTGTTGGGCCCAGCGCAATGGCTTAGCAGCTGAAGTCCTCACCTTGAACACACCGGAACCCCGTATGAATTGCTTGTTCTAATCCCAGTAGCCCCGCTTCTCATCCAGCTCCCTTCTTGTGGCCTGAGAAAGCAGTTAAGGGCAGACCAGGCCTTGGGACCCTGCACCTACATGGGAGACCTGAAAGAAGATCCTGACTTCTGGCTTCAGAGCAGCTCAGCTCCAGCCACTGTGGGCACTTAGGCAGTAAAGCAGCAGATAGAAAATGCCTGTCCTTCTCTCAAAAATAAATCTTTTTTAAAAATCTCTTAAATTATCAAATCCCATCATATACTACATATTTTATGATTTTAAAAAAATGTGGCAGACACTGAGCGGCTGGTTATGTCTCCACTTGGGACCTCTATCACAGTGCCTGAGCCCAAGCCCCGCATCTGCTGCCAACCCAGCTCCTGCTAATATGCACCCTGGGAGGCAGCAGGTGATGCCAGCACTGCTAGGGTCCCTGCCACCCATGCTGGAGAAACACTGCCTGGTTCCCACCCTCATTGTGGCCCACCTTCGGCTGTTGTGGGAATTTGGAGAGTGAACCAGCATATGAAGGTCTCTTAATACATCTGTCCCCACTACCACCTTCCAACTAAATATACATAAAGGTTTTTTTTTAAAAAAAAATCTTACTGTGATATTAGCAAAGGCTGTTCCAACCATAAAGTAGAAAATTCTAGGATGCAGCTCTAAAATGTCCGAAGGTGACCAGAGGATCCATACTGTAGACAAAATGAACAGCAAACATGGAGAAAAGAAGGGAATCATAGCTTCATAGACGGAATTGTGTTTCAAGGTGTTATTTTTATAGCTTCTGCAAAAACAAATCAAGTAGCATAGAGGTCATTACATAAAAACATATTTCACAGTACTTCATAGATTTCCAAAGTGTTGTCCTATGTGTCCCCACTTTATATTTACAACATGGCACAGACAGAACCAACATCATTAGCCTCGCTTTACAGAAAGAATAAATGACCATAAGAAAATTTAAATTTCTGTAACTTGGGGTAGGCATGTAACCTAAGGGTTAAGACACTCACATCCCATATCGGAGTACTTGGGTTTGGTATCCAGCTCTGGCTCCCTAATCCAGCTTCCTGCTAATGCCTGCAATGATGGTTCGAGTAATTGAGTTCTTAACACCCACACGGCAGAGCTGTGCTCAATTCCAGTTTCTGGCTAGGCTTAGAGTAAACAAATGAATGGAAGGGCTCTCCTCTCTACTGACCAGCAAATGAGAGTGTGTTTTAAATTTAAAAAAAAGAAATTAAATAATTACATTTACACACATCTTGCTAATCAGAGGCAGGACCAGAAATAAAAACAAAGAGTTAGGGCCTGGCACAGTAGCCTAGTGGCTAAGGTTCTCACCTTGCACGCACTGGCATCCCATGTGAGTGCTGGTTCCTGTTCTAGTGGCCCAGCTTCCCATTCAGCTCCCTGTTTGTAGCCTGGGAAAGCAGCTGAGGACAGTCCAAAGCCTTGGGAACCTGCACTAACGTGGGAGACCCAGAAGAAGCTCCTGGCTCCTAGCTTTGGATAGGCTCAGCCCTGGCCATTGTGGCCACTTGGGGAGTGAATCAGCAGATAGAAGTTCTTCTCTCTGTCTTTCCTCCTCTCAGTATAGCTGACTTTCCAATAAATAAAACAAAATAAATCTTTTAAAACAAAAAGTTTTGGAACCAATATTGGGAAGTGGATTAAGCCATCACCTGTATTGCCATCACCCCCTGGGCACCAGCCACAGTTCCAGCTGCTCTACTTCAGATCCAGCTCCTTGCTAATGCTGCTAATGGTTTGGGAAAAGAGATAGAGGCCGGCCCAAGTGTATGAGCTGCTGTTTCACACGTGGGACACTCAGAGGAAACTCCTGGTTCCTAGCTTCAAGCTGGCCTAGTCCTAGCCATTGTGGTCATCTGAAAAGTGAACCACTGGATGGAAGATCTCTCTATATAACTCTGACTTTTCAATAAATAAATCTGTCATTTTTTTAAAAAAAATCAAAGTCTTTTCACTCCTGGCCCCATTTGCCTTGTTGTTCGTGAGAAGACTGTAAAGCTAGGGGGTCAATGTCTGGCTTAGCAGTGAAGATGGCCATGTCCCATTTTGGAATACCAGTGGGTGAAGTCTTGGCTTCACTTCTGATTTCAGCTTCCCACTAATGCAGATCCTTGAAAGCTGTAAACAACAACCCAAGTAGTTGGGTCCCTGCCAGCCATACAGGAGACCTGGATTGAGTTCCCATCTCTCAGCAGGTCCCAGCCATGTGTAATCATTAAGGAAAAGAGTCAGCAGAAAGGAGCCATCCTCTCTGTTTGTATTCTAACAATTAAAAAGTAAGCACATAAAAATTAATTTTTTAGAATGTAAAAATAAATAAAACTTGGTTTTTGTTTTATCAGAGGGTGAACAAAACAAACAGAAAAGACTAGAAGAGGATGTCCTTGTGAGACTTGAACAAATACAGAACCTAAAAAGAGAACAGCTCCCCAGGCTCATGAGAGGTAACCCAATATATTCCCTTTATCAATTCTAGTCTTGGTTCTGCCAGTGTTTACATGACCTCGGGCAATATGTTACCCAATCAAAACCCATTATTATGAGGAGGAAATGACTCAAGGAATCACTATCACTTTCAGTTTCTGTGAATCCATAAAACCTTTTATGGCTTCAATAAATGACTGCCACCTGCAAATAGGGAAATTTCACAGAGCGTGGCTTAATATGAATATTTCACAACTGAAGGATGAAGTGGCAGGTACAAGAGTGCTCTGACCAGAGAACACAGTGGGAGCAAAATTGCTGATGAGAGGAGAAAATGGAGTCAAGACACGGTGAGTAAACTGTGCTGAGCCACGGTGCAGACACACAAATTCCACCTGGGCAGCTCCTCCCACCACACAGGCAGGAATTTTTAAAGAAGCAAGTGCTACAGCAAAAGAATTCTTCTATGCCCTAACCCACAGACATTTAGAAATAATATATTGCCAAACAAACTGACGTATAATACATTTATAAAACAAAACAAAGATTATCAACAGGCATATACTCTCCTGATAAATTTACTCACAAAAACTGACAGATTAGGAGACTGGTGAACCCAAAACCATAACAAAATGACTAGCAGCTCTGTTTGATTAGTAGCTTTGGTTGACTTGACCACATTAGTCACCACAGTTACCACAGGTTATCCACACCTTACCCAAGAATCAACATACAGAATTTATGACCTTTCCAAAACATTCAGACTCCAAAAGAAAAACCCTTAAATCTACCTAAGCAACAATTGTGAATGATTTTCAAAGTCCTTGCTTAATTAAAAAAAAAAAAAAACCGCACACTTACCTGAAAAAGTTTAACAAACTCATTGGAAGAGTCACACACAATGCACAACCTAAAGGGAAGAATATTTAAGTCACTATGAGTTATCATTCAAGAGTGACTAAGTTACAAATGATCCATGAAAGGAAGACGGGATACTGTCAGTGCCAGCCATCTCCCATGTCGTACCTTCTATGGGCAGCTCTGCCTCCTACATATTCTTAACTGGACACTGCACCATACTCACTCGCCCTCCTTAGAGAATCTCTTACAGCTCAGGCTTAAGCTCCCTGCAGACGACTCTGCTATTTTCACTTATGTACTCTTTGGCAAGTCAAAGAGTACATAAGTGCTGTGCTGCTAACTGCAGCTCTACAATGAGGGGTTATTTCTAATGTCCCTGACATCTTTAAAACTCTGATTTGTAACCTATAGAGCTCTAAATTCCTGATCTTCACTCTTGTAAACTCCAAACCAATGCTTTCAGCGACATTCTGGACACCATGCTGTTATGCAACATGTTAACCCTAGCATGTCTGCTCTGGGCTGATGGTGACTGCACTTGACTTGAGAATCAATGTACTCTGGTAACTTTAAAGAACAACCATACTTAGCATTTCTACGAACAGCTCCTAAGACATTTGACTAAAAACATACAAACAGGAACCCCCCAAAATTTCTTTTTCTAAAGACGAATTATTCTACCACTTCTGGGTCCTACCAAACAACGTTCCCAAAATTAGGTGAAGGGAAAACAAGCTGAGTCTTGAGTGTCCTTGGGAATTTTTAGCAGTTTAATTCACACAGGCTGAAGAGCACAAGAGTGGAGCCAAAACTAAATGAATTCACCCAGAATTACCTGTAGCCCTGAAGTGTCCAAAATAGGCTAAGAAAAAGTAGCAAAAGATTTTCCAGCTAGAACAATTTTATTTTTAAAAGTCTTGAAACAATTATAGCAGATGTCACAGCACAGCACCTAAAGCCACTGCCTGAAACACTGACATCCCACACAAGCACCAGTCAGAGACTAGCTCCCCAATTTCAGATCCACTCCTGGCTACAAGCATAAGAAAACAGCAGAAGAGGGTTCAAGTACTTGGACCCTGCACCCACATGGCTCCTGGCTTCAGACTGGCCCAGCTTCAGTCATTGCAGCCATTTGGAGAGTGAACCAGGGGAAGGATGGAAGAGCTCCCTGTTTCTTTGTCTCTTTCTATAACCCTGTATTTCAAATAAGAATAAAGACAGAAAGAGAAAGAGAGAGAGAGAGAGAATTAAGGAAGGGAGGGAGGGAAAAGGAAAGAGTGCATCATCTTCTATCTATCATGCTGACAAAAATCCAAAAAATCTGACAATATACTATGCTGGCAGAACTGCGAGCAAATAAGCACTTGTTCATTCATGGCTGGTGAAAATGCAAAATCATTCAATCTACATGGAGGGGAGTACAGGAATGTTTAACAAAACTGCATTGTGTTGTCCTCTACTAGCAATTCTATTTCTAGTGACATCTTCTACAACATCCTAGCAAAAACATGAAAAGACGTAAGACCATTCACTGTAGCAATCTGTGTAACAGCAGAAGTCTGTAAATGATCCATATGTCTGCCAAAGTTGGTAAAAGAAAACTAAGCTGAATCCACACAATGAAAGAACAGGCAGCTTATAAAAGGAATGAAAGGTAGGCCATCAGCCTAGCAGTCAACACACCAGTTAAGAAACCCACATCCCTTAGGGCTGGTGCCATGGTGTTGCTGTTGCAAGTTAAGCCTCTGCCTGTGGTGCCAGCATCTCACGAGCACAGGTCCCAGCTGTCCCACTTCCTACCGAGCTCCCAGCTTGTGGCCTGGGAAAGCAACAGAGGATGGCTCAAAGCCTTAGGATCCTGTACCCATGTGGGAGACCTAGCAGAAGCTCCTGGCTCTTGGTTTCAGATCAGCTCAGCTCTGCCTGTTGCATTCATTTGGGAAGTGAACCCTTCTCTCTGTAAATCTCTCTGTGAAAAAGCTTCTCTCTGTAAATCTGCCTTCCAAATCTTTTAGAATTTTTTTAAAATATAGGAGTATATTCCAAAATATGTACAACCCAGAGCCATAGAAAGAGGCCCAAATCACTCTTGTCTAAGCACCAATGCCTGAACACATCACCTTCTCAACAGTTGCTAAACTCAATCTTAGTCCCAATCCACAACCAAGGCTCACCAAAAGAAAGATAAAGTTATTTTCCAGATAAGGAAACAGAAAAATAACCTATACTTAATGCTCTTTTTACTTCTAAAAATGTCCTCAGTCTAACTTTTGGTGTTTGCTCCCACTGCCCCAAACCTCCAAAAGAGTCCTCTTCCTCTTCACCTCTTTCCTTACCACTACCACTCACCTCCAGTCAGTCAGTTGTCCTACATATCACCTAATTTAGGCTTAAATCAAACAGGGAAAAATATCACTAACAGATCCTTTAACTTGACTCATTTGGATAAAAAGCGGGTTACCTAAGTGGTACAGCTTAATTTTTAGAGTGGTTATAAATAATTTCTCCATTTCAGTTATTCTATTTCACATAGACTAATAATTCCCAAGCCCGAGGTAAGTATGAAACCCAACTGTCCACCTAAACACAAATCCCGCAAGACAGTCCAGACTAATTGGAATAGTTTACAGACCTTAGGTGACCTATTCTGGTATTTCCCATTGATGAAAACTAGCTTTGTTCAGATAAAAACACCAAAACAAAGAAACCTCATTACTAATAGTTAGGCTGAAATCCTATAGGGTGATAGGGTTGTTTGGCTTGCTGGGAAGGAGAAGATTTTGTTGCTTGTTATAGTTAAAAACTGGCTTTTAAAAACAAAGTGATGGTTAAAACAGGCTTCAACATGGAGCTTCTTACCAATAATCATTGCAGTGAATAGGTCTCTATATAAGAAATTAAACAGGAAAGGTTCATACCAGGCCTCAACTCCCACAACCGCAGTCACTATGTAGACAAAAGAAATTGTCTGGAAGGAAAACATAGACAGAAGCATACAGAGGCATTAACAGCTACAAAGATCAAGGAGTCAGCGACACTTAAGGCAGCATTCTGTCTAGTCAGTTTTAGCAAAAGCAAGAAGTACACTTAAATTTGGTATGTGATAAGTACACATAAATTTGGTATGTGACAATTCCTACCTTTAGAAATATTTTTTTTCAACCTACAATGCCATAAAATAACTAAGCTTTAGATAACATGAGCAACTGGCTATTACGTAGATTTGGTGAAAGGCACCTCCTAAGTTAGCTGGGTCATCCGATGATCCAGCTGGTCCAACCCACCACCCCTTCCAACAAATACATTCCAGCTTCTGAGTTCTTCACTGGAGGCTTGAGTGCCAAAGGGCAAATCAGTGGCACAAAAAGCTGGGAGTCAAAGGCAGAGAGCTATTAGCAAGCCTGTTAAGGTCAGAGAAAGAAATTTTCTCCATTCACTGAAAAGCTGGCAACAAAGACAAAAAGCCAACAATTTAATTATTGTGCATAGCTTTCATTTGAAAATCAACAGTTCAAATGAAAACTTAACAATATGAAGCTGTCTAATTTGGGGCATAATAATGGCACTGTAATTATAAGATGCCCTTATCATTTAGAGACATATAACAAATATTTATTCACATAATGCCAGGGAAGGTACAAATGAAACTAAACTGGCTACATGCTGCTAACTGCTGAAGCTAAAATGGGTACATGAGGGTTTAAATTATCACACTCTATTTTTGTATGTATATATTTTCCATTGGTAAGTAACAATAAAAGAAGATAACTTTTATTTAAATGTTGACAAGCACACATCAGTTCTAACCAAAAAAGTACAAGGGTAATAAAGGAGGAATACTCACCACCTGGCTAATGTCATATCCCCATGGCAGGAAAAGAATTCCTGTGTTGTATTTTTCCCAGTGGGACAGGATGAAAGAAAATAAAACCACCCATAGAAGTAGATAAAGAACAAAAACACTGACTCCAGTTGACCCTCGTCCAAAGATGGAATACACAGTTACAACAAAGTAAACACATGACCAACTATCCAGGCCATGGTCAAAAAGCTCCCCTAGGGGTGTGCTGGAGTTGGTTCTTCGGGCTTGCTTTCCATCCACACCATCTGCAACAAAAACACAGGAAAAGGTCAGCATCAGTACCAATGCGAACAAAAGCTGCTTAATCAGCTGGGTGAGGGGAGGGGAAGCCACAGTGTCACAGGAATGTTAAATATAGATTGCCAGCCAGTGCCATCAAAACCCAACTTAATTTCTACAATCTGAACATTTCCATATTTATTTGTCAAAGGTTAATGTAAAAAAAAATCAAAATGTGTTTTATCAGGTCTTGTCTTGTGTTTTGCCAAATTTAGAGTTGGGAAAGAAGTATTCCATATTCCAGTTGGACTCTGAATCCTCTCAAAGCTAACAAGTGGGATATTCTACAAGTCATGCTTTTCTCAAGCTTCCAGAGAACAATTAACAGCTTTTCATTATAATTAACCAAGCCCGACTTGTTGCAGGATCCAGAGTACTTGAGTTCTACCACCTATTTCATCCCATCTGATGTTATAATCATTTAACAGATATACCACTCCAGAAATGCTTTCAGAAAAAGCACATGGCAGGTGCTCATCAAACAGAAGAATCAAATTTGCTGAAAGTGTGCAATGTACAATTCTTGGTGCTGCCAAGATTATGAGAATCTTAGAATAAATCAGGATTTTTCTTCCCCTCTCAATGTTTACAGTTGAGAAAGGGACTAAACACAATAATGAAGAAGTACATTATTTCACAAACCACAAAGAGCACAGGAGAGGGAAGGGCTCTCCTTAGGCTAAGAGAATCCAGCTGAAATCTGAGTGGAGACATAAGGGCCGAGTTGTATTTCAGTAGGTAAGAGATAAAAGAGATAAAGATTTCAGGAAGAGGGGTGTGCTATCACACCAAACAGGAAAGCACAATGTATATTCAGACAATGCTTCATAGTTTGATTAGTAAGTGAGGAGTAATGTAAAAAGGCTGGAAAGGAAATCTGAAGTCAGAACCAAAGCTTTATGGAGCTTTGAGAGTCCCAAATAGAAGATTAACAAGAGTGAGAATTCTTCGGGACAATCTGAAATGACAGGTTGGAGAGGAACACTATTTAGCAGATCTACACTGAAATGAGGTGCAGAGGAAATGAAAAGCTGGAGGTAGAAAAGACTTTTTTTAAGATGTATTTATTTTTATTGGAAAGTCAGATATACAGAGAGGAGGAGAGACAGAAAGGAAGATCTTCTGTCCGATGATTCACTCCCCAAGTGACTGCAACAGCTAGAGCTGAATGAATCTGAAGCCACGAGCCAGGGGCCTATTCTTGGTCTCCCACATGGGTGTAGGGTCCAACCCAGGCCACAAGCAGGGAGCTGAATGGGAAGCTGGGTGGCCGGGATTAGAACCGGCACCCATATGGGATCCTGGCACGTTAAAGGCAAGGACTTTAGCAACTCAGCTACTGTGTCGGATTCAGGAAAGACTTTTAGGGAGTAAAAGTTACAGAATACAGCAGAAGATGAGATGCAGAACTAAGAACAAGAAGACTATCTCCAAAGTTCTTAGTAAGGTAACCAAGAGAGCAGTAGTATTAATAGAAGGAAGGAAGTCAAATAAAGAAGCAAACCACAACAGAAAAGATGTAGAGAGGGTGAGGGAAAGGGAGCTCCCAGCCACTGGTGAGCTCCCTAAATACCCACAACAATGGGGGTTGGGCCAGGCTGCAGCCAGGATCCTGGAACTTGGTCCAGGTCTTCCCCGTGCGTAGCAGGCACCTAAACCCTTGGGCCACTACTTGTAGCCTGCAAGGGCTTGCGTTTGCAGGAAACGGGAAATGGGAGCTCTGATGTGGGATGGGGGCACCCTGCCCAGGCAGAGTACAACCTCAGACACTGAAACTGAAGTGCTGCAGGAGAACCACATGGCAATGCCAAGAAACGCAATTCAATGGTACCTACTGGCAACTGATCACTTCTTAACTGTGCTTCTGTTGTGCTTCCACTCACATTACTGTATCTCTTTCTCTCAAACTTATGGCAAAAATGACAACTGATTCCAGAGGTTGACAAACATTTTTGCTAAAGGCCAGAGACATCTTTTAGGGTGTGTGGGCCACATGGTCTGTGCTATGACTACACAATAATAATGCCCTTATTACAGGGGAACAGCCTCAGAAAATATGGAAAGGAGCAAGCACAGCTGCATCCCAGTAAAACTTTTCCTACAGAAAGAGGCAATAGGCCAGATCCGGCTTCTAAGTAGGAGTGTATCCAACACCTACCTTATTCTGTACATCCCTAACAATGGATGACAATATATTTTACTGAGAAAAACCAAAAACACTTTATCAGTTTGAACACAACAGTCACAAGCCCTAGTTAAGAGCTAACCATAAAAGATGCTACTGCAGCTGGTTACTCTCTTTGTTGAGCCCCCAGATCGAGACCAAGCATTCAGCAATTGCTTACCGAGAGTGTAGGCTACGAAGTTGAGGATGCCCACTACAATCCAGACCCAGTCAGGTACATGTTCGTGACCTGGTGCTGCAAAGCAAACACACCCAGCTCAATACACTCTAAGGACAACACAGCTGACCACAGCACATTCTCAAAGATTTCTACGTCATCACTCTATCCTATAAACATGTACAAATATGTACAAGCACAAACTTTAAAAAAAAAAAAGGTTTCTGTTTGTAAATGAGAGGGTAAAGTACTTAACAGTATATTTTGAATGCAGAACTAGGTAAATACTAAAGTACATCAGTAAACTGACGAAGTCAAAGTAGCTGCCCAGTCCCTCCTAGACAGTAGACATCTATTCTGAGCTTTCAGGATAAAACTAAGTGTTCACCTTCACTTGGAAATTATTCCTATATATAAAATGACTGCATTCAATCTAATTCTTGTTTATGACTATACTACAAACACGCATGGAGCCTCTATCCTATATTTTTTCACTATACTCATAATTAGCTAAACAAAAGTTCTTTCAATTTGGATGTAGATTCAGTATCTCAATTGGACACTTTAGGTATCACAATCACTCTGAAATATCTGTACTCCAAGTTGTCCTGTTTCGATAAAAGAACTGAGAATTAAGGAGTAGGGGTTCTAAACAACCAGCACTGTGACCATGAATGCCTTATTTAACCACTCCTGACTTGTGTTTCCCAAGACTAGACAATTTAGTCCTTCACATTCTATCATTTGGAGAAACACACTTCTCAACATGTACATGTATTTAGTACTTAGTTTATTAGATAAATAGTCTTACTTGAGGAAAACATACTTCCAGTTACAAACATAATTCTTGGGATGTACTAGGATTAAAAAACAACAAAAACATAATACTCAAACCATGCTTCATGAAATTCAATCTCATTTATTATTTATGTAGTATTTTATGATTTTCTTTTCCTGTAACATTGACATTTAGGATTTGAATTACCATTTTAATACATGTACAGAAGTTAAAGCTAAAAACTTCAGCTGTCAACGTTCAGTATATATATGTATATATATATAATCTCAATATCTATACTATCCAAGTTCTAAGTGTCTAAAACCCCAGATTTTCCATGAAAACAATGTTGTCAATGATGTTAATGTCTCCAAGTCAGAGCACAAGTCTATTGAACTCACTTCACAGATAAACTGACTCCATTATTTATAAGCTTTCCTCTTGGAAAAGGAATTTGTATCTTAGAAGGTAAAAAAAAAAAAAAACCTCATCTCCCTGTTATTTTTAATCAACTGACTGAGCAATAAAAATAAACGGTCTTCCATTATCGTCCCCAGCAGAAATACGCTCCAGACTGTCTCTTAGGACCTGCAGCAGAAGCTGGGTATCAGACGGTGTTAAATGGGAATAGATGTCAAAGATACTCAAGCAGAGAGTGGGAACAGGCTGACACGTGTTCAAAAAGCACATCCTTCCTTCCTTTCCCAGAAAAGATCCACGCTTCTGTCAATAACTATTTACAATCTAAGAACATCAAAGACAAGTAGAAGGGCTGAGCAGAGGGAATGAATGCTATTCAGAAAAAAAAGAATTTTTTTCTTCCAAGGCTACAAGAGGAAAACATATTCCTATAACTGACAGGACTTAAAAGAAATACACACAGCCTCATGCAAATACAACTTCCCATGTACAGAACTCAGTGCGATGGCTCAGTGGCTAAAGTCCTCGCCTTACATGTACCAGGATCCCATATGGGTGCCAGCTTATGTCCCAGCTGCTCCACTTCCCATCTAGTTCCCTGCTTGTGTCTTGGGAAAGTATTAGAGGATTGCCAAAGTCATGCGACCCTGCACTTGCATGGGAGACCTGGAGGAAGCTCCTGGCTTCAAGCCGGCCCAGCTCCAGCCTTTGTGGTTATCTTAGGAGAAAACTAGCACATGAAAGATCTTTCTCTGTTTCCTTCTCTCTCAAAATCTGCCTTTCCAAAGACAAATAAACTTAAAAAAAAAAAAAAAAAAAAAAAAACAACACCTTCCACATACAGTCTGATACCTTACCTACCACTTTCAGATCCAAACCTTGGCAGAAATACGATCACCTTACTAGAACCAGAAAACAGCTAAGCACATCTCATACTTTTCCGACACTCACAATTTTGTACTGAATATTCTTACCTGAAGCATAGAAGTCGGGATCAAAGTAGGCCATAAATAGAAAATTGAATACAACCAACAGAAATCCAGAAAAGGTTATCAGATTGGGAGCCAACCAAGTAGGAAATACCTGTTTTGTCAAAACAATTTAAAAAACAATCAGAGGAATCTCGAACAAATACACACAAATTTAAGTCTTAATGAAACAAAAAAATGAAAACAAAAAATTTGGAAGACCATATGCAGGAACTGTATGTATTAAAATGTAAGCAATAATCTTTAGTGGATAGAAACAAACATTTCTTTCTTCTAGCTGCTGTCTTCATTTTCAATGTAAACAAGGTTTTAAAATCATTTATTCCAGAAAACTTTAAAAGGTATTTTACAGAAATGACAAATCTCAGGAAAGAGATAAATCAAAAGGTATGTGACTAAGGGAAGAAAGGGTGGCTTCCAACTGCATGGACTGCATCTGTAACACTCATAAAATAGATTTAAAAATACTTAAAACTTAGTAAATCAATCGGTACACACATACAGAACATCTTACCTTCACTATAGTGTTCCAAAACGGATGCATGATATACAGAGAGAGTGGGTTGGTATCCACAGCGCTGTACTGTAAAGAGATGAAATCAAATATGCAATGAACCCTGGCATACTAACATACAAAACGTTATTTCTTCATTGACAATAACAACACAGAAACAACCCAGGGAACACATCTGTTTGTGTGATATGACAGCAAAGTCAATGGGGCAGAGACTGTCAGTCCAGGCCCTAGTCCCCCCATGTACCTGCCGGGGGGAGAGCCAGAGGGTCTTAGAGAAGGCCCTAGAGGCTGACTCCAATCACACAGCAGTTGTTCCACACACATACTCACGCAAAGTCCCCATGATTAGGACACCCACTGCCTCACTCCTCCCTTGTGATTACCATTTACAGTATTACAGGCTTTGCATTTGTATTGCTTGTAGGTTCTCATTAGTAATATATTCACACACTGGTCACACACGACCCTGGTCAAGTTTTTTAACCTCTCTAGTTTCTTCACCTACAAACTGAACATCAGAGCCCTTACATCAGGTGATTGCCATAAGCATTAGGCAACTTAACAACATATAATAAGTGCTTAAACAGCACCTATTCTGCAGGGCAAGCTAAGTATTAACTATTAAAACATGTTGCAAGGATGGAGGCATTGACAGTTCTTCCCATAGCAGGAAAACAGATCCCATAACTAAGCAAAGGAAGATAAACAGGTTATGACTGTATGATAATGAAGCTTATTTTCCAATGATTGTTCTATTTAGTAACAATCTAAAGGAAATTCTAATAGATGCACATATACAAATGTGTAAAACTCACAACATATATATACAGCAGCACCTGGAGCTTAAAAAACACTCTTCCAGATAAAAGGCAAAAGAGACACAAAATCGGTAAAAGATCCTCAATGAATTCACAGTGGTATCTGGGCTAATAAGTCCATCTAACATTTTAATGATATTAAATCAGTAAAGCGCTTAAAATTTTTTTTTATTTGAAAAGGCAAAGATACAGAGAAAGTAGACACACAGAGAGATCTTCCATCTACTGCTTCACTTCCCAAATGGCCACCAATGACTGGAGTTGGGATGATCCAAAGCCAGGAACCAGAAGCTTCTTCCAGGTTTCCCACAAGGGTGAAGGGACCCAAAGACTTGGGCCAGCCTCTGCCACTTTCCCAAAACATAGCCGGGATTTGGATCAAAAGTGGAACACCTGGGACTGAGACTGAAACTGACACCGATGTGAGATGCCAGCACCCCAAGTGGGGCTTAGCTTGCTGTAATACAGCTGCACATGGTTATGCTTTGTACTTCAATAGCCAGGGTCAAGCCACAAGCCGAGACTTCAATCTGTGTCCTACATGAGGGATAGGGTCCCATCACTTGAGACATCAACTGCTGCCTCCTAGGCCAGGCATCATACCAGGAGGCCAGAACGAGAAATAAAGCCAGGATTCAAGCCAGGCGTTTTTATGTGCAATGCCAGCATCACAACCATTGCGCAAAACACCTACCTTAGTACAGATTTTTTTTTTTTAACCGAAAGGCAGATATACGGAGAGAAAGACCCTCCATCTGCTGGTTTACTCCCCAAGTGGCCACATCAGCCAGAGCTGAATCGATCCGAAGCCAGAAGCCGGAGCTTCTTCTGGTTCTCCCACACAATGCAGAGTCCCAAGGATTTGGGGCATTCTGGATTGCGTTCCCAGGCCACAGGCAGGGAGCTGGATGGGAAGCAGAACAGCTAGGATAGGATTCCCCACCCATATAGGATCCCGGTGTATGCAAGGTGAGGACTTTAACCACTAGGCAACCATGCCAGGCCCCTCTAAGATTTTTTAAAATTGTAATTAATTATCAAAATTCATTTATGAATTCATAAAATGTTCAGAAACCTCAAGAAACAGTTTCAATGTTTCAAGTCTAAAACGTAATTTAAAGGCCCAGCACAGTAACCTGTTGGCTAAAGTCGTCGCTTTGTGTGAGCCAGGATCCCATATTGGTGCTGGTTCATATCTCGGCGGCTCTACTTCCCTTCCAGCTCCCTGCTTGTGCCTGGGAAAACAGTCGAAGGTGGCCCAAAGCCTTGGGACCCTGCACCTGTGTGGGAGAACTAGAAGCAGCTCCTGGCTCCTGGCTTGGGATTCACTCAGCTCCAGCCATTGCGGTCACTTGGGGAGAGAACCAGGAGACAGAAGATCTTTCTCTGTCTCTCCTCTCTGTAAATTTGACTTAGATAAATAAATAAATAAATAAATAAATAAACCTTTTTAAAACTGTGATTTAACCAGAGTGTGGTTGGGAGGGAGTGGCAGAGTACGCTAATCCTCTACTCACAGCACTAACATTCCATGTAGGTGCTGGATCATATCCCAGCTGCTCTACTTCGAATCCAGCTGTTTGCTTCCAACCTGGGAAAGCAGAGGATAACCAAATCCTTGGGCCCTGCACCCATATGGGTGACCAGGAAGAAGCTGCTGGCTCCCAGCTTTGGATCAGCTCAATGCTAGCCATTGTGGCCATTTGAGAATTGAACCAGTGTTTGGAATACCTCTCTCTGTCTTTCTTTCGTTCAAAAATCTGCCTTTCGCACCGGCCATTGCGGCCGCTTGGGGAGTGAATCATCGGATGGAAGATCTTCTTCTCTGTCTCTCCTCTCTGTATATCTGCCTTTCCAATACAAATAAAAATAAATCTTAAAAAAAATCTGCCTTTCAAATAAAAATAAATAAATCTCCAAAACAAAACCTGTTAGTAAAATCTTAACCAGTAAGATGGCTCCATGTCTGAGGTCCCTCCATTTGATCAACTCATTCTGACTAAAAGAGGATAATGAGAACAACAACAAAACAAAAACTGAGACAGATGGAAAGAAAATGACGATGAAGAACATGATTTTGGTTCGCTTCTGCTTCTGCTGGCCACAGCGAGAAGCCATGACAATCCACCCAGACACTGCAGGAGTCTGCCAAAATTAGCATCGCTGTGCTACTAAACTTTGAATTCTCAGTAAGCTTTCAGTTTTCGCTTGCTTGGCATCTACAGTTTGAGGAGCTTTCCCACATACTGTCACTACAACAGAACTTCTGCAGGATGGAGTCCTATGTAAACAAAACTGTAGACTTCAGGCTCAGACTTATGGATCTGGGATCAACACAAATCCCAAAAGGTTGATACTGAGAAGATAGGAGGGTCCATCTTCCCCCACTTCATAAAACCCTGCACCTAGAAGCATGCGCAGTAAGTCAGACACACCGCAAAGCCGCCCACCATCTACTGCAAAGTACAAACTTGAAAGTCAAGTTCAGGTCAGAGAAAAATGATTTACGATATCACATGAGTCGCTAATGCGGCACACAAAGTACAATGTTCTTAATTCAAATGTTTTCTCAATGAGTCTCATTCAGCTGCTTCCCATAACTTTAACTTAGATTTGAAAGAGGTTCTTTTATAAATGGTATTTTGATTTGAAAAGCTGCCCTTTTTCAATTCTAGAGTACTAATTCTAAATCTCCACTTTAGGAGAACAACAGAAGTGAGAAAAGAATATAGAACTAAACACAAGAAGGTCAGTTTACCTAACTGGGCTTCAGCCAATGAGCTCAAGTATAAGAAGAAAGATTAACATGAGAGTACAACAGGTGCCACATAATAATTGCGGTTCCTCTGCTCTGGCTGTTTACACCTCAGTACTTCTCAAAGTCACATATCACTCTCTATGAACAAAGACGCTCTAAAATGTCTTGTGAATCAATAAAGGAATAATGATTTACATCTCCCACATGCATGGAAAAAAATTGTAAACTTAAAGTTGTGAATTAAACTAGACTTAAGATATTAATGCTTGTTTTCCATTGGGCCCATATTTGGCATGCAGCAGCAAACCTAACACCAGGTAAACCACCAAGAAAGCCCAGTGTGCCGTGCTGGACTTGACCACTAGTAGGCCAAATTAGCACCCTGAAAAAAATGACTGAAGATCATAACATCATAACCTGATTTTGAGATAACCAACCTAAGGCAAAACCAGAGAGCCAGCACAGGCTTTCAGCCAGGCCATCAGACACCTTTAACCCATATTAGAGACCCTGGGCTCCAGCTTCCTGCTAGTGCAGACCGTGGGAGGCAACAGCAACAGCTCAAGTGACTGGACACCCATGACCCTGCAGACCCACACTGTTGCCTTTGGGTTCCTGACCTCAGCACCAGCCCCAGCCATCTGATAAACGGATGGCAGTATCTACTTGCTCTCACTTTCAAAACTCTGCCTCTCAAAAAACAAATAATTTTTTAAATAAATAAATAAATCCTCAAACCATAGTTTCAACCTCCCTCATCTAAGTCTGGTTCACCAAACCAGAAGTCGGGAGAGTTTTTCTAAAAAGGACCAAAATTTTCAGTTCTGTAGTCCCTATGGTCTCTGTAACAAAAATGCAGCACCGCCATTCCAACAGAACAGTCCCAGAAAACATGTCAACAAAAGGACAAGGCTGTGTTCCAACAAAACTTATTTATAAAAGCAGGTGGCCTTGGCACTTTAGTCTGACAATCCCTGTTCCAGACACCCTAATTCTTGTTAAACTGGCAGAGGCATGATCCAGGGCAAAGGAACACTCCAAGTGTTGCATGAGAATGAAAATTTGCCAATAAGCCCCTCTTTCTCAACAACATATGCTACTCAAGATGCTAATTTCCTGGAGCAAAAAAAATCAACTTTACAGTCATCCAAGCCCATCAGGACTTTAAGTACAAACTGCTAAATCATCCTGCTCTCTGTTCATGTGAGGCTAGGAACTAACATAACAATAAGAACACGTTTATCATTCTTATTAGAGTTGACCCATTTCCTCTCACAATTTCTTCAAATCCTAACTCTGTTTTCCAAGAAAGCAGCTACACTCCCAAAGGAAACAGAGCAAGCACATCTGCCTATGCTAATAATGCCTCCTCATAATGCCTCCTCGTCATGGCCTACTGGCTAAGAGCCTTGCATGCACTGGGATCCCATAAGGGTGCCAGTTCATATCTTGGCTGCTCCACTTTCCTTCCACTCACTGCTTGTGGCGTG